TTAATTATTCTATTAAATTCCAACAGTTCTTAATAATTAATTATCAGTCTTCCCTCCTTCCGGGGTTCATCAATGAGTCGAAGACCTCGTATTTCTAACTTTAGTGCCTACCGTTTAATTTTACCCTGGTTTTAGATCCTGCAGGCGTAAATCAGAGCCGAGGAGCACTAAAGCGTGTGCACGTACACGTAAAGGCGTACTTTTACCTGGCAATTTCGCGCGCGAGTAAAGTCAAGTTCGCGTACCTGAAGCGAACGATGAACGGATAATTATTATGCACAGAGGACGGACTGGCATTACGAGGGCAGTCCAGGGGATGGACTTTAAGCTCGAACGTGTTTGCAGTCGCTCGATTTGCACGTGATTACGCGGAAGTGTAATTTTCATTTATTATTGCTCGTCACGTGGAGTAGGTACGGAGTCCCGGAAAGGAGAATCGGAATACTCGCTCGTACATTACCCGATTTTTTTTTCCTTTAATAATCTATAATTACCGTTGACAGAAACGACCCTGTATTCTTATCGAGTGTTGGATAGCATTTAGAGATTAAGCTTTTTAACGGCCGCGATAAGAGGGCAAAGAATAATAAAGTAAAGGGGGAGCAGTGATTTAACGAGCCTTTCCGGAATACTCAGACCTCGTTTAGCTTGGCCACGTTCAAGGGCACGGACTTACCTTCGTTTAATCGAAATAGGTTGGGGCCGATAAATGATCCCCTTATCGAATCGTTCGGCTTATCAGCCACGATGGAGACACACAACCTGGCGCACATAGACGATTGCGGACCGCCGACCAGTTAAAGTGTCGGAAATTGGAAAGTTAATTATTCCTACTTAATCTGGCCCACCGATTTCGACGTGATACGGAAATAAATTCCGAATAATTAATTTCGTTCGTCCCTTTATCTTCCCTTTCATCTAAATATTGCCATTACTTTGTATTAGTCAATCGGTCACTTTTATTGGAGCGAATGACGAACACGCGCACGTGACGGCACTGGGACTTATTAACAAATTGTTATGGCATGCAATTGGCTGCAACAGCGAGTACAATGTTGTCAATTGCACGTTATAACATGATGAGAGATTATCAAACGAACTCGGAGATAAACACACCTATTATTCCCTTGTGTACTTAATATTTACACGACTTATTCCTCGCGAGACGATCGAGGGCGTGCATTAACAACCCGGTCGCCGACGAATGGTACTGCAATGGTACACGTTGAAGCAAGAAGTGTAATTTCTCGGTAACTATTTACTCATACCCCTGCTTCCTCTATAATTTCAAAAAATAATTAAAACGGCATCTCGACCCGACGTCACTTGCGTTTTATTCTTAGGGAGTCTCGGGTTCCCTCGAATTATGCAATTTTCTTATCCAGAGCGTGCTGGCGAAATGCCTGCGCAATGTCAGCGTAATACCCTGCGCAATGCCGGCGTAATGCCCTCGCAATGCCGGCGTAATGCCCTCGCAATGCCGGCGTAATGCCCTCGCAGAATCGCAGCAATTCCCCCGCAATGCGGCCCGAAATAGAGCCGGCTTTTCTATTTTCGGAACCCTGGGGGTAAACGCGTACTCGCCGGGTGCGAGCACAATGAGGACGACCTCGATGTAAGTACCGAGTACCCAGGACTGACCCGCCGCAACATATCTTTTATGGGCCGTACAAAACCACGTGGAGCATCGAAGAGACCGACCGGCGTCTCTCTCGCTCTCATTGGAGTCTCCGGAAGGAAGAGAGAGACGCCGCGAGGGAGGAAAGAAGAATGGGCATCCACCGTTCGCAAGACGACTGCACTCGGCTCGAATGAGCTGCATCTTACGAATCTTGACGTCACGTCGAGAAACATTCGACAGGGTCGTGGGTTGTTTTGCTTTTTCTCGACGCAGTCGGAAATAGACACCTTTCGACGTGGCCTCACACTGAAAAGAATACAGACGGTGCACTTCTGTTATTTTATACTTCTCTTGGTTCTTTTAGTATATTTGATTTTTTTTCTTTTTCTTTCCGAAATGCATCTACAAAGGGGAATTGTATACCCGTTTCTTCGCCGGCAGTTTTCGAGCGACGTGGGGCGTCATTTTTGACGTTCTCGGCCGCTTTGGGGATATGAACTTTTCGGGAAGCTTTTTGAAAGTGGATACGGTGCATGTTTTGCAGAGGGACTTCCGGAAGGCCGCCAATTATTTTTCAGGGAATATTTCTGACCCGATGACGTGCTCGGAATCACTCGGGATCATCGGGTGTTCGGCTTTCCTTTATGCGCCGCATTCGAAAATAGACATTTTTCGACGAAGCCGTTTCTCTTCTTTATGGAACGCCTCGGGATTTACTCGGCCCGCCTTTGGAACGAATACTAGGTTGAGCAAACCGAAGTCTCCCTACGAGTTTCGAGAGCAGCCCAAAGATGCATGCTAAAATGTTCGATACTTCTACGTAGAGGAAAAGTTAAAGGACTTGTCCAACTTTCGGAAGTGTCCTTGCAAAAGTTGATTCTAGGGCGGATCTGAAGGGATATAAATCCTTCCTTCAGGACTGCAAAAGTCTCTTGACGTCAACCCAGACCAGTCACTGCACAATGCAGCAGGGACGTCAAGACGAAAAATATTTGCAGCTGCCTTATCGTTCCTCGGTACACTCGGCAATAGGCACCTTCCTTATTTTTATTTTTCAACAATTTTCCCTCGACTTTTATGACGTGCAGAGCAGAGCCGCGCTTCTCGATCCGATATGCAGTTTACAATTTCCAATCTTCCTATCGCCTAGTTCCAACTGCCGTCGGCATTTTAGAGGGGGAAGATAAATACTAAAAGTGTTACGCAGCTCGGCAGTTTATTTGCAATAAATCGGGAGGCTCGATTAATGTGCTTTTCTGCACGTAAACGTTATTTGGAATTTCGATCCGCCCAGAAGTGAAGTGCCGAAGAGAAGCACGCATAGTTTAATCGAAAACATAGATTCTGGCTGAAATAACGAGGTGTGTCCGCGAAGTATCGATTCCACGCATATATACACCCTTATATACACATCTATAAACGAAACACGTGCCTGGGATCCTTCACGTGGAAATATAAATAAACTGCAGCCTGCAATTATGGCCTTTCCAATAAACTCGCGCATATCCACTCTCCTCCGGCTATTTGCAATGTTATCCTAACCTCAATTCGAGACTTGGAATTCATGCAAGGGTTCCCTTCGAGCAAGGCACTTAACCCGATTCTCGAATGTGTCATTTTTAAATAATTCTTGCATCCGCCTTTTCTTTCTACCCTGATGGTGTACGTTTAAAAAAAAAAAGAAAAGGAAAAGATGTCCGAAGTACGGAGTCATCCGCCGACTTTTTTCTTTGGTAAACCAGGAATCTTCTGACGAGGAAATTCCCTCTAGCCGTACACGAGAATTAAAACGAAAATAAATAAAAAAACATATACATACGTCATTTTTAATTCATATCGAGAATAGAAACGCAGTCATGATTTTTATTCTGCAATGTTTGTAGGGAATTGGATTGCGGAGGGCATGGAAAATGTTTTTTTTTACGAGGGAATCAATTTTTCCAGGTGGACGTAACGCCTCGTTGCCACGCTCGCGTTGTATGGGAACGAGCTCGTTGCTCGGTACGTGGTCTCGGTGCACGGTGTGCACTCGCGTACGTCGGTGGTGAGCTCACACGTTTTTACACGTTTTACCCAAGTACGATCGCAGGCAGCACGAGAGTTCTCTCACCCCGGAACGATACCCTAGACTATACGGCGCCCACGCCATCCTATATACTCCTAAGTGCCAACCATACAGTAGCCATTATCCGACAAAGCACATCACCCTTTGGAATGAGGTCTCCTTTAATGCGGACCCTGCGATTCCAATGAACGACACGAAAGGGGCGTACTTTTCGAATCACGATATGCAGAAAAAAACAAAATTAGAAAAAAAATTCTCGAAAAAGAACGCGAACAGTCCATAACGCTGCGTGACTACGAAATTAAGTCATACGTTCGTATATCGATATTTTTTAAGCCTTAATATTTTTCAATTTCATGTTAGATCAGTCTCTTCCTGGTTGAAAAGAAAAAAAAAATGGGTTACAGAGAAATAAAGGCGGAAGCCGGTACGACATATTTTCAGCGACTGATAAGGGATGCCGCTGACTCGCGCATACGTAATCGTGCGTACGAGCCTTACACTATTCTCTTACTCATTGATAGTACAATTAATATTCAGCAGCCGAGCTCGTTGACGAGGGCTTCTGACTTTTGATAAGGCCACTATGAATTCATTCATTCATTGCTCTCGTTGGCTTTCCAAATATTTATATCGAGTCTTATCAGGAGTGGGATTGCGTCCTCGGATTCGCGTAATTCAGAAATCCGCGATCCTGGAATCCACTTGGATCATGTTTGAGGAAAGAGCTGTAAATACTGAGAAAAAAAGGTTAGATATGATAAGTGGTAAATTTTTCCTTTCTTTTTTTTTCTCTCTTTAGTAAAATTACTTCCTGCGCTATGCAGACTCTATGTGTAACGATACTCGCTGGGCACGCAAAGTCATACTCGGAAGATCGATCGAGTTTGATAAATAATGGCCCCGCTGCGGATTTTTATGGTTATCGCGTGTCGAAGCTTTTCCTTGAGCCATTTCCCACAGTATCACCAGAGCTCGCTGCAATAAACGTGTCTCTGCAGTCATTATCATTCATTCCACCGGTGCATCTAATGCATGTATGGAGCGCGTCAAGCAAAGAACTCGTTTAATATGGATCGACTTCTTTGGTCGAGAATTGTTCGAAGGAACCACTTTAGAGCCCACTAACCCCCGTGCCAATCGAGATGGTGATTACAAATATACACTCTCATATCGCGTTGCTGATTTCTAAATCCTCTAAAAATTTGTTAAAGTAATACTTCAATGCTGCTGCTGTTGATAAATCGTCCGAACAGATTTTTGACGGCTTTGATATAATATTTTAATGGTTTATATGTATTTTTCTTGTTGCAGAGCGATCCCAGCACGGCGTTCCTGAGGGCAGCCAGGGCGGGGCAGCTGGAGAAAGTTTTAGAGTATCTGGAATCGGGGGTTGACATCAACGCGTCCAATGCGGTGAGCAGATATTTAAAAAACAGAAAAGGGAGGCCACGCATGTTTAAATCACACGCCAGGGTAAACGACATCCAAGCTCTTCACGCGAATTAGGCAGTTCGTCGCCCCTCGTTAGCGAGATGCGTACGCGTGAATTCGAGCTTCCTCAAAAGACTCGCTCTGCCGGCATCGACGAGGAAAGGATTGAACCTAGGGTTGGAAAGTGGCCCCGGGAAGGGATGAAAGGATTGTACGCGTGCAACATGGTTCGAAACACCCACAACATTTAGTACATCAAAGGCTAACCGAGGATTTCGTAAATTGCCGCGCCTTAAATGATTTCGTCGTTAATCTGTTGGGGAGCAGCAGGGAAGGAAACCTTCGGACCCCCCGGATGAAAAATGAAAATATTTACTGATTCCTAACGAAGCTCGACATTATTCCACCCTAACGGGTTCTGTAGATAGAGGCCGGATATTTATTTTTTAATTATTTTTGTTAGGGTTACTTAGGATATGGGGGTGTAATTTAATTAATTCGGAATACTGAAACGTGACGACTCCTTTGCAGAACGGATTGAATGCTTTGCACTTGGCTGCCAAGGATGGCCATTTGGAGATCGTCAGGGAGTTGCTGACGAGGGGGGCCATTGTTGACGCCGCCACGAAGAAGGGAAACACGGCTCTGCACATAGCTTCCCTTGGTAGGTGATCCTTGTTTCCGTTGAGTAATTGCAAGAGTAATCAGGGGTCCTTATCGAGAATCTATGTTTCAGCTGGACAAGAGGAAGTCGTGCAGCTACTTGTTCAGCGTGGGGCGTCCGTGAATGCACAATCGCAGAATGGATTCACTCCCTTGTATATGGCTGCTCAAGAAAACCACGATTCCGTCGTCAAGTTCCTGCTTAGTAAAGGCGCTAATCAGACCCTTGCAACAGAGGTGCGATGGATGGATGATGATAAATAAACCATCAAACTCTGCTATGGAGTTCCTCGCACTGTGTCGATATTTTTAATTTATTTATTCATTTTCATTCAGGATGGTTTCACACCTCTGGCTGTGGCTATGCAACAGGGTCACGATAAAGTTGTTGCCGTGTTGCTGGAAAGCGATACCCGTGGTAAAGTTCGATTACCGGCACTCCATATTGCCGCGAAGAAGGACGACTGCAAGGCTGCGGCGTTGCTCCTACAGGTAATTGTTACATTAATTGGCGCGTTATAAATAGACTGAAATAAGTATTAATTATTGCGGGAAGAATCCTGTAACAGTGGTATTAAGTGACAAAGGTGGTAACTCAATATTCACTCATATTTTTTTTTTGCAGAACGATCACAATCCCGACGTGACGTCGAAGAGTGGATTCACGCCGCTCCACATCGCCGCTCACTACGGCAACGATCGAATCGCTTCCTTGCTCTACGATAAAGGAGCGGATGTCAATTTTGCGGCAAAGGTAAGATTCACTGGTCTATTGGAAACGAGCTAAAGACGGGAAATTGCCTTCGTCGCCGTGCTACTGATTTTCAAATTTCTTTTAGTTGCAGATATTTTATAATAATTCAACGTTCTGCCTAATTTTCAGCACAACATTACGCCGATGCACGTGGCAGCTAAGTGGGGGAAGATCAAGATGGTGAATCTCCTTATGAGCAAGGGTGCTAATATCGAAGCGAAAACGAGAGACGGCTTGACGCCGCTTCATTGCGCCGCCAGGTCTGGACACCACGAAGTCGTCGATATCCTCATAGAAAAGGGAGCGCCGATTGGCTCGAAGACGAAGGTTGTCGATGGACTTGATGATAAAGAGATCATTAAAATTAGTGGAGATCCTAGAATGGGTCGGGTTAATTTGAGGTAATGTTTCCTCTTGCAGAACGGCCTTGCACCGCTGCATATGGCCTCTCAAGGGGACCACGTGGATGCTGCAAGGATCCTGCTGTACCATAGAGCACCTGTCGACGAAGTCACCGTAGATTATTTGACCGCTCTCCACGTGGCAGCCCACTGTGGCCACGTGCGAGTTGCTAAACTCTTGCTTGATAGAAACGCCGACCCCAATGCCAGGGCACTCAATGGATTCACGCCTTTGCACATAGCTTGTAAGAAGAACAGGATAAAGGTCGTCGAGCTCCTGCTTAAGCACAAGGCCAGCATCGAAGCTACCACCGAGGTGAAGGAACTTTTATGTGTAGAAATGTTGAGGCTAGGAATCAGATATCATCAGTTATTAGCAGCATATAATGTCCGATAATGCAGAGATTGTAAAACAAAAATACTCTAGAGTTACCTGTGATATTAATTTGTCGGAACTGATTAGAGCTCGTCCTATTTCATTCTTGCAGTCGGGACTGACTCCGCTGCACGTCGCAAGTTTCATGGGGTGCATGAACATCGTGATCTACTTGCTGCAACACGAGGCCAGCCCGGACATACCTACGGTGCGAGGGGAGACGCCTCTTCACTTGGCAGCTAGGGCTAATCAGACCGATATTATCAGGATACTTTTGAGAAACGGAGCTCAGGTTGACGCCAGAGCAAGGGTGAGTTGTTTGAAACGATGCTACGGTTACGGCATCGGGTTTCGAACGAGTGATCCGCCTCGATGCTTTATCGCCAAGCTTGGGCGAGCTTGAAGCTGAAGTCTTTGTATTATTATTTCATTGCATTATCCTTTTTCAGGAGGAGCAAACTCCACTTCACGTCGCTTCTAGGCTGGGCAACGTCGACATCGTGATGTTATTGCTGCAGCACGGAGCTGACGTTGACGCCACCACGAAAGACCTTTACACTCCTCTCCACATAGCCGCTAAGGAGGGGCAAGAAGAGGTGAAACTTTTTTATTTTCTTCCTCTACTTATCGAGTAAACGCAGCGAATTCTCCGTTCTTTTCTTAATCGATTCCCGCCTGCTAAGAGAGTTTATTTTTAAATCCAGGTTGCGTCTGTTTTGTTGGAAAACGGAGCTTCGCTTACCGCAACCACGAAGAAAGGGTTCACTCCTCTGCACTTGGCAGCTAAATACGGCAACATGAGCGTTGCGAGGCTTTTGTTGCAAAAAAACGCCCCGGTCGATGCTCAAGGAAAGGTGGGCATTTATTCGTAGCTGAGATATGTTTACGTGTGTATCTAAGATTTAATGCCGCTTCGGAATTGTGTGTAATAATTTATTTCTTTTCTTTTCGCCTTCGCTCGCTCGACTAACGTCCTTAGAATGGAGTAACGCCTCTTCACGTCGCATCGCATTACGATCATCAAAACGTGGCGTTACTTTTACTCGACAAGGGTGCTTCGCCTCATGCCATGGCAAAAAATGGCCACACTCCTCTGCATATTGCGGCTCGAAAAAACCAGGTGAAACGTTTAATCCTGTGTACAAAATGAATACTGATCTCGATGGCTGGTTCTAAATTATGCGGAGTTGGAGAGAGATGGTTCAGTTTCTAGTTCGGTAAAATAACTGTTTCTATTTTACTCGACCTATCAGATGGACATTGCGACTACTTTGCTGGAATACGGAGCCAAGGCAAATGCGGAATCAAAGGCTGGATTCACGCCGCTTCATTTGAGCGCTCAGGAGGGACACACCGACATGTCTACGTTGCTTATCGAACACAAAGCAGACACAAACCACAGAGCAAAGGTAAATTTATAATGATTGCGATGACTTAATGCAATGACAGCTTCGTATCATGGCATCTGACGATTAACGTGTACCTTGCAGAATGGTCTTACGGCACTTCATTTGTGCGCTCAAGAGGACAAGGTCAACGTGGCTTCTATTCTGGTGAAGAATGGTGCTGAAATCGATGCCACGACGAAGGTGAGATTTGACCCTAGAAAATGATTCATCGATTCTGGGTAATAGAGAGCAAGAAGTGTATCCAATTAAATTATTAGAGTTCGTTCACTGTAACTGCGCCACTTTTTGCCGCTGCGAAGAAACGGTTCACTTGACTCACTGGCAATGAAGTAATCATTTGTTGAGATTTAATCGTGAGCTTTTTCCGCGGTCTTCCCCGCGCACTTGGATTAATTTTCCGACTTCCGTGAGTCTTATTGTCCTCAACGATTCTATGATTCCTGAAGTATGATGTTTTTTGAGATATGTTAAATGGATACTTTTATCCTTTTATTCTTTTATTCTAATGATGTGATGTAGGAAGCTAATCCGTGAATATTTTTGGATCAGGCTGGATACACACCGTTACACGTGGCAGCTCATTTTGGTCAAGCAGCTATGGTGCGGTTCCTCCTGAGATCAGGTGCTACAGTGGACAGCAGCACAGGTGCTGGTTACACACCTTTACATCAAGCTGCTCAGCAAGGACATACATTGGTCATCAATTTGTTGCTCGAAAGCAAAGCCAAACCCAATGCTGTCACCAACGTAAGTCACCCTTGAATCTGACCGAAGATATTTTTGGACGACCTTTGAAAAATGTTTACACCAGGAAGTGGAAATCAGTAAGTGAAGTCCATGTGTTTGTGTTTTCTCCAGAATGGTCAAACAGCGCTGGACATAGCACAAAAACTTGGCTACATCAGCGTCGTCGAGACATTAAAAGTCGTGACGGAGACTGTCATCACGACCACACATACCATTACCATCGAGGAGAAATATAAGGTGCAGGCTCCCGAATCCATGCAAGAGACGTTCATGAGCGACAGCGAAGACGAAGGTGGTAAGTCGACATTTTGACCGGTTTGCTTGATTTACAAGGATCTTAAATATTGGCCGAATGGATTTTCACGCTTATGTAAAGGTGTCTTTCGTTGAAATATTTCGATCCGGTGCCAGTTGCACGCAATTGCAGCGAAAAATAGATTCTATTCGTTTGGCCTATTAGGTAACGGATCGATTAAAAAATGTTGCCACGCGAAAGACACTTTCTCCCCTGCAATACTTCTTGAAGACGGTACAACTTGTCATGCGCACCGTTTTTTAAATCATTTGTGGTGTGACAGTACTCTATACCCTCCGCTAATATCTCGAGATCTCTCTTATACAGTCTTTTTAATTTGCATGCTGACTCAGAGATTCTGCACGGGATGGCTCGGAGAAAGATTACTTCATTTCTGCATGATTTACCGAGAGATTGTTTTGCACATCCCGAATTTTAGTACTCCTCCTGAATCCCTGTCCGAATAATTAACCAAGGGTTCAAGCGAGGCCTGGGAGTAGGTCCCCGACCTTAGAAGACATCCCGAAATAATGATCCCCCGAGCCGAGAAATAGCCTAAACGATTAAGAACACGCAACGGGAACAAGAAACGACCTTAGAAACAACTAGCTGATCTTCCTTTCCGGATTTCTCTACTTTAGTTCAAATGGACATCTTCGATCTCCGGAGTTATGATTTGCTTGGTCTGTTACGTTCGTTTCGCAAGAGCATGCCTTTAGTCAAGGTTTCACTGGGTTGTTTGCGGATTATTTGACCCGTACGATTAGACTATTTTACAATGTCAATTACCGACACACGCATTTCCAGCGACCTTCGTTTCCGTGGCGCGACTTTGCGTTTTATGGCCACCATAGAAAGAGCGGTATTCTCTGTCTTAATATTTTTTTTTGTTCTTTCCTTCTTTGGAATTAAATTAATTATCGGGGATGTAGAAGAACGCCGACCGATCGGGTTTGGTCGTCTCGTCTCCGGGGTTCACGAGCGTTGTTTAAAGTCGAGGTGTGGCATGGCCTTTAACAACCCAGTGAAAGCAGGATCTAGGATTTAATCCCAGGATATATGGAAGAAACGTTAGGGCATTGATGAAGAGAGTCTTTACTGGTCGGCGTGCAATGTAGGTGGCGATGAAATCGGCATGGCAGCCATGAATGTGTACGGGCAGCCTCCTCACGCGCAACACGTGTACCTCCCTTCCTACTACCAGGGCCAAATGACCTACACTCGTAAGTTCTTTCTCTCACTGTCTCGCTGTCAATATCTCTGTCATGTTATCGGCCTCTCTGTATACCCAGTGTCACCGGACCGTCCTCGTCTCGTTTTGATTTTACACCCTCGACCGCATCTCGCCCGAGTGCACCTCATCGGCATAAGAGTAGCGAGCTCGTCTCGTAGTCCCATTTTCTACGGGGTCCATTGAGTCCTCATCTGCGACCCCGTAACGTATCCCCGATATTTTCTCGTTATCAAGGTAGATAGGGCGATGTGTGTGTGCCTATCCAGCGAGTCTACTTTTTCACCCTTTGCTTGGGCACCGTCTATGGTGCGTATGCGATGTACAATTATGCACCCCTCTGGAATTAATTCAGTGTCCATTTCCAGTTCTATCGAAAATTCGGACTCCTGCGTCGATTTATAGGAGACTGGGTTATCAGGACGCGACTTCCTTCGGGGGAATGCTCTTACGAGCCGTAACATATTAACTGGACTGAAGATAGTCAGCGCGCTGGCACGGTCTCTATTCATAGGAATGATATAGGTCAGGGACTATATATAGGAGGAACCTTTAAAACGTTTAACTCTAAACAAATTGCCGAACTTCCATTGCCCGGCTTCGGGCGCGTCCGTCCTCGGCTGCCTCGAATTTCTCGACATTAACCCTCGTGGCCTGGTTCCGAAAATTCTCTATGAAAATTGTCGCATTAACGCGCGAACGACGCCGAGGCACTTGTCGCTCCTGATGGACTAAACAAACGAGTTTTCACGTTCCTGGTGACCTAACCGAAAACCTACGCGCCCTAAAAACCGCCATGTCGAGGAAAATAAAAAAGTAGGAAATTACACTTCTATAACTTTTGTTTGTTTTTTACTTCTTGGAAGGTAGGTTGTATCTAAGACACCTGTAGATCAGGGTAGCTAAAGTTACTTCGGGGGAATTATTTGAGGCGTTCTACGTGTTTCGTGAAATTTCAACGGTACCAGGGAATTCCCAATCACTTGACGCACATCCGAGTGCACGTAGGTACGTGTAATTAAGGTCCGACCGGCATGAAAGCGCAGCAATTCAATTTTACACGTGCTTGTCATTAAAGAATATAGGGCAGGCTATTGTTAATGCAATTTACATACTAATGGACGATACAATGGATCCCGCGGTCGCGAACGAGCGACGTAACTGTACATCAACGCGATGCACGTTTTGAAGTATCATCGGGCAGGGGCCCTCCCTCCATCTCTTCTTTATGCTACCTGTTACATAACCTCAAGCGCTCGTTTCATAGCTCTTGTCTCGGGATGTCGTTAGTTCGACTTGCGGTGGCTGCAAGCCAAATTCGAACATCCGACTGAAATACTCGATTTTATATAACGCCGAAGTGCTTTTTGAGATGCGCGCGGATTGCGCTTCGAATGTTTGGACGAGGATTCGCCGACCCCGCGGTATTAGTTTCGAGGGGTGCCGCCATTTTGGTACCGAAAGTGCCCGCCGGACTTATCAATTATGTCACGATAATTAATCAAATTCATCGCGCACAGGGTGACCACCTGCAGTGCGGTTTTTGAATACGAGGTGCAGTGTTATTCTCGAAAGACGGGCGCGCCAAAACTCCTCGAGTTCGAAATCAGGACGCGCCGCCATTTTGGTACCGGGACGCCCAAGACCGTTCACCACGCCCCTGAAATGATCTATTTATTACGTGGATACGTATTGTCGTGGTGCTTTCTTTCCGAGTCAGACGTGTTTATTATCCCGCTTGAATGAATGATATCGCCCGGCGTTTCCTCGGCCTCCATTTTGGTACCAAAAGACGCGCAACTTGGGACGGCGAAGTATCGGATAAAAATATGCAATTATGCTCTTCATTTGTTATAGCTTTATTTTTAATATTTTCCCATTAATGTGGCACTTTTCTAGTGGTCTTGTGGCATTTTCTGGTACCTAAGTGGAAGTGACCGTCCTTGCGTTAGTCGATTCGATTAATGATCCCGCGATCTGGAATTACAGGGCCGTCGCTAAGGGTTATCGCGGGCGGTTTTTCCTAGTAGAGAAAAAAAAAGAAAAATTAGTAAAGATAGTGCATTACGCGGGAGTGTAAATAAAGTTACGAAACTGAGCGGCGGGAGCGGTAGGTCTTATTATAAAATTGGTGATTCATGGAATGAGGTCACATTTCTAGGCTTCAGCCGAACGTGTATTAATCTCAAAGCAGTCGCTGTTCCTGATCTCGCCGTGGCGGCCGCGAAATGCAAAGATAGAGAACTTCAACGGAAACCCTGGACAAGGTGTACGTCTAAAAAGCCCCCGACTTTGATCTCCCACGAATCGCGTCTGCAAGCTGAAAACGAGAATCTCTTGCAGCCGAAGGCGTCGAAGAAAAGAACAAGAAAAATCTTCCAAGCAGTCGAAATGACGGAAACACGTGCCACCTGTGTTTTATAATAACAATACATCCTATTTGCCAGTGATAGACGGTGAAGAAGTTGCAAGGAGACACGATAAAATTTGGAAATATCGAAATCGCTGCGTTTTCCGAACTGTCAATGATCGTCGTCGCGATTTTAATTAACGCAGTTCTAGGGAAGGTCGCTACTTAGGTTGGAAAAGTGCGGGATTGTTAAGACAACGTTTTGAAACTTTGTGCATTTCTTTCCCTTTGGTGAAATCGTGCCAAAACAGTCACAATGGCCAAAGGAAAGACGAAGGGGAGGAAGAAGTCGAAGGGAATCGCCTGCTGCGGCTGCGCTCGGAGTAGGAACAGCGACGGATTTAGTAAATATTTTTTCTATGAATGTTAAATGTATATATATACTTTTTTCTTTTTATGGGAATTCTCGTCGCTGTAATATGCACATGATAGTCCTCATGGGTTATAATTGCGTGTTAATTCTTATGTCCCGGAGCCATTCGCCGCCGAGCGGATGCTGCCCTTGAGGGAGCGTTATGCTTCACTGTCAATCAAATCTGTCAAGCCATTGATATTCGTATCACATATCTGGGTCAGGTGGTTAAATTACTGCAACTGCAGCCTCCGTACAGTCCATGTAAACCGTGCTACGCGATGCTCTGCCAATATTAGAAAACCTCACCGCCACATGTCGTGGACTTGTTGAGAACTCACCGTGAAGAAATACTCTCTTCGGCGGATCTCGTTATAAAAGCCGCATTAAGTTATTAAATTAAGGCCGCTCCAGAAATCTCATATTTTTACGGCTCCGCGTTTAATGAGGCCACCTCCAGTCCAGCTGATTTCTTAGCCTCGTAACTTGCCACCGAATATTCTGGCTTACACTCCCTCTAAAAAGAAGAAAAGGAAATATGAACCCACGAGAATTGATTTTTCGAAGAGCAACTTTCGGCTGATTGATTTTTTTTTAAATCGTTTCTGGTTAATTTATTCTCGCGCCTTGTTTTTTCGATTTTTCGAAATGGAGCGTCAGCTCTGTTGGTGTCACATGGCGAGAGTCATGTCTAAAAATTCTCTGGACAACGTTTAATTGGACCTCTTGTACGTTAAGCTACATTTGCTCTTTCGAAATCGCGCCTACTCTGGCGGTAGATGGTACATTTGATTTGATTCGAAGTTGTATTTTTAGATTGTTTACTTACGCAGGCCGGTGTATCGTGCGTCAGATTCGAAATTCGGGAGATTTTGGAGGAAAAAGTCTGCCGAGGCATGATGTACAATTTTGCGTTCCTTAAAATCCGTCAGGACTTTGTTTAGCCGCTTTAGACAATGCGAAAAAAAATCTTACCTCAACTTAATTCCTAGGTATACATTTTTTTTTTTTTAAGTAATTTATTCACTCAAAATTCAGTGAATTTCATTTAAATGCTCTATGAATTTCGTGATAAGATCCTTGTCGTGAACTGGTACTCGTTCATTAACTGGGTCAAACGCAATGGAGTTACATAAGTTTTGTTATGGTCGTGGATTATTTTTGTCCATGATCTTCCGAGTTGCAGTTGTAAAAAAAAAAAAGGAACTTGAATAGACTAATTGCGCTTCATAGACACCGATTGTTCCGTAAAAATGCCTGCGTGGTGAATCACTGTGGTAGAAAAGGAATAATATAGATTCTCATTGAGATGGTGTCCTTGAATATCTTGAATGCTGACATCTCGTGCTTGCAAATTTTACTGCTCACGTATTATTCGAAATCGATGCATGCTCCTCAAAGATATCGTTTTTTAATTGCGCCTTAATGCGCACTGTGACTGCAATTAGAAAATTCCCTGAGAAGGCAGGAACTAATAAAATTAACACGATTCCATTAATGGGTGCTTGAATTGGGCTAATTGCTGTTTAACGATCCTCCTTATCGACGGCAGTTGAGTTCTTAATATCGATTTTACTAATGCTAATTACAATTTCGAACTCATTCAGAGCAGGATTCATTTTTTACTTCATCATTGCGTGACATAAAAACGCTGAATTCTTTTTTCTCTCTCTCTCTCCCTCTCGAGGAATTTACCTGTGAACGGTAAATTATTTTTAAGACCGAGACCTTGTACATCTCATTACCTGTGCATAATTAGTGTTTCATACGCGGCATTTAAAAGTAACGCCCCGCGGAAATATATAATTACCAATGATCCTCCAAGCGTACATCTCTGAAATGACCAGTTTTAAAGAGCACTCGAAAATACTGCCGGGTAAAGAAAAAAAAAAAATTCAATTTCGTCATTGCATAACCAATGTAAATAATTCTCGCGAGAATGGTTTCTCTATCGAGACTAGGAAGCGATTTAAAAATACGTCTTATCGAAGCCATAACTTCGTGGTAAGTATTTGAAGGATGCGCGACCTTTTTATAGGTAGTTTCAATTAATCCGGCACTTCTGGTACGTGCGTGTGAGATCATCGTACGTGGGTCGAATTTGTGGGCTGGTCATCAATTGGATAATTACAAGCATGCATTCTTGAAATATCTGTTAACTCATCGGAATCCCGAGCGGGCCTCAGTCGGGACAAAAATCTGACAGTGGCCGCACAAAATACAAAGCACGCGACCAGATTTCGTGGCCGGTCTGTAAATACGATAATTTAATTCATAAACATTAATCCACCTTTAGCCAACAAGATAAAAGCCACTTAAAAGCGTGCCCGTGAGCGTTTCCAGTAAATTAATTAATAGATTGCTAGTTTTAACTAACTCGAACAAAATTTTCTCATTTTTTGGTACCTCCGTAGGATTAATGGGTTAAATGGTGAGGCTAATAAAATAATAATAGATTTTAATTTTCTCGGTTTCCGGCGAACATTCCCAGACTTTTACAGCCGAATCGAGCCCGAAGTAACCGCGCTCGTCAAACTCCCGAAATAACTTAGGAAGCGCCGAAGCCTTGAATTGTATTTTTTCCCTATCGTTCGGACGAACGGCCTGTTTTATTCAACCCCTTGGAACTTTATTTATCGACTAACGTACGCGGTCTGTCTTGTTCAACCCCTTGGAACTCTCAAGTGATTCCCGATAATGGTTCTCGCCGTGGACGAGATTTAAAACGGCTCCTGTTCTCTTAGTCGCTCGAAATAAGTAGCCTCCATTGATTTAACTCCAACTTTTACTCTTCGCTGCAGTTTTAATTTGTTCATTTCCCGCCATCGTGCGTAGAAGTTTAATTTAATCTCGGTCACTCGTGGATTGGGCTCATACGTTAAATATTAGCTGGCGTGAGCCTAGTAGATATAGTTGGATATTTTTTTTCTGCAAGCCGTTCCTCTCGCTAACTCGGAATTATCTTCAGGCGAAGACCCGATGTTAAGCGACCAGCAGCAATATCGCTACATGACCGTCGACGATATGAAATCCATGGGGGATGATTCCATGAGAGTCAACGTCACCGACGACGAGAGGGACAACAGGCACCCTGGGGGTGAGTTTTCATAAAAAAAGAAATATTTAAAAATCACAATTAGGAGTTAGAACGTTTAATTTCAATTTTTAATCATATTTTCTTTTGGACTCGTTCATTATATTGGGTGACAAATGCCGCCCTGTTAAGATCTCATTTACGGGTATTTATCCAATCAAAGGAATGGCGCTTTTTATCGCTCGTATTTTCGTCGCAATTTTTCCCGAGGTCCCGGGACTTTTTATGTAACAATAAGATTAACGACAAAACGCTGTTTGCTTTAGCACCGACCATAACGGAGATGATTACCAAGGAGAGTTACCAGCGTTCCAACGCGGCGAATCTCAAACCCGACAACGTCGACATTAACAAGCATCCCATTCACGTCGGGTAAGTGATATTATCACATCATCTTTTCGCAGTCCCACTTAAACCATAAGTTTCCCGGTAACCAATAACATGCAACCGGGTTCACTTCTCATAATTACTGGAACGACCGCTCCGGTATTCCAGTACATATTGCTCGGGAAGAAAATGAGGAAAAAAAAATAAGAACGTTGCTAAACTTCGACGCATAATTAAGAAAGAAATAACAAGAGCTGCCACTTCATGGCATATCTTTATCGACATGTGAAAATCAGTGGAAATTAACTGTAGTTCTCTTTACGTAACTCGCAAAGCTCATCCTGTTTGCCATTTTTTTTTTTTTCAAATAAATAATCTGGAATGCGTTTGTGAGTCCTCCGTTTATTGCGATTCGAGCTGCGAAGAGTTCCCCCTTTGTTGATAAATCTTGACCGCTGATAACGTGCCCATAGGAGCGGCTTCGATTAAAACAATAATATTTTGTGTATTATAGTGTGATATGGTGTGTGCCGGTGAAAGATTGCTTGCTGACTTTAACTTACTCTGGCTCGTCTTTAAATCCTATCGGGAGTTGTCACCAAATTCGATGACGCATGTTTTTCCTCCACAGTCGATTAAATAACTGGCAAAGGCACTATTTTCTGCAATACGGAAAATGTTGCCTTAACAAAAATTAGAGAGATTACTCCGTCGAATTTGGGCGTTAGCGAATTTCCTCGAGAATCTTCATTTTTCCGGAATATGTGTTGTGTGGTAGTTATCTGGCATGGATTTGATACTTCCGAAACTCTTCGAGGGTCTGTCTGTCGAGCACTTCTCGCACCTAAAATACTCGTAATAGCTAGGAAGGGAATTTTAGAATCAACTCGGAATCTCTCCGGTAATAACCGTTATGCACAAGGCATTGCCTAGAAATAACACCTCCTAATTAGGTTAATTTCGGAATCACTTAACTAGCCGCATTACTGCACTGACGATGATTAAAGATTGCCTCGTTCTCCGTTAATTTTTTTTTTTTTTTCCAATAACATAAACCGTACACTGATTTTGTATTCTCTTGCTAGCGACGGTTGCAGTTAATAACGTACTTAATGCATAATAACCAGGGTAACTGTAACCGTAGGTTCAATTTGCGCTATGAATATCAAGTAACCGATACATCTAACAATCGGTACGATATGAATATGAATTAGATAACAAATATGTCACCGAGATAACTGCACTCGGTAAGTGCAGTAAGTGCACTCGTTCGGTGGTCTAACGTTATTATTGACTCATTCCAGTTGAAGACATTACAAGAAATAATTGGTTAAATGATCTACATCTACGGTGTCATATTTGAACGGCGCAACAATGCAGAATGTACTCTGGAAAAGTTCCTTTTCTTATCAGTCATTTTTCTGTCAAATTTTTTTTTTTATTCTTTATCGTAGAAGATGCAGAGCCATCCTGCATAGTATTCCTATAAGAAATCTCCTGAGTAAAGTGTGTTTAATGATGGATGTTATTAATTTTGCTCGGTGCACTTCAAGCATTATAAGGAAGTGCGATTTTTCGAGGATCGATGGCGTCTTCATTAATTGTAAATTTCTTTGCAAGGTAAAGTATTTAATTTTACCATTTGAATAGTTTTTCATCCATTGCACTGAAAATGCGGCGAATAAAAATCTCGTGAATAGTTGCTGGAATACGTCTTTGTTGTATTACTATGGAATTAAGAATGAACCGTTTCAGGTATCATTGATAATCTTGTCGATCTTATCAGAAGCATTTTTTAGTGCAATAGGTGGTAATTTATTTCATGTGGTAATTTTAAGTGTTTCACCCCGTGCGCCTTATCAGGAATTTAAAACGGTCTTCTTCCGCGATATCGCGAAATTCTTCTCGACGTGTTCTTATACAATTGCATAATTACTTTCGAACTTGGCTAATCCACCGAAATATCTATCACGGATCATCTCATCCGCCATCGTCACGACTTCATTTGGTAGTTTCTCAGTAGTTACACGTCTAGCATTGCTCTTGGCAATTGTACACGAAATAACACCCACGAAGGTCTGTACTGCACGTAAAGAGAAAAGCATGAGCACGACTTAGAGGTATCATCGATAATGACAAGGAGTTTTGTTCCGAGATTAGCGAGTCCCTAGAGTCCTTAAATACGTCGCTGGCTGCCCTCGGTATCGTGCCAAAAGGACAAGGAATGTGGAGGGACAGGTACACTATACCCTTTTTATTTTATTTCGACTTATAAATAAATCAGAAGCCTCTTGACAAGTGCCTAAAAAGGCAGTCAATATAGTCTTACAACAAAACCTGTAAGCCACTTGAAGGGAGTGCGAGGAAAAATTCGAGAATATGGATAAATGCATATTTAGATTTTCCACTCCGCACTCTCCTCAAGTCTTGCGACTTTAAACATTTAATTCAATAATTAATAATTTAAACATTTAATTAATCTTAGTTAACAACACTTGGTCCGCTTGAAGAGGGAACCCCGAATTTATGATACGGCTAATATTGTGGGATCAACTAAAAAATATTGGACCCCTACAATAACATAATTTATTTATTTATATTTAACACCGTGCCTACTTGCAATTCATTCCTGGACGTGGTTTACGGGCTTAATTGATTTTTAATTCAACAGCTCACGTAGAAGCACTAGTTTTTGATACTTTACCCCTATTTTCATTGCGACTGATAAGAAAAGAACTTAGCCTCATTCTCGTTGGTATCATGTCAACGTCGGGTTGTATTAACAATTGAAATACTGCCTTAAATATCTAATTCTACTGAAATCCTAAAGTATATTTATGTATATTTTCCAATTTATTAATCCAACCTGGCGTGATGAATTTTTTAGGTCAGTTGGTTTCCACGTCGTTTCGTCCCTGCTCTTTTTTATTATTCACGATGCACTGTGCATAATTCATGTTAGGATCTGCATCGTGCACTCTAGAAAGTGGCTGGGACGAATTTTCGAAATTCGTCCGAGCTTCTCCATGGAAGATTTTCGTAGATCTCGCTTTTAGTCGCTACACAACATATTTTTCCCCGTCAAGCTAGATGTCAACCCGGAATATATCCTCTGAAATGTCTCGGACATGATTTACATTTATTTCGAAGAGTGTGAATGAAGCGATATACACCAGGAGTCTCAACTATAATACATAATTATTATTGTTACGTCTGGTTTGCATAGAGGAGTAGGTTTTCGCGGGAGAGGATGCGAAGGTTTTCGAATTTATTAATATCTCCACTCTAGTCGTCTAGTCGCGAGTTCCCCATAAATTGCTAGTAATCGATTATTAAGAAGTTCGAAAATCTCGAACTTCTTCCCCTCTCTCTCGGAAGTAGAACTTTCAACATCGCCCTCTCATCCGTCATGTCTATCGAACATCGCCATCCACGATGTTTATCGACGATTCAATACTAACGCGTGTTTTGTTTTGTTCCCGATCCTTTCTGTTATTTTATTTGCGCTACTCGCAGAATTCCACAGTGGAGAAAGTAAGTGAATCTCTCGTAAGATCTCTAGCCTCTGCCTTTTACATTATATTCTGCTGTGTATATCAGTATAGATATTATACATCTCTCTTAGTCGTTGCGATTTTCTTTTCTTGCTGCACACTCTCCCATTAGTCGCTGAATTATGCTGCCATTTATGGTGTGCCCTAGCAGTGCCAGTAGTACGGTGAATACATATGGGAAATTTACGGATTTTCGCCTTTAAGATAATCATAAATTTAAATCCTGAGAGAAGAAATGTCAAACGTTTAAACGAATGCCATTCGCAGTAAATCCGAGCTTTAGCGTAATCCTCGATGGTAATTACATGTAAATTATCGGTGTTATTTCTGAACGGTGGCGCAGTCTACAAGGGACTATTTCTTATTGTCTAAAGCCTTGTATTATACATTTTATATTGAAGAAAAAAAATTGGTAACTGGGTAGGGGGTAGTATAAAATATGTATTCACTAGGTATCCAAAGTACACATCAGTAGTTGACACAGACTTCTAGTTGGTAGCACACGCAATGCGTTTTTTACTTTGCTTAGATGTTCATTTATAGCTCAGTGTGGCGTCGTATCATCGAATCATGAATCTCTCATCGACAGTGTCCGCATAACCCCGAGGACCCCGGAAGACGATACGCCATTTTCACGGTTCCCAAAAATTGATAACACGATAACAGTTGAAATTTTCTCATCGGGGAGGCCGGAGGGTGGCCCCGGCCCTCCACCGAGTGCTCTGCTTTTAGAAAAGTCTCATTTCCTTGGCTTTTAACGCGTTGTCAACGTCCAAAGTGTCTCTGAATATGTATATATATTTATTTTTCTTAAAATTTTCGGAGAAGCATTAATCGCAGATGGCCGATAACTCTCTGACACGCAAATGTTACCTGTGCTAACGTACTACCGCAAAACACACTAAGAGCCCGCCCTTAACAACGACACCAGGCCTTATCGATTAGTTCCTAGGTTTATAGAGAGCTCAGGGTTGCGAGACTTGCATCTTTGCAGTGTTTTGTTGCGATTGGGCGACACGTGGTCTCACGCGCCACGGTTTTATATGAATTTGCCTCTTGTAAATATGTTTAACATCATTTGTCTAAACATGTTAACGTGCGTCCACGTACCTCGAGCGCAAGCAACTTTTTGGCTCTGCCGATGGAATCGAATATGCAATCGCGATGAAGAAAGAAATGAACGCCGTCAAAGTCGAGTAGTTTTCAGTGAAATGATCCAAAAAGTTGCAAAATACGGAGCTCGAGGCTGGACCGCTTCCGCAACTTGCCATTACGCTCGACGCACAAAAGGGAGCTTTCCGAATCACTGACAAACCCCACCGCGAGTTTTGCCATTATCGAAAGTTGACACCTCTGCACAGTCGCATTTGCTTGGCAAGTTACGGAAATCGATCGGAGATTTATGTGGAATATCCTGAGCACGGTTCTGTGAACAGCTTCCTGGTTTCCTTCCTGGTGGATGCCAGAGGCGGTGCCATGAGGGGATGTCGACACAGTGGGGTCAGGGTGATCGTTCCACCTAGAAAAGCCGCGATGCCGATGCGAGTCACCTGTCGGTACTTGAAGAGGGACAAATTGACGAATCCTCCTCCTTTGATGGAAGGCGAGGCCCTGGCGAGTCGGATTCTGGAACTAGGACCTGTTGGTGCAAAATTCCTTGGGTAAGTTCTCGCTCGCTATTTGCTACCGATTTTCAATTTATTCATTCAAACGAGTTGATTGAAATTCACCTTTCCCCTTTTCCGCAGACCCGTGATAATAGAGGTGCCGCATTTCGCGTCCCTGCGAGGAAAGGAACGAGAAATCGTGATCCTGCGATCTGACAATGGAGAAACCTGGCGAGAGCACACCCTGGAGGCCAGCGAGGAGGCCGTCCAGGATGTGCTTAACGAGAGCTTCGAAGGGGAAGGTAGAGTCCTTGAAATACCTCACATTTGCTCGGACATAGTCTTGTTAAGTGTAATACATAGATACCTGTTATCTAAACCGATCTCTGAATTTTTTTTTTCTGGAAATTCTCAGAGTTAAGCCAGCTAGAAGATCTTCAAACGTCGAGGATCGTGAGGATCCTTACCGTGGACTTTCCTCACTACTTCGCCGTAGTGTCGCGCATCAGACAGGAAGTTCACGCAGTTGGTCCAGAAGGTGGTACCGTTTCCTCTTCCGCCGTGCCACAGGTGCAAGCCGTGTTCCCGCCGGCAGCTCTCACGAAAAAGATCAGAGTTGGCCTGCAGGTAAATCCAGGACCTGGGAAACAAAAATTAATTCTTCGAATCTTTATATTTAATTTATATTCGCTGGATGCGACGCATAATCAGTCGAGCAGGATTTTATCCAAATGGTACGACAATTGATTTTCAATTTTTTAGGCCCATCCCATTCCCGCGGAATTGGTCGCAAAGTTGCTGGGCAATCGAGTGGCGGTATCCCCGATCGTCACCGTCGAACCAAGGCGAAGGAAGTTCCACAAACCGATTATTTTGACGATACCTGTACCCCAGGCTGCGAATAAAGGCATGATCAATCAGTACTCTGGGGATGCTCCGACTCTGAGGCTCTTGTGCAGCATAACTGGTAATATATGCTTGCGCGTAACATCGTAGTGCGGCGGACCACCTTACTGAAAAATCTCTTACCGAGAAAAATGTCCTGTCAATTTCGAGACACACCGTGGTAGTATCCACACATCCGTTTTGTAGATCGCCCTCAATATATATATTCATATATAAGTCTACGTATCTATATATCCTTAGTAGTGTAGGTGGCACGTTACCGTAGCTGAGAACGTTAAACGTTGTGAACGTTTTTTTCTTCTTTTTTTTTTTTGAGAATTACCATGCAGACGGTAGCACCGAATTTCTATTCTTGTCTTTTGTCCACGGAGAAAAATCTTTATAGATACATTGGTCGGGTCTTTTGGAAAATAATTCTCATTTTGCTGGACGACAAATGCCTAGAGTGATGGTCAACCTTTTTGAGAATTCGGGGAAATCAGGAGTTTGGCAAAACTTAACGTCAAAGTACTTTGGGTAGTGAATACAAAATTGGCGTTAATCGTGTCGGACTCTGGATTTCTGTTTGTTCCGATTTCTGATAGGATTTGTGTCACTGTCGGCCGATTTTTCGGAAAGAGATTCGAAAGACAGATGGTAGCTGGCATGTTTCATAGACGAATTTTGTTGTGTACCATTGTTGTATACAAACCTTGTTGTAATTCATTGTTAATGCTTGCGTATTGTTAGGATTGAGTCAGTTAGGTATGGATCATTAATTAAAGTAGCTCAATTTTTATAATCCTAGCTCATCGTTAATTCGATAGTTTTTGTTTCAGCACATTCATTTGACTGGTAATTGCTTCGATGATAAATTATTAATAGATATCAGGACTGTTAAAAATTATATCATCATAGTTTTGAGTATCACAAGACGTATTAGAATATAATTTCGAACAGTTGTTCTCGTTTCCAACTTAAGCAATGTAGTGTGATTATGTATGATAATGAATTATTCAGAAACTGAAAAATGTTATCGTTTCACTTCTAGTTAATTTTCATCTAATTAATTAATATTCGTAGATGAAAAAGCCGCTTGTAGAAATGGAAGAAACGTTCCAATATTAAGATATTTAGAATTCGAGTATCTAGAGCAATACTTATTCTAACATGAATAATTAAATTTATCCTGTTAATTAACTGTTGAATATTCAGACGTACACATTCACAAAGTTAAATCTAGGCATACTACCGAGCTTCGTTAAAAAGACACAATTGTTCAGTATAATTCAACGCTTTCAATGCCTCATCGACATCTTGCTTTCTACACGTTTTCTTTTTCGTTTTATCATTTTTCTCGTTCACTTGCCACGCATTATCATTGTGATGACATGAACACGTTATTATTGTTTTCACATCACCATTGAGCACAAATTACAATGCTTGAGCGTAAATACAGTTGAGCGTCTTTGGTGAAAATAAAACCAGTTTCAACATTGCAAAAATAAAAAAAGAATGCAATTTTTCTAGATTTTATTGTATAAGAAAAAGGATTTATAGCGCAACTGTATTTAACGCTTGATATTCTAAACTAATAACTCACACATTATCCACCTCTACCGTCTGCGTACTAACAGCACGGACATATTTTAATAATGTTATTGGACTTGGCATATATGTCGTTCAGGGGGTCAGTCTCGGGCAGTCTGGGAGGATGTCACCGGATCCACCCCATTGACATTTGTCAAAGATTGTGTCTCCTTCACAACGACCGTGTCTGCACGATTTTGGCTGATGGATTGCCGAAACATTTCCGAGGCCACGAAAATGGCCACCGAACTTTACACGCACGCAACCCACGTGCCATTTATGGCTAAGTAAGTCGATCTTCTCAGACCTCAGTTTCCCAGGGAGAAAAATATTAATCTAAAAAATCATAACATTGCAATGCCGCAAAAACTACTTGACACTAATTTCTCCGTTTCAGATTTGTCGTCTTTGCAAAACGTGTAGATCCGCTGGAGGCGCGATTACGTGTATTTTGCATGACGGACGATAAGGAGGATAAGACCCTGGAGCACCAAGAACACTTTACAGAAGTCGCTAAAAGTCGGGACGTCGAGGTAAACCTTCATTGTCACCCATAATGTACCACCCGGTGTATTCTATCGTAGTAAATGTTCTTCCGGCGAGTTAGCCTCGAATGACTTAAGTGTCTCCTGTATGCAGGTTCTCGAAGGCAAGACCCAATATATGGAGTTCGCCGGAAACCTCGTTCCTGTTCTGAAGAGTGGAGAACAGCTTCAGCTGCCTTTCAGAGCCTTCAAAGAAAATAGAGTTCCATTTACCGCCAGAATAAAGGACCCCGATGCAGCCGACATGATGGGTCGCATAATGTTCATGAGCGAGCCAAAGGTTGCGAAAGGCGAACCACCGCAAACTCCTATCTGCACCCTGAACATCCTGTTGCCGGAGAAGATCTCGCCGGAAGCTGCTTCATCCGAACTAGACCTGCTGGAATTGTCCAAGAATTACAGTTTCTTACGAGATGGAGGCATCAGTACGTTATACGATGACTAAACTATACGGTCATTCTGGTTACTAATCGTACTGAGAATTCCCATTTGTCTTGCAGGTAGACCAGATGCGATACACAGAGCGACCATCCGACTAACCGACATCGCCAATCTGCTGGACACGGATTGGGAAAAGTTGGCGGAGGAGCTAAATATTCCGCCGAACGAGGTCAGCACCATAAAACAAGAGTACCCTGGAAAGCCTGCTCAACAAGCTGCAGCCATGTTCAAAATCTGGCAGGGCAACGGCAACAAAGCAACAGGTGTGTTTATTCAAAATCACGCACTTCACGGTTTAGAAAAAAAAAAAAGAATTATGGTTCATCCGAAAATCACGTTTCAAACGCATATATGCATGATATTAATATCTCAAGTATGCCGAGTTCGAAGAAAATCTATAAGCGACTATTGTTCTGTCACTTCGTCGATATAACGGAAAACTAATTTGATAACAAGGTGAGGTTCTCAGAACTTCCCGATTTAGTTGGCAATTCCGCATAATCCTATAGCTTTATATATGGCGAGTTATAAGAGGAGATGAGATGAGAAGAAAGAGTGAGAGCTATCGGGCATTCTGTTGACACGGTCAGAAACCCGTTTAATGGCAAGGTGAAATTCTGAGGAACACAGGACAGAGTTGAGTCAGATGCGTGGAATCTGTGCAGAGACGTAGTTGGTGATCTCACCGCGCATTATTATGCCTGACATAAGCTCTCCTCTCGCCCTTCCCTCTCGAGCGTGCTAATCACTATGCTGTGCCCCACTACGGCACGTAGCATCGTTACTACAATCATCGGAACAACAACATTAGCTTAGTTTTATACGACGGGTCCTGTCGAGAAGGTCCATCTCTCGTATTCCACGTCCGCCGCATTTTACACGCTATTAATTAATCATTAATATTAAGCATCTCGTCGGCGCGCGCCTTAGTGTTCAGCTCGGAAAAGCCAACAAACTTAGAAGGTTACACTCTCGGAAAAACCATGGATTAATAAGAAAAATTGCAAAAAAAGCATATAAACTATTTATTATAAATTTACAGTGAAGACAGAATATATTAGTTAGTAGGTGTTAGTGACTTTTTGCAGTCCGTTGTCCACGTGACAATGTTTATAACGCTTTATCAAGCCTACAAGAATGAAGAAACCAATTCGCACGTTAGCGAGCTTCTGCTAATATTTAGGAGAACCCCTTCTTTGAGACAAGTTTTTGTTAAGGAACAAGGTTTGTCTTTCATGCGACGGACCCGATTGTCGGGCCTTTGTTGACGACTCTCTTGGCCATACATTGTGAATTTAATGTTTTAATCAAGTGTAGTAATTTCTGTGGTGTGCGTATATTTTTATATGGTAGATCGTGCAATGATATGTCATCCGAGAATATTTAAATTGCAATTTAGGAAAGTATTCTTCGGGTGTACATGCAGTGTTTCTGTGTCATGTGGGAAAGCGGTACACATTAAGAGTGTGGCAATGGTCGGCGGCATTTCCAGGATATTGCTCAATAATAAGTATTGTTATTCCTGCAGGTAACACGTTGGAGAAGGCGTTGAATAAAATTGGTAGGGAGGACATCGTGAAGAAGTGTATATTCAACGTGGAATTGGTAACCGATGACGTGGAAAAAGCGGTGGCTAGGGTCAGGCTAGACCAGCCAGGATTTGACTCCTTGAAGGAAGAATTAGGACCTTCCAGGGATACGTCTCTTCGCCGAGATGCGACGATGGATCCCAAAATGGACCCGGATTACGAAGAACCCGATCGAATGAAGGTCCTTATAATTAACGCTCCCTAATTAATAGTTCTTGAATTATTCATACCTCTTAAAATGATAGCGTCATCGCGCTTATGGTGGGATTATTCGCGTTATCAGACCTTTTGTTGGCATCATCCTTGCCTCTAGAATGAAACGATGCGGTCATTCGGCGGAAATACATGTTCTGGTAGTTGATATCAATGTAGTCAACTTAGTGGAACCGGATTCCTCGAGGCGTTGCGTGAAGATCGCATTTAGATTCTAGCTCGACATTTAACGAATCACACGCGTGATTCACGGCGGACCTTGACGCCTCGAAAAGCCTTGGAAAATCGATGACGAGGTTGAAGAGCGATCGGTTTTTTTTTTTTTTCATTTAATGGCAAGTTAAAAATAGCCATATTCGGTCTAATACAACTGCACGACAATAAACCAGAAGCAATAATCGTTAACGTACAGTAAATGCCTGGCTTCGTTCGTAACTTAGAAGTAGCGTCATCGTTCTGCACCGAAACCGTGAAAGATCGATTTGTGTAATCTAGTTCATTAAATAATTTGATATTATAATTTAACGTTAATATTATTTGTTGCAGGACTCTGAATCGGTGGAGGACCTCAGCATGCAGGGGATGACGCCCCTTAAGAAATGTAAGTGCCTTCTAAGAGTTCTGCTTGGAATGCAATTACTCCTTCACATTTCTTACATATCTCCATCTACCGTACATTATTAGTCTTCGCACGGACTTAAATTCTGAGTGACAATATATGCTACCAATGCATTGCGAGAGTGATAGCAGTCGGTATGACGTCACTGTCCACTTTAAGTCAGTGATCCATACTATGTGTTAATTCGTGGCATCGCTAAGTAGAGACTCACTGAATCACGGTAGTCACCACTCTGCGTATTTTCTTGTCAGTATTCTGGTAGTCTAGAGACCGTCAGTGCGTCTGATGCACCGTGCTTCACTTTGACTCGTATCTATTATATTTCCCCAAGTGAAAGTGCAGACATTACGAGTGACGTTCCGTGAGACGATCGATTAAACGTCCATCTTTAATATATATATAATTATATCAAGTGCTAATCATGGGAGGCTGGTCATCGAAAAGAGGTAACCAAACGAAGACCATGGAAGTCGATCGTCATCTACTAATGACCATCGATTACGAATTTCAAAATTTATTCTTGGCATTTACGCCTTAAACTTTAACGCTGGAATTACTTTTCTTTTTAAAGGATCTTCCTACGTGGCTCATTAGCATAGAATGCTTCGTAATGTCTGGCCACTCCGAACGCGCATTGAGTCGTTATTGACTCTTCGGCATTACCAAACAAATAAATAAGGAAGATTAAAAATATTATTCGCTAATGTTAAATGACTTATATTTAATTTATTGCTATTTTCTACGGTTTGCTATCAACGTTCACAGTAGGTCACCGATATTGGTCGATAATCTTCTGGGTGCGCCGTTTGTTCTTCGTCGGTCTGTGGAATTGTACTTTTCCTTATTTATAGACACTTGGTGATGTCGGGCAGCCGTATCAGCCCCGAGAATACGAACCGAAAGAGAAAAATACGGCTAAATGCGTACGTCCTGTCTTTAATCTCGTAACCCTTAGACGTCTTTACAACACATATTATGCACTTAACAGCCAATCAGCACATCACTATCACAAACGGCACAGTGCCCAACGGAACCTCGACCCCCATCAAAGACAAATATGCCAGTGACGAGAAAGAGCTCGGAGACGTGATGGCAGATTTCATAGAGCATAAGTGTCAGGTCTCAGACTCTATGTCGAAAAAGTCCCGCGATGACCCTGACGATGAGAATAAAAAGCGACAACGAGTCCTCGACGACGCCAACAAATTAGTCGCCGGTAAGTAACGCATGTCGAATGGCTGAGGATGAGCGGGTTGTGGGGCCAAGCTTTGCCTGAAAGCAACCACAGAATTCACGAGGAAGGAGATTAGAAAAGAGCCGAAACGCCGGAGAATCTGGAAAGCGAAAAGAAAAGATGGTCCGTGAATTCGAAAAAAAAATTGCATTCTTTCTCTTTTTCCTTCTATCTATCTCTTTTTTACGAATGTCTCTATTGCATGGTCGATCGAGTCGGAAGTAACCGTTCTCTTATTGCGCGCACTCTGTGGCTTAGGTGAAATCGTGTTCATAGTTAACCCTCTCACGATTCCTCCATGATCCGGGATTGTGAGTTAAGGGCCAATCGTAAGGAAATTTCGATTTTTTTTCTTTTTACCCTTTATAAGAACGTTCTTTTTAGCTTGACCCGGGATTCGACGATCGTGAATGCAATAGATTGCACTCACTTGATGCACATCTATCATCCACTATTTGGAAACGAGAATAGCGAGTCCTCCAGGCAGGAATCGCTGTATCTTGATTTGCCTCCACTGGATCGTAGAAGATTCTGAACACGACTCACGACTTGATGTTAAAATCTGCAGCTTGGATCGCATACCCCTCTAGTGGTGTGCGGGAACTTGGAGCTTTTAACCACTTAACAAATTGACTCTTGTCGTACGTTAATTACTCGTTACGCAACCTAGAAACCTCTTCTAGCTCCCCCGACCAATGATTCGGTGGTAAACAATTTTTTCACATTTTTTTTCTTTTTCACAATTACTTCAACGCTCATCGGCAACCTCGTCGGGTCCGACGCAAGAAAAGTGTCTGCGCCAGTCCTGAAATTGTAAATTCGACAAAATCGTACGGCAAGGGTTAAGTCAATGGTTTTTTTTTTATTTTCACTAGCAGGTTCTGGAAGCCGGTGCAGATCTCTTCGAGTTTTTAAGGCTTGCTAATATTACGCCGAGTTACAATAATTGACACATTACCTTGGCTTCCAACGACTTGTTACTCACCGTACAAAGTATCCGCCGCGGATTCTCGCCGGACGTTTTTCCTCCCGTAGGAGATATCTTCCACTAATGTGCTCTGCTACTCTTCCATTCTTCCCTGTTAATTTGTTTCAGCAAAAGGTTACACTCTGCAATTATTTGACGTTGCATGAATGGCCTCTCTGTGTGGGCGCACGGAGCAGCTGTCGTTCGTTTCTCTCTCATACATATTTTTACATATATATTTTTTTTATTTATTTATTTCCTCCTTAGAGGGCAATTTTTCGCTGCCGTTTGGTACATATAATACCCATGTTGACACTGGTCTGACGATTTTCGAATTAAAACTACTAAATTTGGTTTCACTAACTCGGCTGGCAGTGTCTCGGTGATCGGACGAAGACGACAATTAGATCGTAATTAGAGAAAATAAGTGTTATCTTTATTTTCTCGCGAATCGTTTTCCAACGATATCGGGCAACCTGGAACATTTTGTCTAAATTTTTTGTCTCGCCATCTCGCGTCGGGAGAAAAATTTCATTTTCGAGGTGACATTTATCAATTGTTGTCAGAGTTGCCCCGAGTGTAATCTGAATAATGATAGCTGCTCCACAGCACGTACACTTCGCACAAAAGCCACATGGAAGTCTAACCGCAGCTCGCCGAGCGAGCAGTATCTCAAAGCCAGCCAGCTTACACTAATTAAACGATAATTACGAAATGACAAATAATTATATGCCCCCCCACTGTTGATGACGTATATATCTGGATACCTAAAATGTGTAATACTTAATTAACAGGTGTAATACAAGACGCTGAGAAAGAGAAGGGGAAGTTAGCGAAGGAAGGGTGGTCGGTGGTTTTTGATGATGATGTGCGCGAGGACGAGCGGATCGAAGGTGCGGTAGGTCAGCAACCAGCTCGAGTAGAGCATATAGTTTCGCTCCAATCGGAAGGTCTTCAGGATGTCGAACCACCGGTAGTTAAAAGGCAGCGTCCCGTGGGAGGTAAAGTAGACCCGAGGGTGCCCACCGTCTCGACGAAGACGGTGGTCACTAGACAAGATGACCCGAGTTTAGGTCAGACAGTCGTAACCGAGACCACGGTGGTCAAGGAATCCGTAGGTTCGGTTCCATTCGGTGAGACCCATTTCTTCGGTCCTTCCGACCCTGTGATAGGCGTAGCCAGGACTGGGCAGGAATTGGAAACCGTCGTTAGGGAGGAAAGAACGGACTCGACCGTGACCACGGAAATCACGACGACGACGGAAATAGTGACATTAAAAGGACCCACTTTGGTTTCCTTCGGTCAGGATAGTGCGACGGATAGAGTAGATCCTCTGAAGGGTAAGGTCATCGTGTCCGGCTCGGTTACGGAGGTTGAGGTAGGTCAGGATGGTAGGGTACGTCAGGGACCCAAGGTAGAGAGCGCTCAAGGGAAGGTTTCTGGCGTCAAAGGGAAGGACGATGGTAGAGATGGGGTCACCAAGAGCGTCGTCAAGGTGTACCCTGACGCGGATTCGATGAAGAAGGAGATCTCGAGTGAGAAAGAGAAGATGTCGAAGGAGGGGAAGGAGGTGGACGAGAAGTCCAAGGAGAAGAAGGATGGCAAGGGGACCCTGAAGAAGGGGGAGGGGAAGGCTGGGAAGGAGTCTCCTGCGAAGGAGAAACCTGCCGATGATAAACGCGCTTCTGCCTATGAAGTCGTGTATAATGCTCAGCAAACTGCTGAAGGATCTAAGGAGGATTTGGGACCGGAAGGGAAGAAGAAGGAGAAATCCGGAGGACTCTTCTCGGGCATGTTCAAGACTCCGAAGCTGAAGAAGGGGAAGTCCAGGGACTCCAAGGACCTGTCCTTCGATAGCGGAGATGAGGACACCAAGGAGGCTACGAAGAAGTTCCTGGAGGACACCAGAAGAGTCGCCGATGCCACTCATCGCGAAAATAAGCTTCTGGGAGCACCTTTGGTTGCAGTCAGCGGAGAACCTGTCGATCCTATACTCGCGACGGCGGAATTCTTGAGCGACTCCAGGAAAACTGCTACGATTCTGCAGGTACACGAGATGTCCCCCAAGGACGCGAAAATTTCGCAAGATTCCAAGGAGAAGACTGCCCAGGTCAAGGAGAAGCCCGAAGTACAGGGTGCGACTAGTGAAGACGATGCGGATGATGGGAAGGAGAAGGGCGGCTTCTTCTCCAGCTTCTTCAAGGGAGTCAAGGGGAAGAAGGAAAAACTTGCCGATGATATCGACTCGGCTGCAGATGATGCGAGGCGAAGCACAGAGGTTGCCGAAGCTAAGGTGAAGAAGGACACGGAGGAAGCGAGCTCCGAAGTCAAAAACATTAAGGATAAGCTTGGCAAAGACGTCGAGACCCTGAAAGGAGAAGCGAAGAAATCCGAGGACGCAGTGAAGGAGGGGACGAAGAAGGTTGTCGTTGAAATTAAACAGGATGTTCACGCAACCGCAAGAGAAGCTGAAGACTTTCTTAAGTCTGCAGCCGACAAGTCTACGAAGGCCATCGACGAAGGCAAGGAAATCAAGGATGCAGCGATAAAGGACATTAAAGATGGCGTCCAGAAAACTCGCGAAGAGGTCGTTAATACTTCCGACGAAATCAGCGACAAAGCAAAAAGCGGAGCGAAAGAGGTCGCTAAGAAAGTCGGCGATGTCGTTGAGGATGTTGAAGAAGCCAAAGATAAGGCATTGGAAGACGCGAAAGAAGCTGCCGAGGAGGTCAAGGATAAGAGTGGCGGGTTCTTTGGCATCTTCAAGAGCCCAAAGACGAAGGGGAAGAAACGAAGCAAGTCGAAAGACAAGAGCTCTTCCAAGGAGACGTCTTTTGACAGCGGAGACGAAGAGCTGAGGATTGCCACTGCGAAGTTTTTGAACGACACCAAAAAAATTGCCGAGAGCACCGTCGAAGGTGAGGTGAGCAAAGAGAACAGGAAGGACTCCATGGACAGATTCGTCGCGAGGAATTACGAAGAGGACACCCCGAAGGAGAAAATCAAAGGTACTTCTTACGAAGTAACCATCGCTGAGAAAATTAAAATCACCGAAAAGGTCGACGGCGTCGAAGCCGACAAGAAGTCGAGCAAGGATGTCGCAAAAAAAGCGAAGGAGGAGCCGAAAGAGGTCCTTTCCAAGAGAATTACCAGCAGCTCGGAGGATATTTCCGAGAAGGAGGTGCCGAAAACGATCAAGGAGTTGTCTGAAAAATCAACCGACGATGGAAAGGACTCCGAAGACGACTCGAAGAGCAGCGCCTTCTTCGGCATGTTCAAGAGCCCGAAGCTGAAGACGAAGAAACGAGGGAAGTCGAAGGAGCCGGTCTCTTCGCAGGATACTTCGTTCGAAGCTGACGAGGACTTAAGAAATGCGACGAGCAAATTTTTGGAAGATACTAGAAAAACGGCAGACAGCATGCGCCACCCTGGAGAAGAGAGTCTCGTTGGAAAACGAAATGGCGATCATCGTCCAGAATCGTCTCTGATCGATGAAGTCAACGAAGCGAAGAGGGAAATGCTGGAGAGACAAGTTGGTGAGGCGAAGGACATGCCGACAGATGCCAAGGATAAAAGCGGAGGGATCTTCAGCATCTTTAAGAGCCCAAAGACCGCGGTCAAGAGAAGAAGTAGATCAAAGGATAAGAGCTCTTCCACCGACGTTTCCGTGGATAGTGGAGATGAAGAAGTCCGAGTAGCAACGGCCAAATTTTTGGAGGACACCAGAAATGCCGCCAACCTCATTCACGACGATTATCGTCCTGGCGATCCCGCTAAAAAAGCTGATAAACATGTTGCAGGAACTAATGGAGTCGTGGAGAGTGCAAAAGATGCTGCTAAGAAATTGGCGGATAAAACAAAGGAGGTAGACGAAGCGGTAGCGACGGAGGTGAAGGAAGCGACGAAGCAAGCTAAAGACAAAGCGAAAGCTGGAGAAGAGGTCATTGTAGATACAGCTGAAGAGAGTAAGGATAAAGCCGCGAAAGAAGCGAAGAAAGCCAAGGAAAAGAGTGGTGGATTCTTGTCTGGCATCTTCAAGGGTGCAAAACACGCCGTTGACGAGGTTACCGGAGACGTAAAAGAGTTCTGGGAAGAAACGAAGGAAGAAGCGGTGGAAGAAGAAGAGCGCGCGAGAAAAGCTGCCGAAGAGGCTGCGAAATCTGCAAAGGACTCGAAGGACAAAGCAACGAAGGATGTGACAGATGCAAAGGATAAAATAGCGAAAGAGGTGGCAGAAGACGTGCAGAAAGTTGCGGATGCGGCGAAAGTAGCGAAGGATAAAACAGCGGAAAAAGTTGCAGTAGGGAAAGATGCAGTTGTAGATGCAGCTAAAGCAACGGAAGAAAAAATTGCGAAGGGTGCAGCTGAGGTGAAGGAAGGGGTTAAGGGAACCGCACAAAGTGTCAAGGATGATGCCAAGGCAGCAAAGGATGCCATTAGCCAGGAAATTAAGGAAGATGCGAAAATCGTGAAGGATAAAGTCAAATCCGGTGTCGAAGCTGTCGGCGAGACGGCGGAAGCAACTAAAGAGAAAGCAGCGAAAGAGGCGAAAAAGGCAAAAGAGAAGAGTGGAGGATTTTTATCAGGCATTTTCAAAGGTGCGAAACACGCGGTAGACGAGGTCACCGAAGAGGCGAAGGAATTCTGGGAAGAAACTAAGGAAGAAGCGACCGAAGAAGAAGAGCGAGCGAAGAAAGCTGCGGAAGAAGCTGCGAAGTCCGCAAAAGATGCGAAGGATAAAGCGGCAAAAGATATAAAAGATGTGAAGGATAAAATAACGAAGGAGGTCTCGGAGGATGCACAAAAAGTCACGGACGCGGCGAAAGCAGCAAAGGACAAAACCGCGGAAAAAGTGGCATCAGGGAAGGACGCAGTGGTGAGTGCAGTTAAGACAACGGAGGCGAAAATCGCTAAAGGTGCATCTGCAATTGCGGAAGGTGCAAAGGACACTGCACGTGAAGTCGGTGACCAGGCTACAAAAGCAAAGGACGCTGTCAGTCAAGAAATTAAGGAAGATGCGAAATTAGCAAAGGATAAGGTCAAGTCAGGCGTTGAAGCTGCAGACGAGGCAGCGGAAGCGACGAAAGAAAAGGCCGCGAAAGAAGCGAAAAAAGCGAAAGAAAAAACTGGTGGATTTTTATCAGGCATCTTTAAGGGTGCGAAACACGCCGTAGATGACGTAACCGAGGATGTGAAAGAATTCTGGGATGATACCAAGGAAGAAGCCGCCGAAGAAGAGGAGCGTGCGAAAAAAGCTGCAGAAGAAGCTGCGAAGTCCGCGAAAGAAGCGAAGGAAAAAGCAGCACAGGACGTCAAGGATGCGAAGGATAAGACGGTAAAAGAGATCTCAGATGATGCGAAGAAAGTCGTGGATTCAACGAAAACAACAAAGGAAAAGGCTGAAGAGAAAGTCGTGAAAACTGCATCGTCTGTGGCAGAAGGAGTAAAGGACGCTGCACATGCAGTTGGAGAACAGGTTGCAAAGGCAAAAGACGCTGTCGGCAAAGAAGTCAAAGAAGACGCGAAGTTAGTCAAAGATAAGGTGAAATCCGGCGTTGAAGCGACTGCAGATGCAGCTGAAGCAACCAAGGAAAAGGCTGCAAAGGAGGCGAAGAAAGCGAAGGAGAAAACCGGCGGCTTCTTGTCGGGCATCTTCAAGGGTGCGAAGCACACTTCCGAAGAAGTTGTAGATGATGTTTCGGAATTCCTGGAAACCACGAAAAGGGAAGCTGCAGAAGAAGAAGAACGGGCGAGAAGAGCTGCCGAAGAGGCTGTTAAGTCCGCTAAAGAAGCAAAGGAAAAAGCCGTTAAAGACGCCAAGGACGCGAAAGAGAAAATTGCGAAAGACGTCAAGGATGCTAAGGATAAGGTGGCGAAAGAGATATCCGACGACGCCCAAAAAATTGCAGATGCTGGAAAAGCAATCAAAGATAAAACCGCAGAAAAGGTTGCTGCAGGACGAGATGCAGTGGCAGATGCAGTTAAAACCACGGAAGAAAAGATCGCTAAAGGTGCGGTGACCGTAAAGGACACTGCTCAGGAAGTTGGAGACCGGGCTGCAAGAGCAAAGGACAGTGTCGGTAGAGAAATCAAAGAAGATGCGAAATTAGTAAAGGAAAAAGCCAAATCAGGCGTCGAAGCTGTAGGCGAGGCTGCGGAATCGGCAAAGGAGAAAGCATCGAAAGAAGCGAAGAAAGCAAAGGAGAAGAGTGGAGGATTTTTGTCGGGCATTTTCAAAGGCGCGAAACACGCCGTGGGTGAAGTAACAGAGGATGTCAAAGAATTCTGGGATGAGACTAAGGAAGAGGCTGCAGAAGAAGAAGAGCGCGCCAAAAAAGCTGCAGAAGATGCCTCAAAGAGCGTTAAGGATGCAAAGGACAAGGCTGAAGCTGAAGCTAAAGAGGCCAAGGATAAAATTGCAAAGGAGCTCTCCGAAGATGTAAAGAAAGTCTCCACTGTCGCGAAGGACGTTAAAGACAAAGCTTCCGAAAAAGTGGCTGCAGGTGTAGACGAAGTGGACGATGCAGCAAGGACCGTGAGTGGCAAAGTTGCAAAAGGAATCGCCGGAGTCGTGGAAGGCGCCAAAGACACTGCTCACTCCTTGGCGGAAGGAGCTAAGGCTACAAAAGACTCTGCAGCTGCAGAGGTAAAGGAGGACACGAAAATCGTGAAAGAAAAAATCAAATCTGGCGTCAGCGCAACTGCTGATGCAGTTTCCGCTACTAAAGAGAAAGCAGCAAAGGAGGCAAAGAAGGCCAAAGAGAAGAGCGGAGGATTCCTGTCCGGCATATTTAAGGGCGCGAGACACGCGGTAGAGGAAGTGACGGAAGACGTGAAGGAATTCTGGGACGAAACGAAGGACGAAGCCGAAGAAGAAGAAGAGCGGGCCAAGAAAGCTGCAGAGGACGCTGTGAAAAGCGTCAAAGACACGAAGGATAAAGTCACAAAAGACTCTGCAGACGCGAAGGACAAGCTTGCGAAGGACGTGAAAGAGGCGAAGGACAAAGTGACAAAGGAAATATCGGACGATGCCCAGAAAATTGGGGATGCAGCCAAAGCGGCGAAAGAAAAAACTGTGGAAACAGCAGCTGCAGGACGAGATGCGGTTGTGGATACTGCGAAGAAAGCAGAGCAAGAAGTGGCAAAAGGAGCTGCCGGTATTGTGAAAGGGGCGAAGGATGTTGCCCAGACCGTCAGCAAGGGGGCAACCAAGGCTGAAGAAAGCATCAGCAAAGAAATCAAAGAAAATGTTAAAGTTGTAGAAGACAAGGCCAAAGCCGGAGCTGAAGCCGTTGCTGAAACCGCAGAAACTGCGAAGAGCAAGGCAGCGAAGGAAGTGAAGAAGGCTAAGGAGAAGACCGGAGGCTTTTTGTCTGGAATCTTCAAAGGCGCAAAACACACCGCGGAAGAAGTAACTGACGATGCCAAACAATTTCTGGAACATACTAAAAAGGAAGCGGCCGAGGAAGAAGAGCGCGCTAGAAAAGCTGCAGAGGCTGCCAAAGACGAAAAAGACAAAGCCATAGCCGGAGCGAAGGACGTAAAGGACAAAGTTGCAAAAGAGATCTCTGACGATGCTCAGAAAATCGCGGATGCCTCGAAAGCTGCGAAGGATAAGACCGTGGAAACTGTTGCAGCAAGTCATGATGCCGTGGCAGATGCAGTGAAACAAGCGGAGGATAAAGTTGCAAAGGGGGCTGCAAAGATAGAGAAAGACGTAAAAGGTGCTACTCGGTCCGTCAGCGAGGGAGCAAAATCTGCGAGAGAGAGTGTCGAAAAGGAAATTGAGGAGGATGCCAAACTCGTGAAGGAGAAGGTAAAATCCGCGGCAGATGCAGTTGCAGATTCCGCCGAAGCCACGAAGGACAAGGCTGCGAAGGAGGCGAAGAAAGCCAAAGAGAAGGCTGGAGGATTCCTGTCCGGCATCTTCAAAGGCTCAAAGCACACTGCTGAAGAAGTTACCGATGACGCTAAACAATTTCTCGAAGAAACAAGGAGGGAAGCTGCAGAGGAGGAAGAGCGTGCCAGAAAAGCTGCCGAAGAAGCCTCGAAGAGCCTCAAGGAAGCAAAGGACAAGGCCTCGAAGGACCTCAAGGACACCAAGGATAAGATCTCGAAGGAAATTTCCGAGGACGCAAAGAAGGTCGCAGATGCTACACAATCTACCAGTGACAAAGTTGCAGCAGGAGCAGCAAGTATTGTGGAAACTGCAAAAGAGACGGTGCAAGGATTGAGCGAGGGAGCAAAGACCGCGAAGGATTCGATGGCAAAGCAGGTGAAGGACGAGGCAAAGTCCGTATCGGAAAAGGTAAAATCTGGAGCTGAAGCTACGGCGGAGTCTGCCGAAGCTGCAAAAGAGAAAACTGCAAAGGAGGCCAAGAAAGCCAAGGAGAAGGCCGGTGGATTTTTCTCGGGGATCCTGAAGGGTGCCAAGCAAGGTGCTGATGAGGTTGCAGAAGATGTCAAGGACTTCTGGGATGAAACCAAGAAGGAAGTAGCAGAGGACGAAGAGCGAGCAAGGAAAGCTACCGAAGACGCTGCCAGAGCTGCTAAAGAGGCCAGAGATAAGACCTCAAAAGGTGTTAAAGACGCGAAAGACAAAATAACTCAAGAAGTCGCCGAAGATGCGAAGAAGGTTGCAGACGCTGCCGAAGCTGCGAAGAAAGAAACTCTCGAGAAATTAACTGCCGGGAAAGAAACCGTTGACGAAGCTGCGAAAGCAGCAGCCGATAAAGCTGCGAAAGGTGCTGAAAAAGTTGCTGAAGAGACGAAGGACGCTGCTCAGTCCGTTGCCGAAGGTGCTAAAGCGGTGAAAGAGAAGGCTGTAAAAGAGACGAAGAAGGCCAAGGAAAAAGGCAGCGGATTTCTGTCTGGGATCTTCAAAGGAGCGAAACATACAGCTGATGAAGCTGCAGATGACGTTAAGGAATTCTTAGACGAGACGAAGAAAGAAGCAGAAGAGGAAGAGGAGCGTGCCAAACGAGCGGCTGATGACGCTTCCAAGAGTGTAAAGGATGCCAAGGACAAGGCTGCCGCTGGTGTCAAGGATGTCAAGGACAAAATTGCAAAGGAAATAACAGACGATGCTAAAAAAATTGCAGACGCTGCGAAAACGGCAAAAGACGCTGTCGTGGAAAAGGCAGGTGCAACGCGAGATGGAGTGACAGAAGTCGTGCAGAAAACAGAGAACAAAGTTGCGAAAGGAGCTGCCGAGGTGCGAAAAGATGTGCAGGTGGCTGCACATTCAGTAGGCGAGGGAGTAAAAAGTGCAAAGGAAAGTGTCAGCAAAGAAGTGAAGGAAGATGCTGAGTTTGTAAAGGATAAAGTGAAGTCTGGAGCAGAAGCCGTTGCTGAGACTGCTGAATCTGCAAAGGAGAAGGCGACGCAGGAGGCGAAGAAGGCTAAAGAGAAGGCTGGAGGATTCTTGTCTGGCATCTTCAAAGGCTCCAAACACACTGCAGAGGAAGTTACGGATGATGCGAAAGCATTTTTAGAAGAAACCAGGAAGGAAGCGGCCGAAGAAGAAGAACGAGCAAGACAAGCAGCTGAGGAAGCTGCGAAAGCTGCGAAGGATGATAAGGACAAAGCCGTAGCCAGTGCAAAAGACGCAAAAGACAAGGTTGGACAGGAAGTTTCGCAGGATGCCCAACAGGTTGCCGATGTCGCATCAGAAGCAAAGAAAGCAAAAGACAAGAGTGGAGGATTTTTGTCGGGCATTTTTAAAGGTGCAAAGCATGCCGTCGATGAAGTGACGGATGACGTTAAGGAGTTCTGGGATGAAACGAAGACGGAGGCAGCGGAGGAAGAAGAGCGTGCCAGGAAAGCAGCAGAGGATGCTGCAAAATCTGCCAAGGATGCAAAAGACAAGGCTGCGAAGGATGTGAAGGAGGCCAAGGACAAGGTCGTGAAAGAAATTTCAGAAGACGCTCAAAAAGTTGCCGATGCCGCCAAAGCAACAAAAGATAAGGCCGCAGAAAAAGTTGCAGCAGGACGAGATGCAGTGGTCGAAACTGTTAAAGTGACCGAAGAAAGAGTCGTTAAAGGAGTTGTCAAAGTAGAGAAAGATGTAAAGGATGCTGCCCAGTCTGTGAGCGACGGTGCAAAGAGTGCAAAGGATGCAGTCGAAGAAGATGCTAAGATCGCGAAGGAGAAGATAAAATCTGGAACAGAGGCTGTTGCAGATGCCGCAGAAGTTACTAAGGACAAAGCCGCAAAGGAGGCGAAAAAGGCCAAGGACAAGACTGGAGGATTTTTATCCGGCATCTTCAAGGGTGCGAAACAAGGAGCTGAAGAAGTCACCGATGACGTCAAGAGCTTCTTGGAGGAAACGAAAAAGGAGGTATCGGAAGAACAAGAACGCGCAAGAAAGGCGGCAGAGGACGCTGCGAAATCTGCAAAAGATGCAAAAGACAAGGCTGCGAAGGATGTGAAGGAGGCCAAGGACAAGGTCGTGAAAGAAATTTCAGAAGACGCTCAAAAGGTCGCCGATGCCGCCAAAGCAACGAAAGATAAGGCTGCAGAAAAAGTTGCAACAGGACGAGATGCAGTGGTAGAGACTGTAAAAGTGACAGAAGAAAAAGTCGTCAAAGGAGCTGCCAAAATAGAGAAAGATCTAAAGGACGCTGCCCAGTCTGTGAGCGATGGTGCAAAGAGTGCAAAGGATGCAGTCAAAGAAGATGCTGAAATCGTGAAGGCGAAGATAAAATCCGGCACAGAGGCTGTTGCAGATGCTGCAGAATCTACCAAGGACAAAGCAGCAAAGGAGGCGAAGAAAGCCAAGGAAAAATCCGGCGGATTTCTGTCGGGCATCTTCAAGGGCGCAAAACATGCCGTGGATGAAGTGACCGAGGATGTCAAAGAATTCTGGGACGAGACAAAGGAAGAGGCTACAGAAGAAGAGGAGCGCGCAAGGAAGGCTGCAGAAGATGCAGCCAAAAGCGTCAAAGACACCAAGGACAAAGTCGCGGCAGGTCTTTCGGATGTAAAAGACAAAGCATCTAAAGAAATTTCCGAGGATAAGCAGAAAATTGCCGACGCCTTGAAGACAACGAAAGATAAAGTTTCAGACACGGCAGTAGCAGGTCGTGACGCGGTTGCAGATTCTGCCCAAGCGGCAAGTGAAAAAGTTGCAAAAGGCGCTGCTGCAGTTGCAGAGGGAGTAAAGGGCGCCGCTAAATCCGTGGCGGATAAAACGAAAGCTACGAAGGACTTGGCGGTGGAGGAAGTGAAGGAAGACGCAAAAATTGTGAAAGATAAAATCAAGTCTGGAGCCGAAGCCACCGTCGAGGCCGCCGAATCGGCTACAGAGAAAGCTGCAAAACAGGCGAAGAAGGCAAAAGAAAAGAGCGATGGATTTTTGTCTGGCATCTTCAAGGGAGCGAAGCAGAGCGCCGATGATGTTACGGACGATGTAAAGGAGTTCTTGGAAGAGACGAGAAAGGAAGCTGCAAAAGAGGAAGAACGCGCCAGGCGGGCAGCTGAAGATGCTGCAAAGTCTGCAAAGGATGCTGCGGATAAGGCTGCAAAATCTGTAAAGGATGCTGCTGATAAGGCAGCAAAGGAAACCAAGGAAGCGGCAGATAAGGCTGCGAAAGAGGCCAAGGATGTCAAGGACAAAATTTCCAAGGAGCTTTCCGAGGATGCGCAGAAATTAGCCGATGCAACCAAAGCTGCGAAAGATAAGACTGTAGAGAAAGCAGCTGAAGGACGAGATGCCGTAGTGGATTCTGCCAAAGTGGCGGAAGAAAAGATTGCAAAAGGCGCTGCCAAAGTAGAAAAGGACATAAAAGATGCGGCACAGTCCGTGAGCGATGGAGCAAAAGGTGTAAAAGACGCCGTCAAGGAGGACGCTGAAATTGTGAAGGAGAAAATAAAATCTGGCGCAGAAGCCGCTGCAGATGTAGCCGAATCTACTAAAGACAAAGCCGCGAAGGAGGCAAAGAAAGCCAAGGAAAAGACAGGTGGATTTCTCTCCGGGATCTTTAAAGGAGCCAAGCAAAGTGCCGACGAAGTTTCGGACGAAGTAAAGGAGTTCCTGGACGAAACTAAAAAAGAGGCAGCTGAAGAGGCAGAGCGCGCTCGACGTGCCGCCGAAGAAGCTGCAAAATCCATCAAGGACGAAAAGGACAAAATTGCGAAAGAAGCGAAAAATGCAAAAGATAAAATATCAGAGGGAATCTCAAAGGACTCGAAGAAGGTTGCAGATGCTGCGCAGGCTGCAAAGGATAGGGTTGCAGAAAAAGCAGCAGCGGGTCGCGATGCGGTTGTAGATACAATTAAGACAACCGAAGACAAAGTTGAAAAGGAAGCTGCGAAAGTAAAAAAGGGGGCGAAAGATGTCGCGCAATCTGTAAGCAATGGAGCTAAAAGCGTCAAGGATGCTGCGAGGAAGGAGGTGGAAAAGGACACCGAAATCGTGAAGGAGAAGGTGAAGACTGGAACCGAAGCTGTCGCGAATGCAACCGAAGCTACCAAGGAGAAGGCAGAAAAGGAGGCGAAACAGGCCAAGGAAAAGAGTGGTGGTTTTCTGTCGGGCATCATTGAAGGTGCAAAACACGTCGTGGAAGAAGTAACGGACGACGTAAAGGAGTTCTGGGACGAAACGAAGGAAGAAGCCGCTGAAGAGGAGGAGCGCGCACGAAAGGCTGCCGAAGAAGCGGCGAAGAGCGCAAAAGAGGCAAAAGACAAAGTCGTCGGTGACGTAAAGGACGCGAAGGATAAAGTATCGAAGGAACTGACCGAAGACAAGAAGAAAGTGGTCGATTCCGTTAAATCAACGACCGACAAGGCTGCAAAGGAAGTGAAAAGCAAGGCCGAGAATCTAGCTCAGTCGGCAAAGGGTGCGAAAGAGTCCACGAAGAAGACAGTCAAAGAAGACGCTCAGATCGTCAAAGACAAGATAAAGTCAGGTGCGGAAGCAGTCGCGGACACCGCGGAAAGCGTCAAGGAGAAGACGACGAAAGAGGCCAAAAAGACGAAGGAGAAAAGCGGAGGTCTTCTATCCGGCATCATAAAAGGAGCGAAGCACGCGGTGGGCGAAGTTACGGAGGAGGTGAAAGAGTTCTGGGAAGAGACCAAAGAAGAAGCGGAGGAGGAGGAGGAGGAAAGATCAAAGCGAGTGGAATCCCCGTCCAGACCCAGCAAAGATGCGAAAGAAGAGGTCCCTTCCAAAGAAATCAAGAGCAAGGAAGACCCCTCGAAGGACACCACGAAGAGCCCCGAATCCTCGAAGAAATCCTCGAGTCCAGGGAAAAAATCCCTGGAATCGAAGAAAGAGGAGACCCACGTGGTCTCCTTCGACTCTCCCCTGGAGGTCCAATACACCCCAGCCTCGGTGGACCCCAAAGTGGCGACCCAGAAATTCCTGGAAGACACCAGGAACGTCGCCCACCGGACCAACTACCCCACGTCCTCCGGTTCTCCGGTGCAATCCAGGAGCCCTCCGGACAGGGAGCCATCCGACAAGGAAAAATCTAAATCAAAGAAACCCAAGGGTGGCGTGGTCTCCAGCCTGGTGAAGGGGGCGAAGGGCGCCACACACAAGATCGCAAAAGAGGTGGACCACGCCGCCGAGGGCATCAAGGGTGTTTCGGAGAAGTTTTGGGAGGACACCAAACGCATGTCCGGAGCCGCCACGGTCTCGGGTAGCTACGACGTTTCCTCGCCTCCTAGGGACTCTCAGATAGTCAGGGACGAGGTAGCTACCGAGTCGGAAGTTACCTTAGAGTCTTCGGAGTTGTTGGGTAGGCTTAGCGATCAGGGAACAGGCTCCTCAGGGTCCGAGTCCAGGTCCAAGACGTCCCCCTCGCGCATTCCGCAAAAAGTTAGCCCCCTGAAGGAGAAGGTCTCGGTAGTGTCGGTAGTGGAGAGTTCGGTAGAGAAGTCTGAAAGGTCCGAAAGGTCGGATAGGCTGATAGCCGGGGTTTCGAGTAGATTGGAGCACCTCGAGCCTCGTGCACGTCAAACCGTGACCACAGTCGTTACTAAATCTGTGCGTACGGCGGCGACCCCACCACCCAGCCCCGCCGAGTTCACTGATGGTAGCATTAAAGGTATCTTGCAACAATTGCGTTATACATATATACTCTATATATATTACGTATATATATACATATATACATGGATATATTACATACCAGCTGTGTGTAACATGATTAATTAAGTTTAATGCTTTATGTAACCTCAGTTTACACCGGCCGAGGCGAGCGAGTAACGATGCACCTCCACCATGCGTCTAACCATCTAACTTCATTCACCTACTTAACAGTAACACACGCTAATCGGCCATTTCAACATACGACATTCACGCTAAAAAGTGAGGGGAGGGCCTCGACGGTTCATACACTTCGGGGTCTTCGTAAACTGGATCCTAGGATCTGAAATTCAGTCGACACTGATTTTTCAGGGTGTTTTGAAATTTTTAATCTAATTCTTTTTTTTTTCACGGGTTTCTGCAAGCATGGATTTTGACAAAATGATCTCTGGGTGATTCACCAAAATTTATTTTTATCCGGGATAATTGCCATTGTTGTGAAATTGGAGCTTATGGAATAGGGGATATCTGGGAGAAATGAGTTTTTTTTTTTTTCTTCATATTTGGAAATTGTAGATTTTTGAGAATATGAAATATCTTAGTTCCTAGGAACTATCGATTTTCTGATTTCATTATTTAAACACGAGGCATTATTGGAATTCGTTCGCTACTGGCTTCATCGTTCTCTTTTTCGTTCATTTGTATCATCATTTCAATATATTAACGCGAAACTCGAATAAAATTTAACTCATCCCATTGCATCTTTAGGAATGGGGTTGTTGCGCTTAAGTGGAATAATTGCCTGAAATGGTTATTTAACATATTTTTTAAATAAACGTCCTTTCAAATACAATATCTCATGAAAAATTCTTATTGATTTACTTATCACGAATCGTTAGAGGATTAAAGTCATTGATTTCACCATTCCACAGGTTAATTATATTTACACCTGAGTAATATCACCTTCATACCGTTAACAACAATTCACGAGATTGGTAATACCGTAACATTTAATCATAAAGCGTGTGTGATAATAACCGTGAGTACTCAGTCGTAATTGTAATTACCATCCCAAAAATCGACGAATGTGTCGAGATAAAAAAATTAATTATAAATGAATTACACAAGGGATTGTGCAGCAACCCCATTATACACGTACACGGCAATCTCTTCGACTCGACGAGTATCACTTACTCTCGCACTTGTCGTCATTCGAGCAGCTCGACCAATCGGAGTAAATGTGAAGAAAAAAAAAAGGAAAAAATAAATGATCGGGCAGTTCATCGAATGTCACTTTCTGGTATGAATGCGTCGAGAAAATCCACCGATCGTCCCGATGTCTCCGCCACGCCGAATTAAATCTTCCCTTTTTTTTCTTTGCTGTGTATATACGTATAATTTTGGCCTCTTTCCACATTTAATTTCCCTTCGTATACACCGACTTCCGTTGGATTTCTGAGTTGTTTCGATGCATGTTTTTTGCAGGTTTCTTATATGCTGTTTTGCGACACCTTGTCACTTGGCGTGGTAATTAGCGAGACACGAGCGAGAGAGAAAGAGAGAGAGAGTTTTTGATTTATTGCTGTGTATTTCTTTCCCGTATAGCGTAACCTAGACGAATCACGTGTTATTATTATGCAGTAAAATGTAATGACTCTCATTGAATTAACAGGAAACCACAGACTAGCGAGCATGAACCGAGGTATGCCATGCAGGGAATACATCATTCATCTAATCTTTGTTGAGATCATTGCTTTGGATGTGCCGATTGTCGGTTCCACGGTAGTCAAAATGATTTTCCACATTTCAGATGTGACCGAGGAGGCGACCAGGAGGGCCCAAATTCTCGCCGAGGAGGCCAGATCGGTAGTACCGGCAGGTAAAGTACACGAAACCGCGAGTCCCGCCAATTTTTTATGAATAAGGACGAAGATCAGTATGTTAGCAAAGTCTATTTTGGTGCCCTCGGTTATATTTAGCTTTATCTTTCATAGTTAGCACTTGCTGACGCTTCCACACTAACTGATACTTTATGCAAGCCTTCTATCGGGAGACGACCAGCTATCGACGATTTTTAACAACTCCTAATCAAGATGCTCGACATTCGGCAAGTCTGGATTAAAATGCATCAAATCGCAATCAGAGTCCTGGGGTGGTGCCTATTTTTAAAAACGATCTCCCTCAAGATATCACGCAAGAGAGAAATGATATTTTACTGCAAATTTTCGGAAGATACTAATTACTCCAGTGCTCTGAAATCTCGTGAAAAGATATATCGATAAGGGATAAAAATTTTGATAACAAGATATTTAGAGTACTAAAGGGCACCCAAGTGTTCGAGCACCAGAGCACCCTCCTCGCCAACATTTGTGCACGTCCTACATTTTGCAATCACGCGTAATTATGAAAAAGGTTTTTCGAAGAAAATGTCGACCCGCCCGAGAAAGGAAAGGCGGTGAGCTCGTCGCCTCCCTACGAAGGCCAAGCACATATTAGACACCATTTAATGAGTGTTTTCATGAACAAACTAATCCTGATGCAATATTGATACTAACTAACTTACCTTAGCTCTCCACGATTTCTCTCTCTCTATATATATGCGTCCATACATATATACATATGAGACAACATGCTGAGTCCGAGTCCCACCTCACAGCTGGACTAGAGTTGAAATCATTAGTGTGTATCAATGTGCTTTATGTCCTTGTTCCTGTTCTTGTCCGTGTCCTTTGGATGTCCATCTTTTGGATGGGTCAGGGCATGATTCGGCTGAGATTGATGGGACTGTAGAGAGGCATGCTACTTCTACTCCGACAAAGCAACCCGTCCCCGCCCCGCGTCACTCCACCAAGCCGTCCACCAAATCAGATCTTCATCTAGACCTCGAAGACACATCCATCGCACAGCCAACGAAAAGTCACGTCTCGAAACTGCCAGAGCTCGAGGTGAGATCGCCCCGAAGAAAGGAGCCGAAAGAGGAATCCAAAGCCAGCCCGAAAAGCAAAATCCCCGTCAAAGTGCACATACGAGAGACCGCCGAAGAGCGAAAGACAGAAGCTACTGTCACCAAAACTACGGTAGCTAAGAGCATCTCCAAAGACAAGTCGGAAGTCGCTTCAAAGACCCTCAGGGGGGTTTCTAAAGTTACAGTGGAAGACATACTACCCGCCAACGAGAAACCGAAAGAAGCTACCGAGAGACAGGACGTAGTTACCTCCTCCGAAGAGTTCGATAAAGGCGACAGGATCGTAAAGACCGTAACTACTGTGACCAGGTCCGGAGAAACTACTGACGGGGCGGATAATGATGAGGTAAGGCACGACAGTAGCTTCACGAGAACTACCGTGACGACGACCTCCGGTGGGGAGCTACCGGACGACGGTGCGTGGCTATCCGATCCTAGTTGCGTGACGAGAACGGTAACTACTGTCAGAACTACCTCAGGGACAGTAGCTAGCGACTCAGGGGAACCGATCACCCGCGACTTCAGCGAGAGGGCGTTTAAAGAGAAACTCGAAGAGTTCGCCAAAGACAGTAGCTTCACGGTAAGGACCGTAAAGACCGCCGTGACGGAGGTGATCCCTGCCGAGGCGTATGAGGACATATTCAAGGACGCTGGAGTAGCGAAAAGCGTGGATTATTCCCAGGATTTGGCAGGAGTACCTTCCAAAGATGGGAAGTGTACCGTCGAGAGAACCGTAACTACTGTCCGAAGCAACGCTGGGGATCTCGGTACTCTCGAAGGTTTCGACTTCAAGGAAGACCTCTCGAAGTCGCTGATCGTCGAGGCCGGGTCTTTCGAAGGCGAGAGTCCTTCTGGAATTTTAAGGGAGACCATTAGCACCGTCAGGTCGGAGTCAGGGGAGCCCGACTCTTGGACGGAGACAGTAGTTACCAAACACCTGTCCGATGGGAAAGTCGAGACTTGGGAGACCACCAGCAGGTCTGGAGAACAGGAACACTGGGACACTCAGTTCTCCCTCGACACCTCGCCGAGCTCTGGCAACGGGGACGTTTACGTTAAAAATGGTAACTCGAGGCACGAACTTAACAGCGACTCTGACAGTGACAGTTCACCGCAACCCAGGAGACGGTCTCCCTGCAAGAGGCGGACTCTGGGCAGCTCCAGCGGGTCGGATGTCGCACTTCATGAAGGGGCCGAGCTGTCCCCGATGGAGGACGACCAAGGTACCTCACTCACAGCTAACATTCTAAGTAAGCAATGTACATATCCCGCTAACCCGTTACCTAGATATCCATCTGCATATACAGGCACGGTGATGCATCCTCGCAACCTGGAACTGGACTCTGCCAAACCTTTTATCTTCGACCCACAAGTCCTACGCCTTACCTTCTTCAAGATGAAGTTGCAGATTTTTCCGCCTTCTTTATTGCCAAATACATTATAATTTACCCCGAGGGTTTGATACGACTGTACAAAAGGTACAAAGGCGTACCGCCTTTAGTACCAAGTGATCGGTGTAAATTATTTTTAGCGGCAAAATCTGCAATTTTGTATCGAATGTTATGATTTAGGAATCTCGTTTCGTCCATAGTCCAGGTTGCCGTGGGTGTGGGGATCATATACAAAGGCTGCACGAGTCTACAGGAGATATCTTGCGACATGCTTGCACGTACAGTCGGTGGTGGATGTTCATCTGCATGTTGCGTAATTCCCCCTGCACGTTACATCGGTAGCTACTTCAGGCATCACGAGGTCTTAATCAGCTGCCAGAACGGAAAAACAAAGCTTGTCGAGGATAGGTGTCATTCCGATTTGAGGATTCCGCATAAATCTACTTGTGTCCTATTGGTCGCTAGCAGGAAGCACAAGGGCCCGTTCCAGGATCGCTTTCATCTCCACGTGTCAATCTAAAAGGGATAACCCGTCGCCATTTATACTATCTTAGCTACAAACGGGAGCTTTTGGGATTTTAATGCGTTGCCATCGATCATCCTGTGTGTGCGTATCGGCATCCCTGTATTAGCCGTCGTGCGTCGTTATAACGAAATAGCAACAATAGGAAACCACTGAAATGTACATCCAAACTTCTTTGCAAATTCTCTATTTAATATTCCGGGGCCTGAACAGAGAACGCCTTTTCCAATATCCCCTAAGCAATGAGAGCTTCTCTTTCGCCGCATATATATAAAAAAAAAATTGTTTAATTCAATTCTCCAAAAAATTAAAAATTCCTGCCACTAATTTCATGAGTTTCCCTCGATATAAAACGCAAATTCCACGCCGTAACTTCCATGTTTAATAATTCCTAACCGCATAGAGTGCAGACCTTCGTCGTCTTAAATTTACTGCTTCTCTCTCAAGTATATGTATAAAATATTAACCACTCAGTACCTGAAATTCAAGTAAATTATTTCAGTCCCACGACTCCGTGTTGCTATTTCCGTGTACCGACCCCGGCGAAACGCTTTAATCCCTGGCGACATTTTCTCCAAAAAAAAAAAAAAAAAAGTAAAAGGAAAATTGTAATGAAGCCTTCGAAGTTATTACAAAACATATCCTGATCGCAGATTTAATGGGGTTCGCTGGGGGAACTCGTTGGATTCGCGGTCAGGTTTTTTTTTCATTTTTTTTTCTTTTTCGTTTCTTTGGAGAGGAGTCATTCGAAAAAAGTTTCGCCAGAGAATGTCGCCCAGGGCGAACTAATTGGCAAGAGAGGAAGTGCCGAGAAAGCTAAGGAAGGCATACTGTTTAAGCAACGCGCAGTTCGATACGATTGGTCTGCTCAGACCACCTGGGACAGAGCAGTCCCCTAGGGACTGGTGAGATGCCTAGGACGAAGACTAGGGAAAAGCCGAGCTGCGTATGTTGGATGGTCGTCGCAACCGCGACGTTGGTGGTCCTGCTCGCATTAATTCTTGCCCTGGAACCACGTGCAATCCACACCCTGTCCAGCCATGCCCCGAGGCAAGCTGGGTACGATTCATAGTAACTTCACTAGAGATAATTAACTACCAATAATCCGACTTGTTTCCCCTACGAGGAACTCTTCCGAATTCCCTGCGAAAATTCCGACTTTTTCGGGACCTCGAAATAAGTCGCGGGTCAGGGGTTCTTTCGATTTTTAGCCCAAAAGTATTGAAAAAAAAAAAGAACAAGAAAAAGCGGAATTCACCAGGTACCTTGATTCCCTTTCGTAAGAAATACCTAAATCATTCAGACCAAGGTGTAGAGAAGAGCTGGGTACGATTCGTGGTAATTTCACTAGAGATAATTAACTACCAATAATCCGACTTATTTCCCTTGGAAAGGAAATGAAGGAAATTCCGAGTTCCCTGATAAAATGAAAAGGAACGGATAGTTTCAATTTTTGGCACAAAAATGTTTAAAAAACGGGGAATCCACTAGGTTGATTCCCTTTCGTAGGAAGTACCGAATTCTTTCCCACTAGGGTGTAAAGGAAATCTCGAGTAGACGCGGTAGGGTGGGTTTTCTTTAACTCTCCTTGTAAGAGATAAGTCCTGGCCGGCATTTATCAAAGATGAGAAATAATCAAAGTTACAGGTACCGCCAGATAGGTTCAAGCGAGTCCGGGACTCGCAAGTACTCCAAGTCCTAGATCTCCAAGACTTTATAGTAAGACATGATTCTACAATCTAGCATGAATCAAGCGATTTAGAAGGACTGCAATGAGAAGACAATCCGTTTCAAAAAGAAAAGATAAAGGAATTAAAAAAAAAAGGAAAAATTGTCCATCTTAATTTTTTCAAAATTCATCCATCATTGTCGTTCTCAGTGCATTTCAGCGTAGAGCGCGATTCCGCTGCCGAGTCCGAAGCAATGAGTGCTTTTTAATATCCATAAGCAGATTTAGCCGGCTCTCTTTATGGCGTACGATTTACTCTCAAGGGACACTCGCCGATCGGTAAATATGCGTAAAGAAAAATGTGAAAAAAGAAAAAATAGAAAACATTTATATGAGGAAAAACGCAAGTTTTGTATCATGCGATCTTGGACACGCACAAGCTTTATTTTTCTGAGGCATCGGACGAGTATCTCCGATGAAGCCAGAATTTTCTGCATGATCCTCCAGCCAGGATTTCGCATGTCTTGTCAAGCCTGATTATACCGATCGTCTGGCCTTACGAACTTGTAGTGAACAATTTTTATTTATTTATTTTTTTTATTCTGCACAGTACACCGTAGAACTTTTTCCCACGATTTTCGCTTGAATCACGAGTCGTCTAGTTGCACGTACCTAGAGCTAGCCGGAGGAATTAATTAGTTATTGCAATATTTTCTAGTACACCACGATCCTACTAGCTCTCCCATATTAATGAACATCTCAAGATAAAGCTAAAGTGTAGAGGGACCAACGATCGTGTCGTTTAAGTATCGAGTTAGGATTGTTAGGCGAATGCGTACTTGTGATATTACACATCTCTTCATGTAAGTAAAATGAGATAATGAGAAATCGACGCCGAAGAGGCGCGCATAAATTCTAAGGTGCACGAGAGAGTGTCGAGTTTAGCCTGGCACGTGTATTTTCTGCACCCTGAGTAACTACCAGCAGCTACCAGTAACTACACGAGCAACTACGGAACGTGTATCTCTCACCTGTCTCTTTCTCTCCGTGCTAATATTTAATATTTAATATTTAATACCTAGTCGACGTAATTCCGTATGTGTCTGTCGCACCTGAGAGAATCCCTCTGCCTAAGAGAATTAAAAAAGAACATGAGAATCGTCTCGATAAAGGAATCCTTAAAAATAAATCAATAACCTGCAAGGTTCCCTCTTACAGAAAATTCTTCCTAATTAAACATAATAACCTTTTACTCCATTTGAACGTGACTTTTTGAAAGAAAACGTTTTGTGCTTCGAGATGGTCCTTTATCGAGAGGATTCTTTTTTTTTATCGTGTAATCCTTATCACGCGTGTACAAACGAGTAACCACTCCTACGTACTAATAATCAGCGCGATGATTGTTGCACCTGAGAGGAGTAGTCCGATAAATAGTCATTGTCTTCCCGTAACGTGTGCAAGAAGAACGAGCTACCTCGGAAAGCCTGGAGCTGTAAAAATGCCTGGAAAGAAAGACGATGAAAAAGGAAAAAAAAAGGAAAAGATTCTGTAAATGAATCCGACCTGCAGTTACCGAGTAATACGACTACACGGTACTCGGCGAGTTCGTCTAACAATACTAACCAAAGTAGTTAGTACGCGCTCCTTAAGAGTTTACTCTGGTCACATAGCTGAAGTATATATACATACATATATCAATATATGCATCTATATATACTCTTTTTTTTTTTCGCGAAAGTTGACTACAGATATACATTGACTAACTGCTAAACGCTTTGTTCAGCCGCTTCAGTGGCGCTTTGCACAAGCTCGTCGACGCGCAGCACAATTGTATTTTTTTTTATATGTGTGAAAAAAAATATATGGGACCGATAATAAACTTTGTCGATCTGGAAAAATGTCGAGAGAAAAAAAAGAGAAATTCCGTCACCGGGTGACGTCTTCAGAAATCCGAATCGAGTGCTCGCGGAAATTGGCCGACTTGAAATTATTTATATCCGAGAGCAATAGAAATATTTTCTTTTCTTTAACAAAGGGGCGAGGATATTCATTTTGTGAGGTCGGTGGAATATCTTCGATACCGTCTTCTTATTTTCGGGAATTATGCGCGAGGTCGGGACTGCATCGTGCAATTTCGCCGATTATCCTTTTAAGATCCGACATGCAAATGAGATCTCGAGTGGCTCGATACACGAGGCGTTTCTTGCGATAAGTTTTTAACCGCATCGATATTACATGCAAAACCAAGCAAATACGTAATACATTTGGCTGAATGAAAGTGCGTACTATTTGTAACTGTAAACTGTTATCCTAGCGATGTCGTGAATTTTTTTATATGTGTCTAGAAACTATACCCCTTGGGCATGAAGTAAAATTGAGAGGTACACCATTGATACTTGTCTTTTAATGTGATAAGCTACCGTGACGTACAGTGTCAACGTACGAGCCGAGTTTTACTTAATCGTTGTCTTTTCCCTCGCAGAGTCTGACTTCATGCAACACAACGAGCCCACTTACATGGAAACGACCACGACGGAGATGGGTCCCGATGGGCAAACGAGGTACCCCGAAATCACCGTTGAGCCGTTCTGATTATAGGATAAAAGGTACAAGAGAGACCCAGGTGTAACGTTATGTCGATCCTTTCAGAATAACGAAGACAACGAGGACGATCACGACGACGACCACGACCTCGGCGTCGGGAGGGCCGGAGGATTTGCGCGACTCCATGCAGAAGATCGTCGACAGGTTCATGACGGAAGAGAAGAGAGGCCAGTGAACGATTCCCACGGGATCGGCGAGATTCCAGATGCGAGACTCCCGAGGATTCGCGATTCGCGAGTGCACTCGGAGATGAGCGCATCTAGCGACCCCTGATAAGACGCATCCTCGCAGACTCCGATAAGACGCATCCTCGCGCGTCCTTCGGCGTCCCTGATAGCAATACGGGGCATCGAGCCAGCTTATCGCCCCGAGGTTGATACCACCAAGCTCCAGGACCTGGTCCCCGCAAGAAGGATGTTCCATCACCAACGAGAGACATCTTCGCATCTTCACCGAGATGCATCATCTTCGGGAGGCTGCGACTCGCGAATGCCCTCGGGACATGCGTTGCAGACACCTCGCGATAGATTCTAAGCGAACATTTATCGATACGCGACGAAAGGTTGCGCCGGATAGGAAGGTCCGAGTTCTCGAAGACGATGGACGAGACGCCTTTCCTTCCCTTGTGGCTAAATTACGGATTCCATGGAGCGAGATACTCTAAGCGAGATAGGAAACACCGTACTACGCGTTTGAAATTGTAACCCGTCGACTGGGTCAGGACCCAGGACGCGATGGAGATAGGGCCTCGAGGAGTTGCGCATCCTTGGAGCCGGACCCCTAAAGACGCATCACGTCCCAAGGGGTTCGGTTTGGAACGTTTTCCGGTACCACAGCGTACAATTTTCTTGGCTACCGACCCGCACCGAATCCGCAGCGAGATCCTGGCCTAGCCTTTGCCGTCGCCTCTCTCCGGGGCGGCGAATTCGCACGCTAGTTCGACTAGCTTCGAGCTAGTTCAAACCCAGCTACGCTAAACCCGTCCATGATCAGCTCTTCTTCTGCGACCCGGACCGCGAACATAGCCCTTAGCACGCGAAGTAAGGCCGTGAAATGCTTTCGATGCAGACCAGGTCGTCCCAAAAATCCGGAATACTTTCTTCAGGAAGGATTAAACTTGTCTCGCGGGATGCTTAGGAGATCGCTCGCTGGGTGCAGAAATGGTATTCGGAGTCCTGGGACATCTTGGCGAGGGGAATGTAAAAAAAAAAAGAAGAAACGAGCGTTTTAGGGTATATCTAATGGGTGTTTCTCCGCGTTGTTCGGGCCGAAAGGCGAGACAGCCTCTCCTCGGTGGGAGAGGACGCGTTTCCCTAGGACGAGGTCGAGGTGCGTCCTCTTTGTCTCGTAGCATCGTCAAGTTCGTCACGCATGCATCGCTTCCTAGGCTGTAAGGGCTCGAACGAACTGCGCAAGCTCTTTGTAGAGCTTCGACTACGAAACGAAAATCGCTTAGCCATTTCGCAACACGTCCGAGGTGTATAGACCACTTGTCGTTTCCCAGAAACGCGGAATCGGATCGATCCTGGATGGGTACTTTACGAATTGACTACCACTTACCGTCGTACTCGGATCCTCGATTTAAAATAAGTACACCCGAAGAATTCTCCAAGCGATCCCCGACCTGGGAAACTGCAAGAGGCAGTCCTTATTCGCCAAGCGGAGTATACACTGTATAAATTTCTCTTATTTAACGGGATGTACTTCCTAACAGTTTTTAATTGTGTACATTATAATTATTTTTCTTAAGCGTACGTATACATATATATAAATATTATATATATATATATATATATAACTTACACGTGTTTACATGACTACTGTACTGTTGTAATAATGACGCATCGGAATCATTGAAAGACGATGATGAAACAGTTTCATTTCCAAAGCTCGCTCAGCGGGCGACCGCCGTATTCGACGGTCGCGAATTCGTCGTCTCTTATCTTTTTTTTTCTCTCTCTCTCCTTCCCCCGGGAGTTATCGAGACCGATCGAGCGGGGCGTATTTTCCACTTAAGCGAGGTCTAACGAGCCTAACAAGGGAGCTTTGGACTCGAGAAAGAGAAAATACGATCGTATCGTCTCGACATTTGGCGCCATTAGCTTTCGGTGTGACGTGGTTTGGCAAGAACCGGACATAAAGGAAAAAGATAAAAAGTCAAGGTCGCACCCAGTGCGGCGTATATATTTAGGAGTCTCCTAGCGTAAAGATACTCTATTGATAATAAATACAAATAAATAAATATATAATATATCGAGAAGAACAGATATATATATATACACGAAAGAGTGAAAAAAGACGCACTTCCGAGATTTATAAATTATTGTATCCGTAATCTGTCCAGTATGCATTCGATAGACTTGCCTAGAGCCCACCTGACCTAAGGACCAAAGGCACAATCACCCGCGCATCAAAATAAAGATACATTGTACCGCTCCTATATACGTCTACCGCTATGTCTAACGATAATGTCTAAAACCACTCCGTTGTGATAACAGACAAACTTGGATCGGTCCCATGTACGTGTACAGGGTATTTCAATGGCGCCTTGCGAGACGCCCGATTCCGATGATCCTGCGAAAACGATCGATGATCGATGCTTAAACTTTGGACGACGTTATGTACTCTCTTTTTCTTTCCTTTCGCGTTTTAGAACCGCAACTCGCCGAGCGCAATCCCTCGACATGCGAGCGTCCGAATGCTTAGCCGAAACGATCTGAAAAGGGGGAGAAAAAAAAATAGGGAAAAAAAAAGAGGATCCGGAAATAGGCGTCGGCTTTTTCGTGCAACCTCCCCGACGACTTCGCGACGTCCGATCGACACGGCTTACGATTTTCGTAACGTTTTGTACGATTTAGTTTTCCGAAACCTCTCACGCCGCATCTTCGAGCTATGGCAGTCTTTCTCCCGCTCTAGGCGCTAAAAGAGAAAAGAAACAACCGACTGTTAAGGAGATAATATTGCGTCTCAGAGCTCTACTATTGTGTGATAGGACTTTCGACGACAGTATGAATAATAAAATATCGTATTTCCCCCTCGACCGAGTTACAATTTTTAACAGAGATGAGTTGGGAGATTGCTCACAGGCAGGATCGTGCGATTGCATCCTGTGCTGTCCTCTGGATTCATACGTTAGCTTTCACCGTTTTTTGCCCCCAAGGGCGGCGCAACGAATTTCTCATAGGAGTTCCCGCACTCGCGATGACGGTACCATCTACCAGTCGCCGTTGGCGGCTTACGTACTCGTGATGGTAATACCATGCGGTAGTTGACGGTGGAGGCTTACCTACGGTTACCGACACTACTCGCTTTTGATGGTAAGGGAAGAACACTCGTGACGCTCCATTTGACTTTATCTACTTATCTACTACTATTAAGTACATTGTTGCCTCGAAGTCAACGTGATGCGGAGCTTTGGGGCACGCGTCGGTGTCGCGTACGGAACCCTCAAGCAGCGAATCTGTGTGAGTGCGATCGCTCCTAGAAATCTTAACGCGCCCAACCAGCCAAGCGCCAAGCTACGGGTCGAGACGTTGAGTATGTTGCGTTCGGCGCTACACTCGACGAGCATGCGTGAGAGTCGAATACTGCGAAAATCCTCCTGAGGCTTACCTAATCCCGGATATAAGCCGAGTCATTTCGCGTATGATTTTTTTTACATTTCCCTACTAGCGTTATCGAGCGTTTTCGAGTGTTTTCGAGCATTATCGAGCATTTTTTTAGCGGTTTCAAGCGTTTTCGAGCGTTATCGAGCGTTTGTCAAGCGTTTTTGAGCGTTATCGATCGTTTTTCAAGCGTTTCTCGGTCATTTTCAGAGCATTTTCGTGCGTTGTCGAGCGTTATCGATCGTTTACGCGCGTTTTTCAAGTGTTTTCGAGACTTATCAAAAGCCGTACAGTGCGGTTGCGTGTTGTTAGTGCAGTAGAGTGCCGGAGAGTGCCGGAGAGTTGCCGGAGAGTTGCCAGAGAGTGCCGGAGAGTTGCCGGAAATGACGGAAAATGCCGGAGGGTGCCGGAGAGTGTCGGAAAGTTGCCGGAGAGTGCCGGAGAGTTACCGCAGAGTGCCGGAGAGTGCCGGAGAGTTGCCAGAGAGTGCCGGAGAGTTGCCGGAAATTACGGAAAATGCCGGAGAGTGCCGGAGAGTGTCGGAAAGTTGCCGGAGAGTGCCGGAAAGTTGCCGCAGAGTGCCGCAGAGTACTGGAGAGTGTCGGAGAGTGCCCTAGAGTTGACGCAGAGTGCCGGAGAGTGCCGGAGAGTTGCCGGAAGTGCCGGAAAGTGCCGGAGAGTGCCGGAGTACTCAACGTCTCGACCCGTAGCTTAGCGCTTGGCTGGTTGGGTCGCGCTAAGATTTCTAGGAGCGATCGCACTCACACAGATTCGCTGCATGAGGGTTCCGTACTCGAAACCGACACGTGCCCCAAAGCTCCACATCACGTCGACTTGGAGGCAACAATGTAGTTAATAGTAATAGATAAGTAGATAAAGTCAAATGGAGCGTCACGAGTGTTCTTCCCTTACCGTCAAAAGCGGGCAGTGTCGGTAAGCGTAGGTAAGTCACCACCGTCAACTGCCGCATGGTATTACCATCACGAGTACGTGAGCCGCCAACGGCGACTGGTAGATGGTACCGCCATCGTGAGTGCGCGAGCTCCTATGAGAAATTCCTTGCGCCGCCCGTAGGGGCAAAAAACGGTGAAAGCTAACGTACGAACCAGAGGGCAGCACAGGATGCAATCGCACGATCCTGCCCGTGAGCAATCTCCCAACTCATATCTGGGGGTTATTCACTTGAAAATGCTTGAAAATCAGTGAAAACAATTTCCTTCATCGACTATATGTGATTATATGTGACAAACAATGCTATTCGGTAGCAAGTGGCGTTCAGTCTTAAAACTCACTGTTTACGGTTATATTTAACGATTTCCAGCTGATTTCCAGATAATTTTGAACGTTACAATCCGCGATTTCTTTTTGTGAACACCCCCTCGAGTATTAAGAGATGGAGAAAACTGCATTTCTTGGATAAGAACTTTTATTTACAGTTTATGGCTGTCAAATGTGTCACAAATCATCGAAATTAGGCGCGACGGTGGGAAGAGGCACGCATTTAGTTATTTGAACTGCTAAATGGAAAAATTAAAAGAGGATCTTCGAAGAGGGAAGAAGATAGGAGGAAGACATCCTAAGGAAGAGCGAGGGTGGTTTTTGAGACAATCGTTGTCGAAACTTAAATTAAACATTCATGGTTGAAACGTAATTAATCATTGATGGTCGATCTCATGTGAGGACGTCACTTCTTCTCGGAGGTGGTACCAACTATTTCATCGATAATCTCTCAGCCTGAAATTTCTCAACACCATTATGAAACATGGAAAAGACATGATACAATTGTTTCAAGATCGCACAACTTATAAAAGAATGATTTCGATTTAATTGACAGACAATCGAATAACATTTTGGATGATTCTAGCCTCATCGTACCAAGAAATGTGGTGCTTCTCCGGTATGTCCTAACATGTACAAGTGAAAAACGAGCCGTACATAGTCTTAGCCCAATTTAGACACATAAACGCGTGAATGTCTCCGATTAACAGTGGCTACTTTCCGCTTTGGTCTCATCGTTACGCCTTAAACTTAATCAACAATTAAGAAAATAAACGTTCTACTCTCGAATGTATGGGAAGCGTGAATAATAAGGCATTAAACGTAATACTAGAAACTCTCCAACGTGTACTAAATAATGAAAACCAATGGCCGAGCGTTTCGGAAGCTCGGGGAAATAATCATTAGCAACTAGCAACAATAGTTCGGAATAAAATCGCATTATGCAGAGGGACCTCGGTTCTGGTCGCGGATCTATCGCAAAGATTCATCCAATGGCCTTCAACCTCTTTTAAAAAAGTTAACTCAGTCCCACGTTAAAGCCTTGAGAAGTCGAGCGATCCGCCGACCACTTTTTAACCACAGCGTATAGATAAAATATGAATTAAAATAATCATTAAAATCTTACCGACCATCAGATTTATCTCAAACTGTACACTCACTTACTCTGGCAAAGGTGAGCTTATATACAAGCACGAATGGGCACCCGACTGCGATTATCTACACATAATCAATTGTCAAATACGCTCGAGGGGCCATGCTCTCTGTTGAGGCTCTCTAAAGACTTCACCCCGCGTTAACAGACCCATAAAACGCTTTGTCGCAGCTTTGGGTTAGGAACAGTCGGTACACGTGGGTACCGTCATTTCGGATGACAATTATGAAAACACGTGGACATCTCGGTTCTCATGGAAATAAAATAGGTATCATTCGTCCAACGACGTCATCATGGAAGTTTCATATTAGAAACGTTTTAGCTGACCATGAAGTGCAGCTGAGGTACATGGTTCGGAGTGGGATACTGCTCCAGGTTGCATTTGGATCCAACCTCGGCGAGGTGACTCTTCAGCTTCTCGTCGTTCGAGAACCTTTCCCCGCACGACTCGCAGATTTTCGAAGGATCGGTCGGATGTTTCACCATGATGTGCCTCGTCAAGCTGCGCTCGTCGTACAGAGTTCTGTCACAGACATGGCACCTGGGGGTATTGTTGTGTCGGTACATGTGGGTCTTGTAAGTCTTAGCCTTGACGAGCTTCTTGCAGACGGCGCACTGCACCAACTTCTTCCCCTCCGAGCTGTGAACGATGCCGTTGTGTTTCTGCAATACGCCATTCTCCGAGAACGCCTTCTTGCAGGCATGGCAAGGGAATCCAAGGCCCAGGTGGTACGCCTCGTGTTTGTACTTCACCCTGATGTGAAGAGCCTTGCTGCAGATCGAACAAGCCGTTTGGTCGTGCATCTTGGTCATATGTATCTTGCGCGCCTCCTTGTTCTGGTACCATTCCGGGCACTCGGGGCATCGATAAGGCAGCTCCTTGTTGAAGTGGGTCCTCTTGTTGTGCCAGTCAAAAGATGCAAATGACTGGTACTCGACGTCGCACTGCAAACACTTTATGGACATCTTGGGCTCGGAGAAAGGCCCATGTTCCGTCACGAAGCACTTGTGCTCGGAATAGTCCACGATGCTTTTGCAAACGTACTTGCAGTACCCGCAAGTTATGCATCGTGGATGATCCTTGCTCAGGTGCTTGTAATAGGCGTCCATGCATTTGAATTTTGTCTTGCATGGACAGGTTTTGGGAAGAATAATTTTCCGGGAAGTATCATCCGGGCTCTCGGTCAGTCTTAGATCCCTGTTAGAATCCGCTTTTTCCGGGGAATTAGTTTTTCTCTCGTTGCTCCCTTGTGTCAACTTTAATACCTTGTCAGCTTTGCTCTTGGTCCTCGGGGAGATGTTACGGTCATTTTCCGTCCGATTCGTATCCGTCGTGGGTGCACTTTGCGAGTCTTCGTCGAAACAACTGTTAGTACCTTCTATGTCGACCTCCATGTCCTCGTCTTCTTTCACGTGCTGCAATTTTAGAAAACTGTGGTCCTTACTGTACTTGGCGGCCTCCAGAGCCTCGTAATTCTGCTCGTCGTACGCTTCGTCGCTGTAATGTGCTGACATGGTGTCGGAGCCATCGGAGGTCGAATACCCATCCTTGGAGTGATCCTGTCCCGAGTCCTTGGACTTCTCCTCGTCACCGCTCTCCCTGTTCACAATCTCGTAGGAATTGTTTCTCTTCTTTATGGTTATGTTGATTCCAATTCCGGAATCCCTGTCACTGCTGATACGGGAGAGCTGTTGCGGGTCTCTATTGGTGTCGTTATGAGATTTACATTTTAACTTATGAACAAATAAAGTGTGGGGACTGCGGAACGACCTACCGCAAACACATGTCGCATCAACAGCTTCGTCTTTCTTTGGCGGTACAGGTTTTGCTGAAACACTTGTATTACTTTTCTGGTCTATGCTGGTTGTGCCCTTGGATGGAACATTCTGAAGGCTCCCCATGTTACTGGAATCCTGTAATTTTCGTAATCTTCCATTGCCACGCTGAGAGAGGTCGAAATTTTCTTTTGTCTCTTTTCGCCTCTCGTGTACTTTAAGATGCTTGTATAAACTATGACGATCCACATAATATCCAAGACAGATGTCGCATTGCAGTCTATTTGCGATAGACCGTGGACCATTTTTGGTTAACTTCTGGGTACTCGGATATCCGCTATTTTTCAATGCAGCCACAGGTTCCATCTGTACATTTTCGACAATTTTTGGATTATGTTCGCTGACACTTTTAGTTAAAACGGTGTCCATGGAATCAAGAAGAGTTTGATTAACGGAAGCAGGAATCAGTGGCCCAGGATGTTTTATCTTATGATACTTGATGAAATGTTTCCCAATATTCTTACAACTCCTGTTGCATAACCCACACTTAACGTATCCAGAGGGAGGAAGTGCATCCTCCTTCTTTCCCGATACCTTAGATTTTGTAGGCATCGAAGGAGAAATATTTACTATATTTTCTGCATTTTGTTTAGTTTCTGCAACTTGCTCGTTAACCTGTGCTGCTCTGATGTCACTTTTTCCACAATATATGTTAATCTTATCAGGGCTTAAATTATTAAATGTTACTTTTTCCATGCTGGCTGCATCGGTTTTCAATGAATCTGCCTCTAGTTTACGTTTCTTGTTAATAGGTTCGTCATCTGTTGGATCTTTCTTTTTGTGTTTCATCAAGGGTATTACAATTCCATGAAATTTTAGTGCATGTACCCGTAAACTTCGTTTCTCAACGTATACTTTGGAACATGTCTCACACTGAAACGTCTTCTTGTTCCTCTTCCTCTTGGTTGCTGGAGGGGTTCTCTCTTGTACTGGTATTACGATACCATGGTTTTTCAAACTATGTATCCTAAAATGTCGCTTTTCAACATACTGTTTACCACATATGTTACAATGAAACAGCTTCTGTGCGCTCATCACTGATAAGTGAAAATTTGGAAGAGCAGAATTTCCATTTCCTAATACCGGCTGATACTTAATATAAGGAGTATCAGGTTGGACCTTTTTATCAACCTCTTTTGGTTTAATAGGGCTCTGGGGTTCACTTTCCTTTTTCTCAGGTAGACACTTTTCTTTGTTATCCAAGATTCTTACCTTCTTTGGAGAACCTTTTTCATTTACTGCCGGAGTTAATTTATTTTTAATTAAACTTTCCTTCTCTATAGACGAGTTTTCAGAATCTTCGTCGGTTTCTGACTCTTCTGAAACTTCGTCCTCCATATTCCTGATAAGTTGAAGGGTCTCCCATATCTTGTCGCATCTTTCCAAACATAACGTCGGATTCTTAAAAGTATATTCCATCACATACCGCACTGGCCACTCGACGTTCTTCTGAAAAAAAGAGCGACGTGCGTTACATTTACCGAAATAATAATTTAACACATGTACAGATTTACATACGATGAAGATGTATTTTGCTTTTAAGAAACGGTCACTGCAATAACTAGAATATATGATACACGTAATTTGGCTCTAGACGTTAAAATGTTAATCGCTAAACAGAAATGAATTATATTTTTATTATAAAACAATGGACCAATGTGACTCAAATTGTTTTCTGGGCATCATAGTTTTATAGCCAATACAAATCAGATGGAAGGCAGATAGAGAGCTGAGTCAGCTTTTGACCGATAACTAAAGAGACCTTGCACACCTGTCCTTGCAAATCTCTACGCTTCTCTAAACGTCAAAGCAGTCTCGTAAACATTACATATATCTCCCCCACTCTCAGTTCCAATCACATCTGAGCTTAAAGAATCTTACAAACATCGCAATCCCAATCAGAAACATCGCACATCTCTTACCGGGTGCAAAGAAGTGTTCGATTCGGAGTTTTGCATGGCGCCGAAAACCTAACCTAACTCACGCCACCAGATTCGTAGTACGTCAGATTACAAAAATGCAGTACACATATCACGATAAACCTCCACTTCAAGGCACACCACTAAACCTTGCAACCTGAAATCTCGAAATCTTGAATACACTTCCATCCGTTGTCCCTTTTCGATTTGAACGTTATCTGCCCCTCCATTCCAACCGAACCACCAATCTTCCTCCCCACTCCCAAGTCCCGTCGCCAAGGTTAGGTTAAGTTAGGTTACACCTCCCGACACACGAAATTCGTTACCATTCCACGTTAAAACTCTCCCTACGATTTCCCTAAACTCGCGGTAAACCCGGATGGACAACCCTGCGCGTAGAAAAATTGTTTACGGCAGTCAGGTGTCGCGACCTAACCTCTCACCGCGTGCCGATGAACGTTTCGCCAACCCAGCCGCTCAGCACCGACTGGTCGGTAAAGCAGATCGCGGAACCCAGCGAAACCCGACCGCTTTCCTTCTCGCTCCCCTCCCCCCTCTCTTTCTCTCTAGAACCTAAAATTTCCCAAGATCCGATATAATTTCCCGCATTTCACGTCGTCAGGCGTCCCATTTCCTTGCCCCAACTTCCCACGGCCAGGGAGTATCGGGAATACTCACCGAGGTGCGACTGCACTGCACAGTTGGGCCGCCGTCGACGCATTCCTCTGCGCCTGGCTCCGGGTCGTTCGTCAATTCGGCCATGACGCTCGAACGTGCTCGGACGTGTCTGCGATGACGCGCTACTCCATGCTGCTCCTCGCGTCTCCGGGAACTCGGCAGGCCCTTGGTCGAGAGCTAGTCTTGCGAGCGCTAATTCGTGGCCGAGGGAGTCCCGGGGTCTGCGGGAATGGCGCGGCACGGTCTGCGGACGGTGTAACGGGGGCCGCGCTCGAGCCGCGCCGACATCTTGTTTTCGTTGGTACAGGCTTTATTGGGTTGGGGTGCCCGCACGGCCGCGTACGGCTGCGTGGCCAGACGCGCCCATTCGCGCGCTTGGACGCTCCTCTACGTTCCAGCGAGCCAAGCCAGGACAGAATCCCACGAACCCACGGGATCGGCCAAAGATTCCAACCAAATGCCACGATAAAAGCCCAGACTTAAAAACGAACTACGCGATGTTTCTTCCTCGCTTTGTTTCCGCTCGTTTCGCTCACCACACGATCGCCGGGTCGGCAGATGTGTGGTCGCCTACCCGGAGTCTAACAAATCGCGACGCAGGCTTGGCCTCGAAACAACTCTACTAGTACTCAGAAAATAAAGACGAAACTATGCAAGAGAACTAACGATCGATCGCCAAAAACCCGCAGTGACGTCGTCTTCAAACCAGTACCCATCCATGCAAACGATCCAGCAAAAAAGACTTTAGGTCTAAAGTCGACCGCACACGGTGGTTCTTATCTTGCCGGAACGTTCGCATGGTTGTGCGGGCAACCGTTTTGACGTCGTGCAGGCATATCGGTTGTCGAGTCCTTTTAGGCTTGGCTTCTCGTGAAACTCCGGTAATCGATTGGGGAATGGGCTAATTTCCAGATAATAAATGCGAAAGACAGAACACAATGCAGGAAAAGTAGCAGGTGTCGAAGCCTGGAGGGTTTTTAGCATCGTTGTTGGGGTGACGCCATTTTCAAATATAGGTCCCAGAACAGCTGCCACCACGGCCCCGGCAAACGAGGCAAGAAAACCGCACCGTGTGCGGCGGGCTTTAGAACGGAGCAAGTAACTCGGGCTACCACGCAAGCCCAATATCTGCCCAGTCCAAACGACAAAGCCGATATGGGTAGAGTCCATTTGGAGAGATCAGTTCCGTCCATAGCGCTCGATTTTTCAGAAAATCTCGTCAAAACTAGTTGGACGTGATCTTAGACGCCGGGACGGACGCAGGGAGAACACGCATGATGCGTGCAGCTGTAGGGCTGGGTCGGGACTTGAAGTTTGGGGCCCCTTTCGGTTGAGACAACAAAGGACCCTTTAACGAAGGGTTCCCTCCAGTTTCGAGGGTCTCACAGGGCCTCAAACAGGGAGAAACTCTGGGCTTGAGAGAGTTTCTGGATGGCTTGGGAATCTGGGATAAGGAATGGTGTTTCGTCCTGGATGGTGCTTGGGGTCCGTAGGTTTTCGGTGTCCTGGATGGACAGTTGGGCACGTGGGTGGGTTGCAGGTCCAAACTGTATTCTGGGACTTTCTGTAAGGGTCTACAAAGGTCTCCGTACTTATCCAGGATCATGGGTGAAGGTTCTTCATTCCATCTGGGTGACATCTCTCTGCTGATTATGTTATGCGACGCGGAATTATCCTCGGATCCCCGAGTCTTGGGAAGGTGCATTCCCTTTCCGGGCCACGTGTATACCCATGTTCCGGGCGAAGTGTATACACGTCCGTAACCCGTAACGTTACAATAAATTCAATAAATTCCGCAGCTAGAAGGTTAGGAGACGATGTAGGGCTAGAGCCCGAGGGAAGAAGGATCGAGACTTCACTCAATAGATCCACTCCTATGAGACACATCGCATCCTCCGTTTGGATTTAGTCATTCCGACAAAGTTCACATCCTTTACTTTTACCAAGTCTTTAAGGAATTATTATTGAATTTCCTGCACTTGCACGTGTTGTTTCGTTTGGTGCAACCTGGCGAGGTTAGGTCAAGCCAGGTACAAAGACGCGCGACAAAGGGACTGGTTATGATTTGCAGGAAAAGCTTAACAAAATCCTAACAGGACTGGTTATAACTGACCGCAGTCGCCTACGTAGGTCGTCGAGTGGCTGCTCCCTCGAGGCTCCAGACGAGGCCATTCCACCGAGCGGTTAGCAACAACGAACAGGCAGCAGTTTATGGCTAATGGCGCTCTAAAATCATAAGCTTTGTGTGTACGTATGGTCCCGAAAAATGACCGGCATGCCTACCTATAGGGATTCCATTGTCTCGTCGCTGGAAAAATAGCGCGTCACGGGTTTTGGGTGAGTCCACTTTCCAGAATAATCGGCGTCGCCGAGCGCCGAGGGAATTACGAGTACTGTGAGTATTCCGACTCGTGACTCACTCGGACTAGATCTTTTATTGTCGTATTCCTTAGGACTGTGCCTTGCGAACGCAATGCTGAGAATTCATTCGCCCGCTTTTCGCGGAGGATGGTTTAATCTCGGATTTTGTGGACTGGGCGAGTCCATTCCGATGCGTGGGTAGCAACAACGAACGGTGAGCCATGTGTAGCGGGCAGCTCTTTCGTTTACTCCTGACTGTGAAATTGCGAACGCAATGTTGGACTAAACTAGACGGTATTATGATGCTTCCTTAGCAGGGAATCTCTCTTATCGTGCAGATTGCTAGAGGTCCTTTGGCGCCGGCAAATCGACCACCTGGAAGGATTGGCATGAATGTATAGGACACGTCTGGCTGCGCCAAACTGGTCGGAGCCTTCGTAGATATTGGGGACGAGGGGAAGCCTCGACACGCTCGCGGCAAATTCCAGTTCGAGTAACCGTATCGTACGCCGTGGAGATGCCGGAAACTGCGACGATAACCACGAACTGCTCGACGTCGGCTTCATGGTCGGAATTTGCTGACGACGCCTAAGCGACGAGCCGCATTTTTATGTCGGGTTGCATTGACGATCGTCACGCTGCGGCGCGACTTCGTATTAATTCGATCCTACGTTTAGACTTGGTCAGATACCAAGGAGTATTTACTCAAGCGAACCCAAGAACCTGAGTAAAGCTCGTTATCGTCCTATCCTGCATCAGGGTGGAACGTGAGCTGTTGAGCTCTTGGAAGCTTCATCCTCTTACACAGCGAGGGAAAATAGCAAACTGCAATCTCGCGGTTGGCCTTCTACCAGGATTCTCTGCAACGTTACTGATGCGTCGTGGACGACAAGGATACCTTCTCTCTGGCACTGGGTGGACTGAGGTTCATGCGTGGGCGTACATTGTTTGGGCTACACATAGGCTAAGATAATAGATATAGCGAAGAATTGCGTGTTTAAAAAAGTCGGATTGATTTAATCTAGAGGATTGCTGATGCCTGGTCGACGGTAATGGGTATCTTATCCATGATACCGTGTGCTGAGATACATGGGTTGTCGTGCATTTTTACGTAACTAGGTATCGGTCATTATTTGGTGTAACAAAGAACCGCGTGTGGATGAGCTGGATTCATTTAAACTTTGTAATTGGCTAGGCCAGTCGCTGCAGTTGTTGCGAGACCCAGAGATGGCGTTTCTCTGTGAAGAGGACTGTACGGACATGGCAGGAAATGGATTGGACGTCTACCACACCAGCTGGAAACGACGAGACGTCGACAACCTGGCGTGGCCTTGGAACACGATATTGATTCGCTCTCGAGAATTTGAGTACAGATGAAGCTGGCCATTCTCAAACGTTAAGAATTTGTCTGTCATCTGAGGAACATTCTCCACAAGTGAAGTTCGGACGAAGTCGAACGCATGAGGTACTTATGAACGAGGTAATGCATCGATGCAATGCAGAAGGAATTACGCGGAATACCGCTTGCAGGGGAACTGACCCCAACCAGACGTCTTTCATTGGCAAACGTCTGTCCGATCACCACAAGCAAAAAGGTTCCACCCGGACCGGGGTACTCTGTCGGCCACGATTGAGTCCTCGCTATTGGAACAATGGGGAACATTTTAACTGGCGTTTTAATCGGTGCCATAAGTACGACTCGATGTTGGTCACGTCCACTCAAGACCACAGTTTCGTAACCCACTGTTTTATGGTTGGAACTACCCAGAGAACTTGCAAGTGGATCAGGGCGTTGGGTGTACTAGGGCTCGAGAAGACAACGTCTGGTTGATGTCAACGCGAAGCAGAATAGTGCCCGGGAAGGTGACCAGCAGATGTAGGCGACGAGGTTCTCGTTCATATGAAGTTGCCCAATGACCCCAAGGAACCCCATGGGGCTTCTTCTACGTTTTTAGGTACGGAACGAGAGTTCAGACCACCTTGCGGGATCCATGGCATTATTTGCGACGTTGTTGCCGTCTAGTCCCAAGAGAACGGAGCAGCAAAAGCTTATAGTACTCCAGTTAGGACAAAATCAATACCCGAGGCCCGTATTACGTCAAGACTACAGACTCTGAAGCTCTCCCTGGACGTGGGTTTGGGGACTTACTTTTCCGGGAAAATGACGACGATCGAGCTCAGATCTGATCGATCGGGCAATTACTGGCGCCAGCTAATGATCTCTTTTATTTCCCAGGAGAAAGGGCCCGTCCGTGATGTCTCAGCTCTGTAATTGCGCAGTCCAGTTCTAGAAAAATCAAGTGCCTTCCAACCACTCCGCGTTGCATTGGTTTTGGTCAAGGATCTCCATTGATTGCGCTGGGATTGAGTGGCTGGGAATGCCCATCGGGTCGAATAGCTTCAGATGAACAAGGTTAACGACGATTCAATCTCCGAGATCCCGATGATTCCTGGCTGCACAATTGCACTAACGATACCATCGTACATTGTGCATTTCCGGTGGGAAGGTATAAAGGGGCCGCAAACGGCAGCGCGAAGCTTAGTTACGGAGGCAAAATGCAGCTGCAGGTCTTATTGTTGGGGCTGATCGTTTGTTCCACGTCTGCTCTTACATTTCCTGACAAAGGTGAATATCTGGTATCGTTTACATGCCATTTGTGGAATTGGAAGTGATTGAACCGCTGTGTTGTCGACGAATTTTTGAGGAACCTAAGTGGTTTCCAAGGATACTCGTTGCTCCAACGAGTTATCTACGTCACAGTTATATTTGAATATTTTTGAAACCTAGTGGTAGGAATACCAGTTGCTCCAACAAGTTATCGACATCGCAGTTTTTTTTCTTTTTCATATTTTTGAAACCTAGTGGTAGGAACTGCGTGGTACCTTGATGTGTACATGGCTAGATCAGAGGGATTATTTTTTGACCGATGAATCATCCGATAGAAATACGTGACTATCTTGATTTTGACATGTGATCACATGTCAGACCGTAATGCTATTTTGTCTCTCTTAAGGTTGTATGTAAAAGTGAAAAGTTTCTTTTAACCGAATTCAAATTTTTCTTATAAACTGTACCTCTGGCTTATGTAATCATGTAACACATTTTTACGTAGGTATCTCGAAAATGGTGGTATGGTGAGATGTCGGTTAGCTCGTCGGATAAAAACGCGATTACGAAACCACTTTTAAGGGTTCTTATCCGACGAGTTTATCGACGTCACTGCTTTTGGAATTTTAATGTAAGAAACGATTTTTAACCTTAACATAAGCATTTCCGAACCAAAAGAATTATTTATTTATTGACATTGTATTTAATCTCTGATTAAAAAAATTGATTTGTTTCTACTTATCATCCGAAGGGAAACATGGCATCGGACCGCATGATATAGATTCGAAACTACGGTGTCGGTAAACTCACAGGATAAGAGTTAGCTTCTTTAGATAAGCGACTGAGAATAATTTTTTGTTTTAAATCAACGAATTTTTTGTACCATAGATCACGCAGGGTTCCGCGCAAATCCTCAACGCAGCGTTCAATTTGGGGAAAGCATACGAGACTGGATTAAAAAAGTTCGAGACCGAGTATTAGGAAAAAAGAATCCGATCCAGTTTCCCAATGAAATTCCTGACGAGGCAAAGAATACTCAACTACTGGAGCAACAGACGTCCAATTCGTGGGGTTTCTTCCTTGATTTATGTAAGTTTCTATAAATCTCCCTGATTTGAAAGATATTTTTATTATTTAGAACATGATATAGTCCATTTAATCGACTAAGCATCGTGTTGATATCAACCATTACTTTTGTTAGCATCGTAGACAATACGTCGATTTTCATCACGATTTGTGCAATGACTAAGTTTTTTCCTGGAAATTGATCTTTCTGATATCTTTTTGCATGTTACACGCAATACTGTAAACCTCATCAATGATCAGCAACACTGACGTTCGATCCGTTAAGAGATTGGGGATTTCGTGTTGGAAGTTGGTACTTCATTAAAAAAGGAGATGAAGAGACTTGGAATTGGTCCGAAGCCATCGATTGGGAAGACTCATCTCAACCAGAGATTCCAGTTCCAGAGTACGATTGGCGAATTAATAAGGATGAAAATGAAAGTCCTATTCTTACGCGGAAATCAGACACCGAGCCATTAAAACCAATCGTACCAGTGATTATAACAAGTGATGGGAGCTTGAAGAGATCAAATGCTGTTAACGTTACGGACAAGAACTCTGAAACTCCGGAGACAAGAGTAGTAGTTGTATAATTAAGGTTTTGCTGATTATACCATGCATATAAATTTTGTAATCAAAATAATATTTTTCTTGATTTCAAATTTTAAAAAAAGTTTATTTTATAACATGACGGATGGATATGATATTAATTGCTGTCCAAGACATTTATTTCTAATGATAAAAATATACTAAATGTAAAACAATGGGCTTGTGCGTAAAATTTATTATAAATATCACCAATCCATGACAATACATTACAATAATTTTTACGCCGATGTACAAATTGTGGTCTTCATGTTGTGTTTGTTTTTACTGCAATAGAAAAATGTGATTGTCCAAATGAGATCACTGCCTTCCGGTAAAAATTAAATGATTAAGCAACGTTTCATGAGATTAGGTGAGGTATGAACCATGAAATTAATAATATAACGCTGTACCCAAAACATGCAAAAATGAATGTGTGTATCTTGTATTACCGAAAAACGTAGAAATGATCATGAAGATGGAGCTCACTTTTTTCACTACTACACATCTGCTGCATATTTTTTGAGTTATAGTTACATAAGTAGAATTTTAGAACAATAATTGTTCATGTCTGTATAGCAGAAGCATAAAGAAAGATATGACAGAACAAAACAAGAAATTTAAAGTATAGAAAATATTCTAGACTTGTTAGAAATACTTTTTAGATGTCACAATGGCAAATGTTACTAGACTACAGCTATTTTTGTTTTTCCTTCAATAGTATCTAATGTTTCTCTAACAAGCCATTAGATATTGAACAGAATAGAACAAAATTCAGTAACATAACTGCGAAGGCATGCTGACCACGTATAAACATGACCATTACGAGACCATCCCATTTGTCTCATAGTATAAATGGACATTTGTTTACTTCCTTGCCTAGAATATGAACAGAAAACCATATACCATTGAAGCATGCACAAATAAATAGAAATGTACAAAAATCTCACCCCTTCAGTGTCTGACAAAATTTAATTTCAATTGTTAAACTAAATCCATATTAAGCATTATTAAACATGAAGTATAATTTGTCAAGCCAGAACAGCCAATTGAGTTAGTTGAATTTGTTAATTTGAACCAATTAAATTTCAGATAATTTTCTTTCATTGTCAAACAATTATAAAGGAGATGAGAGGAAATGAAATTACGAAGAACATATACTTAAGAGAAACTAAATATATAAATATTTATCCACTGAAAATAATCCAAGACCAAGATTTGAAGCATGCCATATTGAAATTTTAAAAGCCTGCTGGTTGTACAATGACCAGAAAGTAAGAAAAATCCCAATGTTAAATTATATTTTTGAAACATGCAACAGTTATAGAATTAAATAAAGCACCCAATGCCAAATGAAAATTTTGATCCCAAATGAGTACAATTTCAGTGATGATGTGAAAATTATTCCTTAACTAAGAATATCAATTCTTTTGCAATAGATATGAAAATTAAGACACAAATTGCTTTTTAGGCTCAAGATAAACAACTTACTGCCATCTTTAATATTGCAAAAGAAATGAATACAATGTAGTTTAATTAATACAATGCACAGAAGTAAAAGAATTACCTTTTTAGACGCAGCTCCTACTTTGCTCTTCTTAGTACCTCTGACCTTCTTCATTCTGTTTTTACGTTCCTTACGTTGTTTTCTAGTTTGCTTCTGTTTTTCATGAAGACCGTGCCTAGCCAATCGGTACTTGGGTTCAAATTTCTTAGCATAGTCCAAAGTATCATAAAGTAACGCAAACCCTGTAGATTTGCCACCTCCAAAATTTGTAAGAAATCCAAATACAAAAACAACGTCTGGCGTTACTTTGTACATCTTGGCAAGCTTCTCACGAATTTCTGTCTTGCGGACCGAAGGTTGACCAGGATGTAGGACATCCACGACCTAATAAAAATGTTAGTTTATCATTAATGCAAAAAATAGAAAAACAAGTGTTATATTTCCAAGAGTCAGATTTAAATAAATTAAAATGTATAGGTTATTATTAATGTCATAAGGAACGGTATTATGATATTTACCATTTGTTTCCGGCATAGTAGCCGGTTGGTCATGAACTTTCTAGTCCGAATTGAAACAGTTCCTTCGGTCTGAAACAATCACCAAAAATACACATCACTTTTAGGTTAGAACTCACACTTTCTCTAACTTTGACTTGGGCCTTAAAAAACTCCTTAACAACAGGGAAAAAGTTCGTAGCATACTTAAGATATATTTTTCTCGCGAAAATATTAGAATTGCATTTTACATCGGGATCCTTATCAATATTTATCCACATTCACATTGTCAAAGCGTCCCGATAAACACTGTTAATACAGGGTTACAAGGGATAAGATGAAAGGGCATATTCACAGGACCTAATACTCCGATCATCTGTGTTAACTTTTGCATAGACGGCAATGACATTTCTTCATCGATTCACATTTAATTTTTGGATATAAAATACGTACCATCTTGCCCGATTTTCACACCGCTCGGAAAAGGCTATGGCGGAAACGGGCAGCGCTCTCAGCGGTAAAAACTGGTACTTTAAACACGCACGACAGCAGTTCAGCCAACATAAGACAGCTAGAAAAAGTAACCAGTCCTAGCATCGGTGTCGCCAAATTCTTATCAAATACAGTCTTTTATCAACATTAATCTTTAAAAACTCATTTACATACAGCGGAGAAACAAAGCAAAGCAGTTAAACCTATTTAGGATTCTTCTCATAGTATATTCCAAAAAGTTCTAGAGAATTTATTACCTACTTTACCGACGTTGTCATTTTTGGACTGCAGTGTCGAGAAACTGCAGAAACTAAGTGCATTTTCGTGGAATCGTACATTTATTTGCAGAATTAAATGTATTATTTAATTTCGTGAAGATGCAGACTGATGCAGGGTAAAAGAAAAGTCTTTTATTTCAAATGTTCGAGGTTTGTCATGAAATGAGCTTTTAACGCTATCGGAACATGATCCACGATGTATCAAATTCCTGAGGTGTAAAAAAGAACAATCCTACATGGAACAGCTAAATTTTCGCGCATGAGCAATACAGGTTGCATGGTGGGGGGTTGGAGCACGTGGATAACGGTATTCGTATGATCATTCCGCTCATTCCGCTTTGGAAGGTTGCTTCATTCGGCTCGTTTCGGTGAAACCGACTCCATTGGTTGCGTTGGTCCATCCGAGGTAAAATGCCACGTCCGCCACAATCACGTAATATATGATTTTCCGTACACCTTACCAAGAGTATTAACGAAATGCAGTTGTAGAAATTATATTTAAGTTCGCAGGTTCGGGTTTTGACGCGCTATTATGCATTGCGACACATCTGGCGTGGCGTTTCAACGTTCGTGCGCGGACAATGCCGTTTGCCTTGGTGAAAATCGGAGTGCGGGAATATCGTGGTCGAAGGTGGGAATATTTATTCCATTTCCAAACTCCGTGACTCAGATACATCTACGCTGGTCATCTTTGATCTCGGTGACGCATGTTTTGTATACGCATATTATGTAACACTAATTATTTAAAAGATGGGTCCCATTGCAGCGACCTCCACGTGGTGGACCTGGGGAATCGATGGTTCCTGAGATTCATGGAGTAAAGGAAGCATCGATTCGTGAATTGGCTGCTGAAATGATTATCAAAATGGTAACCGACTATAGTGCTTTCCTTTCAGTCCTATATCGGGCCGTTGATGTCGGTTTTGCAGTACGGCCTTTGTAAAGTAGGCCGTGATTTCTATGTTTTGTCGGCCGGTAGTTGGCAGCACGGTTCGGCGTCCGGCATGGGGAAGGGGAAGTCGCTGGCGGCCTCTGCCGGAGGAGCGGCAGGAAGCCAAACTACGCGTTACATTGCTGTCGAAAATGGCGTCGCGCTCGGAGCTGCCAGAATATTCGTCTCCCGCAAAACGTCGGAAGGTCGATCGTGAGGCATACGGATCGTCGCCCGATGCGGAACTCGATTATCGGAGCAGCGAGGAGTCCCGCGAGTCGCCGCGCGAGGATCTCGAAGGTACTAGCTTAAAAATATGGCCAATTAATTCTGAAAATTCTCGCGTTCCAAGATGGCGGCTTGAACGGCAGCCGCCCACTTTCCACAAGGCGTTTCTTCTCCGATATCTGTGGGGGCGGGGCCGCCATGACAGTCGCTTGGGTGCGTCGCGATTTCACTTTGCCTTTTTCTCGATTGAGTGAGGGTTTAAAGTCGATTTGTAGCCGGCGTCCGAGGCAATTTTATCGATTTTCATGGATTTCTGGGCGATTTTTCAAGCCGACCGCGCTAGAAGTGAAGCTTTTTTGATCGAGAATTTAACGCGGGAATATCAGGGTCAGTGACAGCAGAACCTTTCGTGCAGCTTGGAGGCGTTCACAGATGGCACAAGTTTCACAAATAAAAAAAAACGTCTATCTGACGTTCCCGTCACGCGCCAATTTCTCCGCCTGTCAAAAGAGGGTGACAGACGGTTAGTTTCCGCCGATTAAATCTACACCCGAAGCGGGATTTTATAATTAATGCGCCGGATTTCAAGCGAATGATGTACTCCATTTTAGCTCTTGCTTGAGTGGGTACTTAACCTGTTTGGAGAAACAAATTTTTATTCGGACTGTTTTATGCGCCTGGTCCCTGACGATTACAGTTGAATTTCACTGTTATTGCAATCATATAATAAAAATTTATTCCTATGAATATGCAGTTGAAATATGTTACAATTTAGAACTTTGTAGCTTTTGTATCATGGTTGGAGACTTAACCTATCCGATGAGAAAAATGTGTGTGCGCACTAGCTTAGGTAATTTGTGATTAACAATTACTATTGAATGTCCTCCAAGTTAGATTCACTACTATTTTTATTCAAATTCACGGATTTATTTTAATTATTAATAGAAACCTTGGGAGGTGATAGCGGGTTTACCGAGCTAAGCGACGGTTCGAAATCAATGTCCACCACTTCTTATGTAAGAAATTCATCCTCAACGCCAACCCGAGCAGATTCCACAAGTGACGATACTGGTTGTCCGTAAGTATGGTTACGAATATTTTTGTATTCATGTTGCATTTTGTATATTTACTGATCTATTTAATGGATTGATGATTTTCAGATTGGATACAGCAGATGAGAAAGACGAAGTATCATCTACCGTCTCCAACTTGTCTGACTTATCTGGATTGTCAGAACTCTCTGGAGAAGGTGATAGTGGTCATCAGTGGAGAAGTGCTTCCTCCTGGATTCAGAAACAAATGTTAACTGGTGCCGATCCAAGGGATCTTCTCCATCATCTCCTCATGGATTCTACACAGATTCCAGATCAAGTCGACGACTTGTCCTTGTGGAAGGTCTATATGCATTTTAAATATTATTTCATTATTTATTATTAAACATTAGTTAAATCAGTTAGATGTGCTATCTTTTTATTATTTCACATTTGTTTAAGTAAAGTATCTAATCCAATAATTGTAATTCGTATTTCAGATCGTGGTTAATATGATGTCTGAGCCACCAAGACGGCAAAAGCTTAGACATGTAAATACGTTGACGGACGTTGTTAGGTTAATAAAAAATAGTAAGAAAATCATAGTGCTTACTGGAGCTGGTGTGAGCGTTAGCTGTGGAATTCCAGACTTTCGAAGCAGGGATGGCATTTACTCGAGACTGGCACAGGACTTTCCGGATTTGCCTGATCCTCAGGTAGTCAGAGTGAAACCTAGTATTTTACCAATGTCTTGGTCATGCGTGACTTCTAGTAACTAACAAAATGATCATTGTTTCTCAGGCTATGTTTGATATTAATTACTTTGGACAAGATCCACGACCTTTTTTCAAGTTTGCACGTGAAATATATCCGGGACAGTTTAAACCCAGTCCCTGTCACAGGTTTATAAAAATGTTGGACAAGCAAAAACAGCTTTTGAGGAACTATTCCCAGAACATCGACACTTTAGAACAAGTGGCAGGAATAGAGAATGTTATCGAATGTCATGGTAATTTTTTTTTTTTCTAAATATTTTTAGATATATTATTTGATTCTCTGATCGAGGGTTGCAATAACTTTTCGAATTTTTTCCCAAGGCTCCTTTGCAACAGCGTCGTGTACGAGGTGTAAATACCAAGTCAAGGCAGATGACATCAGAGAGGATATATTTGCCCAGAGGATACCCATCTGCCCAAAGTGTAGAAATAACGCACTACCTTCAATGACGGCAATTAACACAAACGAGTGCTACAGAGGTAATTGATACTTGTAGACTGGCACCCGATATTAGGCTGATAACTCATTTCTTTGCAGTATATCTCGAACCTTGGCTTATCGGTTTCTGTGGTATCAGAAGTTCGTTACCTAGAAATAATTTCCGTCGTTAAACTTTTTGTATAACGCGCCGCGACGCGTTGATTAGGCCTGAACGTTGCCTGTTGCTCTAGAGGCGCGTGGTCTTGTCTTCGTCAAAGTGAAGCATTGCCGTTTATAGCTGATCCTCACTTACGCCGGTACCTCAATCTTTAACTACAAGTTAAACTCGCTCGATAATGAGATAACAAAAAGGTAAAAGAACCTTTCATAAATTGCTTGCAATTTTACTTGACTTGTTTAAATGACTTTTTTTTGGCTCCCCTATTTAACCGGATTAACTCACTACTCCGAAATTTCTTGTGGGTGAAATGACAAGACGAAATAAAAATTCAAATACGAAATGGGATGTAGGAAGTGAAATGTAAAATAATTCTGAGCACGAGATACACGGTTGCCTTTTGTATATTTCAGATCTGGTATCTCAAGGCATCATGAAACCGGATATCGTGTTCTTTGGAGAAGGCCTTCCGGATGCTTTCCACGATGCAATGGCTAAAGACAAGGACGACTGCGATTTGCTCATCGTCATAGGTTCTTCGCTGAAAGTTCGACCAGTCGCCCTTATTCCTTCTTCCATTCCACCTCATGTCCCACAGATTCTCATTAACAGAGAATCACTGCCGCATTTGAAGTTCGATGTTGAGCTGCTGGGCGATGGCGATGTTATAATCAACCAAATTTGTCACCTGTGAGTTGAAGTGATAATTTCAGTTTCGCAAAGAAAAAAAAAAAAAACAATTACAATGAATAATAACGTTACAATATTTCTTCCGTTTAGGATGGGAGATTGTTACACGGACATCTGCTGGCAGAATACGATCTTGAAGGAGGCTTCTCAACTTCTGCCACCTCGATTCACAAACGACGATTCCTGGGAACAGAGTCAAGACACAGCCACCAATCATGACTGTTCGCAAGACAGCGTGGAGGTACAACTGAAACCTCGCAACGTGTCATCGGAGAGCCAGGATAGTCTGATGATCGACGCCAATACGATGCCTAAGCAGATGGAGAATACGGACATTTGCATCTCGCCATTCCACGCCGGTCACATGGAAAGCGGTGAAGGAACCTTCGCGTTATTAGGGGAGAGCCCTAAAAGAAGATTGGGCGACTCCAGTGCCGAAAGCAGCCCTAAGAGAATGCATTTCGGAGGCAACAGTCCAGCCACGGACTCCGTTGACTCCTCTTCCCGGTCGCCTAACAATACGGACCGCGGATGCAATCTCGTGACTCGCGGCAGACGAGTCATTTCCGTCGAGTCGGTATCCGAAAACAATGGGCAGATCATGCATTTAGAGGAATGTCACGTCGTCCCGAAGGTGTTGGACCTCCGATCGAACGACACGTTGTCGGATCCGACGGTGGAGCTGGAATGCGTTGTAGCGGACTCGACGGTCAAGACCAGTGAATCCCTCGACACTGATAAGCTAGGGCTAAAACCGCGACACGCTTCCATTGACTCGGCGTTGGATTCTGGAATAGGGGACAGTTGCAATAGCGTCGACAGCACCGATGGAAAACTCGGCACTGTGGTGGTCGAAGCCGAGGATACGAAAATTCAAGAATTGGATAGGAATTGTTGGCTGCCGAAGATCAGGGAGAGCCTGGCTGCGAGATTACCTGGTGCGAGTCTACTTTGCTTACAGATGTAGTTTATAGTAGTTATTTACATGTTCAGCGGTACTTTCTTGAAGAAACCTGGTCGTTTCTATTTTTAAAACTGGCCGTTGGTTCACAGGGAACTCGTACTATCAGATGGCACCTGGCAGATACATTTTCCCGGGAGCAGAGATTTATCCCAATCCTGAGGACTACGACAGGTGTTCCTTGTACGCCAACTCCGAGAGCTCGGACACCGACAGCGACTCTACGTCCGAGGAGGAAGAAGAGACATGTAAGTTTATAGAAGCCGATAAAAGTGGTACTGTCTGAAATTGTTTACGTTCCATGAAGTTTGCTAAATAGTCGCTACTGGTCAACCGCAGGCGCCGACGATGACTTTTCGGAAGGCGTAGACGCTGACGCCGACGCCGAGAGCGAAGAGGTGGAATGGTCGAGCAATCCCTCCAACGAGATACAGCGTTAAGGTTTGCCAATACTCGGGATGAATAGTTAATTTCTCCGGTGCTGACACTTGGTCTGATTTTTGTCAGAGAGCGACAAAATCCCTGAGGTATCGGCAAGTAACGCCCGGAAGAGGTTCGATCGTTCCGGTCGAGAATAGACGGACTCCTAAGGAGCTGATGCAGGTCGGGCCCCCGCTTCGTAAGCTGGGATGACGAGAGAGGAGTCAGAGTTAAAGGGAGGAATAAGTTGACAAATCAGAGTCCACTTTGAAATTAAACCTATCGGTAAAAGAATCTGAATAACGGTGTTCTTTTAGTTCGGTTAGGTGGTAAGATGGTACAGCAGTCATCCTAGATTATCGTCAAACTCGGCGTGTCCCGTTTTGGGATACCATAGCCGTCAATTTGTCGGAACAAAGGACTGACGCGATAGTTGACACGAGTCCATGCAGTTCGACGGTTTAGGATAGCTAAGCGGTCGCTCAACGTGGATCTAACGCCGCGTTTCCGGTACTTGGAAGCACGAGCGATTAGCGGAGGATGTGGTTATCCAATGCAGTTACGACCGAGACCAGAATGGCCCTCCTTTGTCGGGGCAGCAATTTATCTCGAGTCGTCGGTCTCCTTCACCGAGTCGATTAGATGCAATACGTAAGGAATAGTCGTGTAGATATGCTCGTGAAAGTCATCAGGCATGGAGTGACGTTGCAGAGTAATGATCTCAAGGATGACGCTCGAGGTAGACCGATGCAGGGTTGAACCATACCGATCGGAGTGGGCCATTCTCCCGGACCAAAGTAGTACGTGCAGTTTCGGAGAGCTTCGTTATATTTATAACATTAACGGTCTTAAATTCACGCCGAGGTGGAGAGAGCTCACGGACGATCTTTCCGTGGTAACGCGCCGCACCTTTATTCATATACGTGAACGTCTGTACATACCGGTTTGCTAAGAGATATTTCTTTTTTATTCGCCGGCGTGCGTGATGCACACGCCGCTAGGAAGTAAGACACATTTATTTCATCCATTATAACGTTACTATATATACCGTCGAAGCGCATATTATAACCCGTTTAATAAGTTGAGCTACTAAGGTCTTAGTACGCCCTAGCGAGGACCTGGTATAGTACTATTTTACACTATCCAAATCGCCCCTTCTTAGTTAGGGGTGTGCGAGATGCGTGCCAGTAGGTCAGGGTGTCTCTTCGAGAGAATGTCGAGGATGCTCTTCAGGGTGGAACATCGCACCAGAAGCGAGCCTCTGGCACGAGGGATAGGTTTCGCATAGTATCGCCATCTTTCGTATCCTATTATCCGAATGAAATCTTAGGTAATAATTCTACTTGTTCGAAGGATCGTACTCGACCGTGGAAGCACGAAAATCGCGAAAATCGCGACGCCCTTCTCGCCAAGTCGAGGACTGAGATTAGGGCGCGAAACGTAAGCACGAGATGAGATGTCTAGATCGTAGATCGTAGATGGTTGAATTTTTCGCGCTTCCCGTTTTCTTTCATAAGTGCGGCCAACAATCAGAAAACTAAGGAACAATTGAAAGGCTGCAGAGTGTATATGGATTAAAGTCAATTGGTTTTGAAAGACCTTAAAAGGAGCGTATCTTACTTTCGGTCGCTGTTTTCTTTCTTTCTTTTTTTTTTTTATACCACGATGAAAAGAGATGCGAGTAATACAACTTTTTATTCTCCTCAAGAGGTTTTCACCCTTACAGTGAATTACTAAGTGGTTTTCTTTTTCTCACAACACAATTGATTCACCGACTCTTTGAATTTTACGTGGAAAATTGAACACCGTCAAACGAAATCTATTTAAATCTGGCGGAAAGTAGAACGATCGGATCAGTTTTGTATTTAAATTAATTTTTTTTTTATTTGCTGTTCTTTTGTCTTCAGAGAAATGAATTTTGTACATATCTCGAGGGGGTCAATCGGTGGGCGTTGCTCGTGATTGATCGCGAACAAATGTATTACTTTTGTATTTTTTAGATGTCACGATGTGTCGGGTTTACGCCATGCTATTATCAGAGAGGGTGAACGATCCGGATCCACTTTCTTGGACACGTCTTGCAAAGACCGACCTTTACCGCGGACCGTTTGAAACGATACTTCTATTATACTTTTAAGCTTTAGCAATAGCCATTTTTGTACACAGGCACAATTAGTTGATAATGGTTTGGCAATGACTTTAGGTTCGTTAAGTTCGATTTTCAGTTTCATTGGAGCACGGGCGAATGTACAAAGCAATGTTGGATAGCTTCGCATTGCGTGTTATTTTTATATGGGCGAAAAGAAAGAGCGGGAGAGAGAGAAAAAGAGAGAGTGAGAGAGTGACAGAACAATTATTGTGTAGAAATTAAAAGGAGAATTAGGGATTGCAACAAGGCGACGGTGAGTCGTGGTTTAAAGACCATAGAAAAATAGAAAAGAAAAAAAGAAACGAGTCTTTGAGTTAAGGATTTGGAGAGAAATTTGGCCGGCGAAAATCACGGAAGAAAAAAAAAAAGAGAAACAAACGATCTCTCGATTCTAGTCCTCGTGCGTCGGTGGACCTCGAAGACTAGCATTCTCAAGAGAAATTGGAGAATATACGTATTGGTCTCTTCTTTTTTTTTTTCCCCCTTCAGTTTACGCTGGCAAAATTTGGGCGTAACCCGAATCTCGAACTCAAAGGCCGCATTATCTCCTGGGCAGTCATTATTATGTTGTAAATACGCAATAATCAACGGAAAGACCGACCTCCCGCCAGCCTCGTTGCTCTGTAGATTTACTCGTAAGGTACAATGAGGTTGTGTGCAAGTATAAACCAATATATTACCAATAATACGGAAGATTACGCGACGGATCCTAAGTATCGATCGCTGTAAGGCAGAGGTAAACGGATGCGAAATTTCGACAGTTTCGACTAGTTACGCGAGATTATTAGGCTTACAAGAAACTTAGGATATATATACGAGGATATGTCGCGGCGCCGTCCGAACGGGATTGCGCGACGTTTCTTATTTGCTGCGTTTTAATTATTTCCCCCGTGAGAGCCGCCTGTTAATTAACGGGAGGAGAGCTCCTAGGGGGCGAATAAGAGAACGCAAACGGCGGAAAATGAAATGCGGATGCGGGATATCGATTGCCGTGGGTTTACGACCCGTCGTCTGGAGAAAATTTCGGTTCCTCGCGAGGGTAACCGCGTTTTATACGACTAGACGTTAATTAAAGACGCGTCTCTGCTTTGTACAAATGGCTTTATTTATCTTCGTTACGCGGATTGACTTATGCAAAGGATGCAGGCTAGGTATTATATATTATATTATATACTGTAATTCTCCCCGCCCCCCTCTTTTTTTTTACTACTCTCTTATTATCTATTCCCTTATTTATTTGAAACGTCCGAAGAAGGAGTTGGCCCGGAATTTCCGCGAAGTCCCGCGCGAGGGCCTCGTAGTACCGTCGTTCAATAAGGTGTAACAATAGCTATGTAAAAATGTAATCGGCCGCGCGAGTCGACGTCCTTTGACACGTATCTACTTAAACGATCGACGTTGACCGCGTAGAGGTGCGTTTTAGGAGACCGATGGATTTCCTTTCATTCGTATCGGAAGAGGGTCCGTAGACGCGAGATACATCCACCCTCCCAAGACGCCTGGCCAGCCTTATTATTATACATTGTGAATACTTGACGGTAGCGCGCCAACTGTCCCCAGCAGTACTGACTTTCTTTATATAAGTATAAATATTTGTGTAAATATTTATGAACTTTTAAACGATCCATAGGTGTCCTAGGGCTCTGTCGCATCGGTTAAAACGCGAGAGCTGCTCGCTCGAGCCACGATTTTTCGTATCCCTATTCCTATAACCGTTTGCGGAAACGTTTGGTTTTATGGAGGCGGTTTTCACGCTTAAGCCGGTACACCAGAGTCGGGTGCAGAAACTCTTGAATTTTTTATAATTTGTTATTTAATGTAATGAATGTTATTGAAAAATGTTCTCTTTATTATATAAATGTTGTAAGAACCTTTATGTTTCTTTTGGTATTACTAACGTATAAGCTTACCTGGTAAATTAAACATTTTTCTATCACGACCATAGGTATTTTATTTATTCTTACACCTGATATTTAACTCGTGTGTGGTCGCGTATTAACGTAACCGTAGATTCTCTGGCTATTGTCCGGTTTCGTTCGTTTTATTGTCGTCAGCTCTTTCCTTTCGGATTTCTGTGTTCGTTTCTAAATGTAATTAGAGTACGTACGTAAGGGTAAGAGATGAAAAATGTTTTAAGGGAATCGGATGGTATATAAACGGAGGTCAATTACGTGAAACCACGAAGCAGATACTTTTGGATTTTGTTCGCTTTTAGCCCTTGTCGGGCATAGCTCGGTGTCGTAATTGCGATTTCAAGGTCTCCCTTTCAACGTCTCTTTAAAAATGGATTTCAAGTTAAACGGCTCTCTTAGGTCGTGGGCTGAACTTATTTTTCTACCTTCTAACTTGAATCGATCATTCCTCTGCTCCGTGGACTTTACCGATTTTCTATTCGCGTTGTTACATACATGTACAAAGAGTATTTAACTATAGCGTGTACACACGTGGATTTTTGGAAAGTCGCTTAGCGATTGCGTTCCCAATAATGGCATGGCATGTGTAAAATGTATCGATTTTCGGAGCAGGTTTTGAAACAATTAAATGCATCCGGGTGTTGAATGTTTACCGCCGTATGAAATATAAAACTCACACCCTTCGTGCAGTTTCGAAACTCACTCCCAGAATTGCCAACAGGGTCGCAAGGAATTAACAGTCTAAAGGACAAGTCAAGTTCTTTCTCGCCGTGTTTTCGACATGATTAGGAACGAACCATTTGACGAAAACTAAGGACATTTAATCCTCGGGACTATTTCGGTATAATTTAACTTAGATCGTTCTTACAATTAACTGCTAGTGACCCTGGCTCTTAGAGTTTAGAGAACACGATTGTTACGACGACTTTCACGAGAGAATTCAGACATTTTAGAGCTTAACTAAACGGCTCATAGATTTTAGTCTAGGGTAAGTTTAACAGAGATTACTATACTCGGCGTACATGCGGTTACACTAGAAGGATCGCAGGAAAGATAAAACGAGGAACAGCGAAAAAGAAAATAGAATGTTACGGAAGAGTGGAGATATATCGAGAATGTCTTTTCACTCCTCTGTCCCTTGTTTTCTCTTCCCTCTCGTAGAAAGGTCGAGGATCGCTTTAGGCCGAGTTGGGATAATTAGAGGGTGTCTGTAATAGGTAAGACTTTTCACGGACATCGATCGGTTAGGTCGCTCTCGTTTCTATGAACCTTATGCCACACTAATCATGACTAGAGATTAACGCTAACGGTAAAGATATTTTCATCGGTAAGCACTCGAAGGGCGTCCCCCGAGTATCCGTTAATTAATTGATTCGTTGCTTGAAACAGATCTGGAAGCCTCATGCGTTACTCCGATTGCACATAACATAATAGATCTGTATATTTTCCGATGCAATAAAACTGGTTGTAATTATTCATCGATGTTCGAGGCCCTCCTGCGTCTCCGCTTGTTCGCCGTGTAACTTCTCGAGAGTCTCTTTTGCGGCAGTTAATTTTTCACCTGCAAAATTAAAATTCTTTTTTCTCACCATCTAGAGTAAGAGTCATGTTCCACCCTAACTTTCTAGGACCTTTTCAATTCGCTCACCTGCCAAGATGCACGTAGCTCGTCGTTCCTAAATACTAGATCAAATCACCAGTGTCCTTTTTCACTTACCTTCACGCTTAATATAAATTTATAAGAAAAATATCACTCCAACCGCGCGGTCTTTTTGAATTCCCGGCGCGCCGAACGGATTTCAAGATGGCCGCCGCTCCGACCACCGCGCTAGTCAATGAGGCGACTCTCGACGCAATAGCATTGGCGATCTAATTATCGGTGCGCCTCGCAAGTACGCGGGTATCTCGGCCGAGAAATATTCCTCGGAGGTTAGGAGACATTCGGGGGAGAACGATGCTGCCTAAAGGTGACGAGTTGACGGGTCGACTCCCAGCAGACGACGTAGCCGTCTGTCAATGAAAGGCTGCCGTACGCGAGGGAGTAGGCGTGCCATAAAAACCGTGCGAGTGCTATCTTTCGACTCAGACGTCCGCGGCCCGGCCCACGAGTGATATCTCTTCTTCGTATCCGGTTTCCTTCGAGTCTACGTGACGTACCGTTAACCCTAAACATGTGCGGTAAGTACCGGGGACGTTTCCATTCATTTTATCCATTGACGTGCCGCGAACCTTGAGCTCACGGCTGACATATGTCCACCGCGCCACCTCCGAATCCACTCAAAATGCCAATCGGCTAACTCCACGGAATTAGCGTGTGACAGTTTCTCGGCTTGTCGTGGCGGCCCGGTGCTTTGAAGCCCGCCACGCCGTGGAAGCAGCCGGACGATTCGATCGTCGAATTTATTTGGCTCACGTGAGCGCTGGAACGGTGCCGATTTCCTGATATACTGTACGCACGGTGAAAATAGGACAAACGCCCGTTAAAAATTCGGCATCTTTAATTTTCCATTCCAAATCTAAGGAGAGAATCCGACCGGACTCGCAAAATACTTATATAAATATATTAAAGGGAAGCCATGGAATGCTTAAAATTCGCTATGGAGACCGCGTTGAATTAGGTAATATTTTATAAAAATTATCCGACGTGACAGGACTGGCTTAAAGGGGACGATACCCAGTCGATTGATTATGATTTATTTATTTATTTTAAGACGCGTGGAACTATTCAAATAACTTTCAGGGTAAGCGCGTGAAAAGTTGATACACTGTTATACTTTCAGCGGAGTGTTAATTTTGGAATTGAATTCCTTCTTGGACAATTGATATGACAGACTTCGGCGACGAGCGACGAGTGCTTTCGTTCCCTGCAGGCGGTAAACAAACATCTTGAGACCTGCGTGGAAAGTCGCTCTCCTAGTACCGCTTACTCGAGCGAAACGCGACACTTAAGGGGGTAAAGACGAAAAAAAAGGAAAGATACTGTTGGTCGGCAACTTATCCGCCCTGCAGGCCGACTCTTTAGGGGGCCCATCCGAATCTCACAAAATGACGAAAGCGCTTGCGTAAGTTGCTTTCCGTTTCGGGTGACCTTTTCAATTTCACTCTCGCTACTCTCTCGAAAGGTGCTTCGACGCCCGATTTCTTGCATCCGCGTGATTGTCTAATATCCCGCTCCACTTAATCGACCCTTTGTGTCGCTGCAATAGACGGTCTCCGGCACCTGGAAGAAAAAGAAAACAAAAAAAAAAGGATATATTCCATTTAAACCCGCGTTGAGAAAATCATGAAAATGTTCGAAAACGATTCATTCTAGTGAATTGTCCGACTCGCAGCTGTGATTATTTATACATTCTCGGGGGTACTGTTATCCTCAATTTTTATTACAATGGAATTATACCATGGAATATAAAACGTGAAAATTGAAAATGGTTGGTTAATGTCGCGAGGCAAATAAAAGATGGTGGATTTTAAAAGGATGCCGATCGGGAGGATCGTCAGGGTATTCTACGTAATCATTTAAATATGGAACCCTTTCGACGTATGGGCGAAATTCATCTATGCGTGCAGGCAAAATTGGACCAAACGTCGGACGCCTTTAGTAGCCAAAGGGTTAAGGCAGATCGCGTGGAGGCGCGGACACGTGCCTCCGTGTATGACATAAGGCGTAATAAATCGCTCATTGCGACACCTAGTCGCGGTGGCGGTCTAATCGAAAAATGCAGGCCTTCGGGCAACGACCTACGCCAACGACCATCGGCTCGGAGAAGGTTCTTCGAGTTCGAGTCTTGCGAAATGCCGGTATTTTCATCGGCCACTTCGAGATTCGAGTGAAAGTCGCGCGCCACGCCGCTGACATTTAACGTCGCCGATCGCTTCGGACTACAACGAGAAATTCCACTCTCGAATCTCTATAATGTTGTTAATCGCTCGTAAGGCCTAATGTGTCGATACGGAGTGATACGAGCCGCCCTCCAGGGAGAATAAAAATGGCCGCCAACGTTGGGCGCGGGTCACGTGGTCCGCGCTCACCGCCGCCACACTTCGCGACTTTGGAAAGGAATTACTAAATGTCGGGTTGTCGAACAACGATAGGGACAATGCCGTTGGAAATGTCGAGAGTGAACAATTATGCCATGCAGGGTTTCGATCGATTGGAGGCTCGATTACTTAGGTATTTAGGTGGGGTGCCGACGGTCGGGTCGTGCCACCTCGCGAAAAGAAAGGCGATTTTTGGCCGTTCTAGGCACTGAGAGGAGAAAACGAAAACGAGAATAGAAATTTCGCTCGTGAACGAACGGGCGGCGGAGCTTTCAAATTGTCTCGGGGTCGTTCACGTCTTGAGACTAAGTGCCGGGGACACATTCCGCCATTGGGCACGTAGTGGCCGACATGGCGCGTGTTTTCGAAAGGTATTTGCTTTTATCGGTCTACTGTCTCGGTTCACGCTCCATTGCTTTCGTGACCTAGCGATATTACCAGGAGCGTTTACTCTCGAGCATGTCGATCTCTTCGTTAATTCGAAGGAGCAGGACGCGTGCATTGCACTATTCAGAATACCCCAAAAAATTCTTAATTATAAAATTCAAAACTGATAAAAAAAATTATCCCAGTTAAGACGTACTTATTTTGCACTTTTCTTAATAAAACAACATCTTGCTCGAAGCTCTCGCAATCGAGTGCTTTGATTAACCTTGAATGCCAGACTGGCCTTTTTACGATCATCGGCAGAAAAATGAAATTTCAAAGAAACTCATGAAATACCTCGAATAATGTGCCGGGGGGTATCGATCACCGATCGCTCGATCGATTTCCTCGAAGCGCTTTCGTTGATAGTTCTGATTTCGAATGCGATCGAGAATGCCAATTGTTCTTTCCACGGGCGTGAGTCGTTTCACGTGCACGGACGCGACTCCACCGAAGGATTTATGCTCGCGAGTAGATCCGTCACTTGACAACGTTCTTTGACATGTATTTCTTTTTTTTTTCGTTACTCTTGGGTTTCTCGTTTACCTTAAAGAATAAATTGTCGCGAAAAGGCGGAAACGCGAATCTGGAAATCTGGTAGTGCTAAGTGAAGTTGCTAACGAGCCGATTTTATCACGGCAAAAGGGGCTCTTTATTAGTATTATTGAGATTATTCAGATTATTATCATTATTGCCATTGGCTTGCAGTAAAAGCGTGCCAGTAAATCCCGAGTATATCGGGGCCTTTTTTTATCGGCGGGAGACCGTTCTTATTGAGATCAATTTATCTTCGCACGAAGGTGAAGTTGAGGTTAGACAGGTGTAACCGCGCTGACCGTTTTACGACATGCCTCTTGATGCTTCTAACGGTATCGCCGGCAACAAAGGTGGAGGTGCGACACAATTATGCTAATTTATACAAAAGTGCAGTGCCGGCTCGACGCGATTCCCGATCTTCTTCGTCCCTACGCGGCAAGAATGACGATGAAAATAAAGAATATGAGAATACCTTTCGTAGAGATAATTAACCTTGAAATTTGCAAATGGCGAAGGTTTTATTGAAAATGAATGATTACACTAAGAAAGTCCGAACAATGCTAGCTCTTATTTTTCGTGGCTTTGCATAACAGTCTTGTAAATCCCCGATTGGCGTTGTCGAGATAAGTTGACAATGCTCGTCGTATAACCGAGTGACGTGAATTTTTCTTTTCCCTTTTTCACGACCCTGACTGATTTAATCGTCATTTGACAAAATTCGCCTATCGACGTCACGTTGCAGCGGTGTCTCTCACGACCGGTGACGGTCGCAGCCTCTGATAACAGTTAAGCCGCCAACCTCTGATAAGCTCTCGAAACCGCATTACGTGCGCGCTATTTCGCGAATTGAAAGAAACCGATCTCGTGTTAATTGAAATTGGTGATGAACGATAACGCAAGATTTCCCGGTACTCCAGTCGAGCCGCTTTGTGGATACTTGGATTATCGATAATGTTCCGGCGAGAAACTTGCATTTCACAAAATACTACAAACACGGAAAAATACGATAAAGGGATTAAGAGACTTAACCTGCACTAGGTTATCCTTGGTCGTCTTGTTTTTGAATTACCCTCCACGGAGGGTACATCGGTATCTCCTAGATAGAGACGATTTAAGAATTCGTTCTCAAGGTGAATTATTCAACGCAACATCGGGCCGAATATTTCCAACAATTAAGTATTCAAACCGTTCCAGGCGACACTCTGCATAGATGTTTCTCTTGGGCTGCTACATGACTTTCCCTTTCACTACTCCGTTCGGAATTGCTTCATATACGTCATTAAATTTTTCCACCATAACTGGTAACATGGCGCGTGACCTCCAAAATACATTTCTTTGTTCGAAAATTGACTCGTTTAGTCGAGTGGTGTTTGAAATTTATTTTACATCAGGATCTCGCGTGCAATGGTGGTTTCAAAATGGCGGACTTGTCGCGAAATGTTGGTTCAAAATTGCTTCATATACCTCATTAAATTTTTCCACCATAACTGATAACATGGCGCGCGACCTCCAAAATACATTTTTTTGTTCGAAAATTGGCTCATTTAATCGAGTGGTGTTTGAAATTTATTTCATCTTAAGATCTCAAGTGCAATGGCGGTTTCAAAATGGCGGATTTGTCGCGAAATGTTGGTTCAAAATTTCTTCATATACGTCATTAAATTTTTCCACCATAACTGGTAACATGGCGCGCGACCTCCAAAATACATTTTTTTGTTCGAAAATTGACTCGTTTAGTCGAGTGGGGTTTGAAATTTATTTTACATCAGGATCTCGCATGCAATGGCGACTTTAAAATGGCGAACCTGTCGCGGAATGTCGGTTTAATCTTGGAGCGACAATTAAAAAGCCGAGTTCCGCGTGCGTTCCAGTGTCGCGATCTTGCTGGTGAGAGGAAACTTGAAAAAAGAGAGCTTGCGTTCCTTCGAAGGAAGGAAGAGAGAAAAGCTACTCGAGACCGAAAGCCTTTCAAATCTCGCCAAGGTCCTGCACTCTGCATACCGGTTGGCAAAGATCAACCGCACTAAACGTTCCTTGGGTTTTTACTTTCGACGGGGTTATTTTTTTTTTACCCCTTTTCGAAAGGCGCGGCTTGGCTATGCACACCTCGAGTCTCGAGGATCCTTTCGAAAGGAGCCAGAGATTTTGCAAACCAGAATTTTTGGCATTGAAAAAGTGGACATTTAATTTTATTACCGCCGACCTCGGTGCATTGCTCAAGGTTCAACACTGAATTATCTATCCCTTCTTTTTTCAGGAATATTTGCGTACTTGAACTACCTAACTCCGAAGAGCAGGAAGGAGATCTTGGAGTTCCTGGTGGGCGGACTCAAGAGACTCGAGTATCGTGGGTACGATTCTGCAGGTAATTAAGGCTCGTTCTCCTCGAATCTCCGGGAAATAGCGCGAAAGTTTTGTCACTTATCATTTGAAATGGAAATTGGAAGGGGTTACGGAGTATCCTTGAAACTCCCGTGAAAGTTGCACCCACGGGGGCAGGGGAGATGGAAGAACAAAAACCTTAGAGTATCTTCGAAGGAATGCATTTTATGGAATTGAGTCCATATTTTCTGTATATATATTTTTTTTTCCCTCCCACTAAAATTCTACCTGCATTCTTTGAACAAGTCGCGGAGGTATAAAAGAAGGACAGAGGTTCGCTCGTTCGTTCGCAAACAAGCTGTAAAAACATGGGATAGATATTAAGCCGGTCGTTTCTCTCCGGGGTTCGGTAGTGGCGGTGAAATTTCCCGGGCCTTTAAATTTCTTCTCCCCGTATCCTTTTTTTCAGGGGTCGCCCTCGATTCTCCAGACGGCAAGGACATCTCCATCATCAAGAAACAGGGGAAGGTCAAGGCTCTCGAGGATGAGATTTTTCAGCGTAAGGAAGGATCCTTTACCTTGGGGCTATTTCGGTTGAAAGTATTTCCCGGCTGCCAGGAGAGGCGGACTTATTCAACGTTTCCTTTCCTCTTTCAGGGAGCAACCTCGACCTGGACACGAAGACGAAGAACCACGTGGGAATCGCTCACACCAGATGGGCCACTCATGGTGTTCCTTCCGAGGTAAACTCTCATCCTCAGCGATCGGATAAGGAACACTCCTTCGTCGTGGTCCATAATGGTAAACCGGTAACAAGTTTCAGTATATCATTACAGGAGCCCTCGACAATTCCCCAGTTGTTAACCCTTAATCTGGGACCGTAAATCCCAGGGCGAAGAATCCCCGTAACTGTCTGGAACGACTTAATCGTCGGAAACCCTTATCGAAATCCCCGTGAGATGGCAAAAATCCTTAAAACGGTTCGACTCACTTTCTTACTCCCGTTAGGCCTTTCACGCGTCCTTCGGGGAGCGGGTTTCTTGCGAGAGAGCTGCTCTTGAAATAACGAATCCATGACGCGTCTGTCCAGGAATCGTCACGAATTACAAGGAAGTCAAGACTCTTCTACAGCAGAGGGGCTATGATTTCGAGAGTGAAACCGACACGGAGATCATTGCCAAGCTGATCCATCATCTCTGGGTTCAACATCCGACCTACTCTTTCCGCGAGCTGGTAGAACATGTCGTTCAACAGCTGGTACGTGACGCATCCGATAGGAACAAGATGGCGTTGCAATTTAATCACGAGAATATTGTGATGTAATTTTATTTATTAATTAACTATGATTTTAGGAAGGAGCATTCGCACTCTGCTTCAAGAGCAAGCATTTCCCGGGAGAATGTGTCGCAACGAGGCGAGGTTCGCCTCTGTTGGTGGGAATCAAGACTCAAACGAGTTTGGTCACCGATCATGTGCCGATTCTCTACGGTAAAGGTGAGCTCAACTGGAAAGAAACAAACGAAACGCATTGCCAAATGACGGACGGACTTGTCTCGAAGGTAGACGAGAAGTCGGCGGCCAAAAGACGCCTGCAAGCTTAAGGATACCAAAATGATCGGAGTGCACCGATCGTGCTTTAGCGAGTCACTTCGAGCGCTATCTGGGACCTGAAACCCTTTTTTTATTTTCTTTTTTCTGCCTTTTTTTTTTTACCGAGGAGTAGAAAGTTCTGAAGACGTCTCCCAGTAGTTTGAATTTAAACAATCCTACGGACGGATCGTAAACGAGCATGGTGAAGGATAACCGACGACGACGGGTCGTGATTAACCAATATCGCGTTTATGCGTCGATTGTCCGGTTGCGAAAACGAGAGAGTTGGCCTAAGGATGAATTTAGTTGTAATTACTCGAAAGATAATGAACGGTGCTATCACCACGGCCAAGGAGGTATGACTTGCAGCGTTTTGCTGAACCGTTTTAATTGCCGGGGAAATATTGCACAAAGGTTGCGGCGACGGAGAAATCGTGCCGTGGAAAATTTAGATTCAATTTCATGTTGCGGTCTGGTATTTTTTGAATACTTAATTTACTACTTATTTCTCTTCCTGGGGGGTACCTCGTTATCGGATCAGGGCAGTGACCACGACATTGCCAACTGGTTTTTGCCTAACATATCCTTGAGGGATCTATTCCTTGTTTTCGCAACCAAACATCTAGGTCCTTCCGTTAAGGAGACCCGAAAATTAAAGCCACGAAGACAAACTACGATATCTAGAGTTTAAACTTATAAAGTTATCCCCCACATCATTCTGTCTCTATCCCTTCCGGTCTCCTCGGAAACATCCGATAGTCAGGTCACGTACTAATTGCAAAATGATTGTCGAGCACTAATCCTATTGACTAACAGTTATTAATCGCATGCGCCTGTCGTGATTATGGACCAGGAACTTCTCAAGTTTACGCATGCCCTGGAGTGAAGAACGTCGCTTTTAGTATCCATGTCACGACGAAAGTGACCACTGTCATACGTAAGAGTTTCCATACTTCTAGCCTTTCTCTTGCGTAGGAAAAAAAAAAAAAAAGAAGAAAAAGAGTAGAAACAGTAAGGCCTACTGACTATAAGTTGTCGACGTACATTTTTATGCCCATCTTGAGTAGATGATAGATACTCGTTGGTGCTGTAAGTTATTTTAGTATATAATAATTAAAAAATGCTAAATTAATATTTTCCTCGGTTGTACCAATTACGTGTACAGTTCTGCATATTTACATGTAGGTAGAGTAACATGTCCCGATAAAGCGATACTGAAAGATTGTGCTAGTGTGCCTAACCGCTGTTGAACGTGACGTATGTCGGTAGATTAACATTTGTTCTAATTTTTTTTTTTTCGTACTTCTTGGTGTTGAGCATTGCGAGGTCTTGCTACTAATCTCTCTCCTACGTCTGGCAATTTTATAGGTTTGTTCGCCGTGAATGTTAACACATTGCTCATGTTTGTTCTTCTCGGAATGAAAGCGGCTCGATAATGCGATACTCCCTTTGGATAACCCGACCGTTTCGAGTGTCGCACTTAGATTTAGTGTTTTGCATTCAAACCGTAGCATGTAATTCTAGACCCAGTGCGATAAATACGGTGTACCTATTTGTTCGAGTACGAGCACGCACGTAGAATTCTTCTTTTGCCTTTGATGTGGATACCACACGAGTGTTTCTTTTGCATGATCGACATCCGGTTTGCTCACGGACTCTCTGCCCTGAACAGATGATCTTCCACGTACCAAAGGTATACATACTATTGATAACGCATATTAATCGACCCTTCTTCTGCGGTGAATTATTTAGTCGAAATAATTTACCTCTCTTAAATTAAACAAACTAGTCAAATTGGGCATCTATCACTTTATGTCATTCGTTATTGAATTAGTCGCAGGAGGAGAGTCGACCATGAAATGACGCTTTTAACTTTGAATACTTGTCTTGCTTAATTTTCGCTTCGAAATGATCCTCGAGGACGATATTTCCGAAATTTCCCGAAAATTGCCAGCGAATGCGCTCTGTGATGGAAATTCGAACGATCGTTCTACGATGTTTCTAATCTTACTTTGTTAATAACATTGACTGATCAGATTGTGTCCGTGAGAACAGTGATAAAAGAATTAATTACGGCGTTTCCCTTTAACCTTCCACGGATATGTGCCACGGAATCTTGTTGAACACCATGCAGCTTGTTTCGTTTACAAATCCGTCCTTAACGTTTACGATAACATTAGGTGCTGTTCTTGTTATTGTCTCATCGCATTGACTGTCATTTAAAAAGTGACCTGTTTCAAATTCGAATAATGGCGTGCGACAATGTATCGGCGATAGATCAAAAATATGTGCCAGATTTGTGACCGTACTCAAAAATATTTCATTCCTGTGCGCCCTTATTTGAATATGAAATCCAGTGGTCACGAGTAATGCACGATGTGACCGTCTAAAATTTCTGAAAAGGGGTATAGATTTTTACGTTTCGTTTAATTATATTTTAACATTTATGATTTGTCTTTCCAAGCAAGGGCAGTAAATGAAAATGCCGATTTTCTTTTTCAGGTTTTCCTGCATGCATTATTTCCGCTGTCATTTCCATATTTTTACACACACTTAGCGTGTTCTTAACTCTTTGATTATTTATCAATGATTTGTACCTTGGTTTGTTGATTAATTATATATTTTTTTCATTGTTCCTCATCCCGATTCTTAGCCGAGAGCGATGCAGTAACTCAAGGTATTAACTTTTACACTATTCCTCCCTTATAAGAGTGCATGCTGGAATGTCAATTGTACTATGTTTTTGTATACTTATTGTGCATGGGAATGCGCACTTGCATCCTCGTTGCTTTTGTATACGTTTGTCCCAATCTGTCACGCTAACCCATTGCCAAAGGAAGAATAACGAAACAATTCCTTGTAGTCGCAACTCCTTTGATCTGCAACCTTATATCCTTTACTCTAACGTTAAATTGTAACATCGTAACATTAAATATACAATTAAAATCCCGCGCGATAATACGTAATATTTTTTCGGGATAATTGCCTCTGCGGTACTTTAAGGTTTTCATTTAAAGCATTTAAGTGAACGCCTTGGATAAGGTTCCGGCTCGTTTAAGAACAAGCTATGCGGTTAATAATTACACGTACATATAGTAATTTTCTTAAATAACTTTCAGTGTAGAGGAGTAATGCTAACGGTGGCTTCACGATGGTTTCTCTCTACATTTGCTACACTTAGATTTACCGAGAAGATCCTGAGCGAGAAAAAGTACAACTCTTCCTGGCGCGGTTTCACCCCCCCGTATGCCATTATGGTTTATCATAATAATTGGGGATAGAGTGGTGTGGGGCTTCAGTAAATCGAATAAATAATAAATGGCACGATGCAATCGCTATTGCTCATGAATAATCTCCTTCGATAATAAATTCCGCAATTTCAAATTAATTGCGAGCCGATCGCCGGATCAAACTCGATTACACCGTGCCATTTATTACACGCCGATGTTTTTATAGTCGATAATTATTTATATTACGGTAAATAATTTGTGGTGAACTTACTTTACCGATATGAAAAAGTACGGTACGGTTTGCTCAGTCTTTCCAACAGAGCATACTTTGTGCACGCCCTGTATTTGTACGCAATCGACATGGATAAGAAGATTCCATTCATGAAAAATTGATTTCTTGTCCTAATCGCAAAAACACGGAGTTTTTTTTTTTTTCATTGCCTTGTTTACGTGGTTTATCGAAATCATAGACATGTGACAGTCTGCCCGTTGTGGGATTTGTAATTAATTGACTTGAACAATCTTCTTGTTAACATACTTTGTCTCCTCCTTATCTGCATTTTGTATCAGGCAATATTGCCGTACTGAGTTTATTAAAGGCTCTACAGACAACTGAGGATAAAATGATATTGACAGTTGTTAAGTATTCCGAATACATAAATACTTTTTCCATGTATGTTTTCGTATAATGCATTTATCTGGCGTTTTCTTATTCGGTAGTTTTTGTCAGCTTATCTTACTTTTCTTTCTTTTTTTTTTTTTAATTTTAACGGCGTCGTATGTAAATATTTATTCACCGATTCGTTCACCTTACTTCAGAATTCCAGCCTCTGGAAGATAAGGAAGTCGAATACTTCTTTGCGTCCGATGCCAGTGCTGTAATTGAGCACACCAACCGGGTAATCTTCCTGGAGGTAAAGAGACACGAGTTTTAATTTCTGGTCGGCATAAACTGTTGGCGAAAAAAATTAGAAAAAAAAAAAAAATGAATATTTTAGGACGATGACGTCGCAGCGGTGAAAGATGGTGCTCTCAGCATCCACCGTCTTCGTCGTTGCATGGACGACCCCCACGCCCGTGAAATAACGATCCTGAAGATGGAAATTCAACAGATCATGAAGGGCAACTACGAGTACTTCATGCAGAAGGAAATTTTCGAGCAACCCGAGTCGGTGGTTAACACTATGAGGGGAAGAGTGAACTTCCAAGACAATTCCATCATCCTCGGTGGTATCAAGGTGACTTTCCAAAACCTTTGGCACGTTATAAACGTTTATATATATATTTTTTTTTAAATTTTTGCGTCAATCGTTGTGATTTTTTTTCAGGATTATATCCCTGAGATCAAACGGTGTAGGCGTTTGATGCTGATCGGCTGCGGCACGAGTTATCACTCAGCGATAGCGACGAGACAATTGTTGGAAGAGCTCACCGAATTGCCAGTAATGGTCGAGTTGGCCTCCGATTTTTTGGACAGAAACACCCCAGTATTTAGAGACGACGTGTGCTTCTTCATCTCTCAGTCAGGTAAGATGATCTTCTCGGGATGTTTTAGTCGTGAATTTATGTATAAAAATGCCCTGAGTAATTTTATTGCATACTTTTAGGAGAGACCGCGGATACTCTAATGGCCTTGCGGTATTGCAAGGGTCGCGGAGCCTTGATCGTTGGTATCACAAACACCGTGGGCAGCAGCATTTGTCGCGAATCCCACTGTGGTGTCCACATAAATGCCGGTCCAGAAATTGGAGTAGCCAGCACGAAGGCCTACACCTCGCAATTTATTTCTCTGGTGATGTTCGCTTTGGTAATGAGCGAGGACAGGATCTCCCTCGGCGCGAGGCGGGAACAGGTATTGTCGATAATTTTTAAAAATAACTTAAACGTCAGCGTTCATTGTTATGAATTCTTTTAATTTTTCGTATAGATCATCGAGGGACTGAAGAACCTTGACGATCAAATTCGCCAGGTGTTGAAGCTCGACGATAAGGTGAAGGAGCTGGCTAAGTCTCTGTTCCAGCACAAGTCCCTTCTAATCATGGGCAGGGGCTACAACTTCGCCACTTGCATGGAAGGAGCTTTGGTAAATGGCGGAATTAACAGTCAAGAGGTTTTCCGTAGATAGGAAGGAGAAATATTAATCCTGATTTATTTTTCCAGAAAGTGAAGGAGTTGACGTACATGCACAGTGAAGGTATCATGGCTGGTGAACTGAAGCATGGACCACTTGCTCTCGTCGATGACTCCATGCCAGTGATCATGATTGTCATGCGCGATCCGGTATACGTGGTACACTATTTTTCTTTCTATCTGAATTCCACGTGAATTCGGTGTCATTTCCATAGACAGTGTTTAGCTCAGAATTGTATTTCGGTTTTTCAGAAATGCATGAACGCCTTACAGCAAGTCACCGCCCGTGAGGGAAGACCGATCGTCATTTGCGAGGAAGGCGATAAGGAAACGATATCGTTTGCCGACAAAGTTTTGGAAGTTCCAAAAACCGTGGACTGTCTTCAGGGAGTGCTCACGGTCATTCCTATGCAGTTACTCTCGTTCCACATCGCCGTCTTGCGAGGGTGTAACGTGGATTGTCCCAGAAATCTGGCAAAATCGGTCACCGTCGAATAATCAGAATTCATCGATGAACTCTATATCCTGATATCATGACGGAGGGGTAAAGAGAAGAAATTCGCTCCAACGGAGCAATCGATTACCGTCGCGACGTGCGATTTGCGGTAATATCGAAATGGAAATTCATGGTTGATCGCATTCGCTGCGATTTGCATTCTGAAACCGGAATCGAATCAACCAGGGGAATATTGACCGAACGCCAAGGAGTTTTCAATTCCAGCGTCTGATTCCAGCAAATCACATGATCATAGGTCATCAGTTGATTCCGGGGCACAATTTTCAATCAAGCGTGCCAGTTTATTCAGTTTAACGTCATCTTCATCTCAGGGCGCAATTACATCCAGCGCGTAATCGTAAACTGCCGTTGAATGACCGGACCTGATCAGAAGGTTTCCCGGTAATTTTTAAAACTGTTCGACAGTATTCGAAGTATGGATGGAGGATTTTACAGTTTTTAATGAGATTTCTAAAAGCCAACTCATGGACGGCCTGTAGCAATATAGCTTCTCTGTAGTTCTGTTCCTATTGTGAGTACGTCAAATTTACTTTACTCGACAGACATGCATTTATACACACATGTATCCGTATTTGCATCCCGCTTGAGGTTTTTCGGCGCATCTTGTGCGCCCTGCGCAATCCGGGGGTTTCATGTGATCATAATTAATAATTCTTTAGAGTAAGAAATCACCTTTGGGTTTTACGTCCTCCTTTAACGCGGACCGCTTTGAATTTCAAGGTAACGAGCGAGATTTATTTTTTTTTAGTTCCTTGGCGGAATTTGTTGTTCCACGGTAGAGCTTTGTATTTTATGCGTAGGATCGAGTGAAACCTTGTGGGGCGCCGTCCATTCCAAAAGATTTTTACATTTCGACATTGTCAAATTCGATCAACGAGGATCTCGTCTTCTCCCTGTCGGATGGAAATAATTAATAAAGTGGAAGGCATTTGTATATTCAAGACATACGCAAGATCATTAGGGCGAAGAGCGTAGTCCTTTAATCACTACTGGTCAGTCGTCGACGAATTAAAAGAGACTTCAGCGAGACGCGATAGATAATATTGGAGGACATTTCCTGTAACCTTTGTTAACGGAAAGCTACCCGACCTCACGAGGGGCTGCAATTTTAAAACCAGGATTCGTGTTAGCGCGTAGCCTTACAAACACCTGTCAAGAATGTGTAACAATCGGATCACGATATTTTTTATTAAGATATAACATGTCTGCCATAAATCGTAGCCTGCGACGCGTTACTCCGTTGTCCCTCTGATCCATTATTCTCCTTTAAGTTTTACGGCCGAAGGATCTCGCTTAATCGCTCGGGTCACGGAGGGTAATTACGAAAGGACACGTCAATTTGGAGAAAATTGCCTTTCCGTTATTGCGATCGACCGACTTCGTGACATTTCCCGTCATCGTCGACCGCTCCTCGGTGATAAAGTCAAGTAGTCGGAGGAACGATACATGCGTCCTTTTACGAGTTTCGAATTTTCATCGTCTAAAAGGTTGAACGGGGTCGTGTTAAAATTACCGTCGGGTTGATATCTACTCCAGTAAGCTAGTCGATTAGGGGGGGCGGTCCTTTACGAGTTTCCCCAGCGTCAATTTCGATTTTGAAAATCGACCAACGTGAGGTAGTAATCCTAATCCATCCTAATATACGTCTGACCTTTTATCAGACCGAGACGGTCTCTTGGTTGTAACATCTCGTACGTCAGTTCCGAACCACCCACCCGTCCGACCTTCAAAGTAGAATCGTCTTAATAAATCGGCCGGCCGCCGGTGTCGCCCTCTACGGGGTGTCTCTTCTTCAGTAGTACAAGCACCCCGCCAGTCAGCCGCCAGGGGTTTCGGCGGCGCGTGCGCAGCGGCATCGACTCTTAAAATCGAACTCTCGACTCCCGCCAATTTCCCCCGCGTCATCGGCTCCCTCCGACCGTTGACTCGAGCGCTTCCTTTTCGACGAGCCCTCGGCATCGATCTCCGCCTCCGAAAAATCCGAGATCCAAGCCTAATCCCTGGAAAGCGCCTCGAAATTCGAGGTTATCCATCCTCGCGCCTACCCGAAACTTGGAGGCTCTTCGTCCCAAAGGCGCCGACAGGGGGGCCTGACAAAAGTCGAATTCAAAACGTTCCCTACGCCAAGGCACATCCAAAGCTCGGGTCACGGGTCATTAAAACGACATCCCCTTTCCATAAGAGGGAAGCCGAACGAGAGTCCCCAATGACCGGCGTCCCGTCGGGGCAAAAGGATTCCACGGAGTCTCGGAGCGGTTCCCTCGGGCCTCTGGTCGCCAGGGGGTGCCACCGGTCCAGTGGTAGAGGCGGCGCTTGCGTCAGCCGCCAGGGGTTGCCCGGCCGGGGCGCGTGCGCGCCCCCTCCCGGCGGCGCGACCGAGGCTCCGGCTCTCGCCGCTCCCCTGCGCCCGGGTGCTCGCGTCCGGTACCCGGCCTGTCGCGGTATCGGGCCCGCAATTCCCATCTAAATTTAACGTCTCCGGCGAAGGGATCTCTCGGCGTGCCCGCGCAAGGTTGGCTGCGCGTACTACTCGAGTCAGTCTCGGGTCTGCCGGCGAGCGGAGCGGACGCGCGCGCTGGCCGTGGTCTGTGAATCGAGCTCTCCCCGGACGAGACCTCGGCGTAATCGTAATCCGCCTTCTCGGTCGGTCGGGCGATTCGCATCTCGGGACTCGCGCAAGCCGCCACGGCGACCCGGCCGCGCGGACAGGCGCCTCCCGTTCTGCCGGCTCGGTTGTTATCGATCGGGACCCCGCTCGGCCCGCGGCTACGTTGGCTAGCGTAGTGCGCGCCGCGAGCCTCGGCCAGTAGCCAGCCGGATACCGCAGTTATCGGCATGGCTGCCCCAGCAGCGTGTACGCGGTTCAGTGATAACTACGACCTCAAGGAGGAGCTCGGCAAGTAAGTAGCGAGCCGCGGGGGGCGCGGCCCGCCGCCGGGAAGGGCCCGGGGAGGCGGCACGCCGGTGCTGCCAACCCTGCGGGCCCCTTCGAGTCTCCCCCCGACCCGGAGCGTCTCCGCGCGATCGACGCTCCTCACATCCTCCAGAGGGAGCCACCGGTCGAATTTGCGCTTTCGAAGGAAACTACGGAAATCGATCGGTGATCGGGAAACTGGAGGAATACGCGCCAGCGGGCCGTAAAGAGATATAGGGGGCAGCGGCGCTTCGAGATTTTTCACTGTTTTTTTTTTTCTCTTTTTCGCTTCCGGGGAATGCACTTAACGCGCCCCCGTCCGCCACCTAGAGGGGGCGGAACGGATTTCCACGCGTGTTTTGCATACCGACAAGGCGGCTCGTCTTGTTCGCGGACGTTGATCGCGCATCGCTGGGAATCCTTCCCTACCACTGCAAGGGAAGATCCTATTTACGGAGGGATGATTTCTTCCTCCCCTGCATTAACGAACGAACGTGGAAACGGTGTCTCTGCTCCGAGCTTCCCGCAAACGTGGACAGTTTTTCCGCATTGACGCGAAAGCGTGATCTGGAATTCTGACAAACTTTTTTTTTTTTAATTCTATTTATCCTTTTTTCTTTTTGCCCCCTCTCTCTGTCTCCTTGATCCGTCTTTAGAAACTCTTTGGCTTTTAGGCGACGAACTTTTGACTACCCGGGGGCGATCCACGGTTTAGCGATTGCAGGGGGAATCCAGCGTCGATATTCTGAATTTACGCCGGCATCGGAGGTTGGCAACGCCGAGCGTCGCGCGCGCGGCCGAGCAGACGACGCCGCACGCGCGGCATGGCCGCCACTGGCCCAACCGTTCCGACCTTTAATCCGCAGACGAATGCGATTGGTCGCTTCCGTGACGGTAAACCAATACCTGCAATACGTCCTCCACGGTGAACCTAATTGCGCCGTATTGTGGAAATGATTCCCCGTCTTCCCTAGAAACGGTAAAGAAAATTCAAATAAGGAAGTAAGAACGATTGAACGTGAAAAGGCTCGGTAAGGTTTGCATGAAACGGTGCATTTTAACGATGCCGTGTATGTAGTACATGGTATCGTAGGAGTGCATAAAATTGTACATTTTAACGATCCCGTGTATGTAATACACGGTATCGTAGGAGTGCATCAAATTGTACATTTTAACGATGCCATGTATGTAATGCGTGGTATCGTGGGATTAGTTTGGAAGCGGTTTTTTTTTGAGCGGACGAGATAAGGTTTTTAAATATCGGTATCCATGATGGAGAGTTATATGACTCGGTAGAGACCAAGGTGAGGTCTTCTGCGGATGCAAACGAGGTTGCACACCTGCAGGATAATCCGCAACGCGATATCGACCTAAGTGGGTGTCTCGTAGACGGTGGAGTCGTCACTTTCTCCGTATAATTCTCGAGGAAGAGGTTTCTATTAACCGTTTCCGCAATTACCTGGCGCCCGTAACGGCGTCTAAGTAATTTCGCATTGCATCCCGTCGTCCCGACGACACGGGGAAATTATTCAAGTTATTCCAGGTCCCCGGGCCGCCTTCGAGGCCTTGCGCAATTTTCTATGCAAATTTGTTTATGCCGCGTTTCGGCCAATGGTCCCTCCGGGCGAGCCATCCTCGGGGACTCGTAGACTGCATTTAAGCGCTCCCCGGGCTTTAAATATTTCCCTTTTTTCCCTTCCGGATATCGTTGCCGAGCTCTTATACTCGTGTAATAACCAACGGGGTCGAAGGTAGTAACCTGGAGTACCAGATAACATTATCCGGGAAAGCGAAACTGCAGCGGGGCATAAAACCCCTCGAAATCGTGCCTCGTTTTATCGCGTATTACCGCACCGGAGAAATGTCCGTGCCTCCCTCATTAACATTTCCTTGGGGATCGAAACCACCCGCTATTTGTACACCAGTCCATGCACTTATTTAGTTTGCGAAGCCCTCGTCGAAGGGGCCTAAGCACGTCTTTTTAGCCCGTCGATTAAACGACCTCTCAGTGCCCAACTCTTCCTCGAAGTTCGCCCGTCGGAAACTTTGCCACGTGCATATCCAGACCGGGGAGATAATTCTATTTACCGTAAAAAAGAAAATTGCCCCGGACGAATCGATATCCGAGTGCGTTTACACATCTATTCCCCCTCGCCTTAAAAATAGAACGGCCTTGCCACCTACCTTCTGCTCCTATAGCTTCGGGTCGTCAACGGGTTCCCCGGGGAGGGTTTGAGCCGACAAATTGGCATTTAAAAATTTCATTAAATTTTTTACCCTACTATCTCGTATCTTCTTCTATATTTACGTGTAATTTCCGAAAATCGTTCGATTCTAGGGGATTTAGCCCCGTGGATGTCCCTAGGGCCCGGCAGCGAGAGACTAGGGGTCTGTCCCGGAATCGATACGCGCGGGAGTCGCCGTCCGAGCGCGAAGGAGCGAGAGAGAGGGAGCGCGCGGCGGCGCGGCGAGTGCGAGCGAGAGGGAGCGAGCCAAGAGCGGCCTTATCGCCGGGGGAGATCGATAGAGGAGGAGAGGACGTGCAGGTGGTCGCACAGGTTGCAGAGGGTCCATGCGGACGGGGCCGGCGATGCTCCCGGGGTGCGTGAGGAGCGGCGCGGCGGGGCGGCGCGGGTGCCACACCCCGGCGCGCCGCCTTTGGGGAGCGCCGCGCGCTTTGAGGTTAGGGCACGCGACGCGGCGCCCCCGGCTGCCCGCGCCCGTCTGACTGTCGCGGGGGCACGCACTGCTCTCCTCCCACGTGACGTAAGATCGAGGAAGAAGACGTAAGAATGACTTCCGAGCGCGACGGACCGACTCGGGAAACACTCATGCGTCGAATTACGTCTGATATGCCCTTCGCGTTACATGATACGGCCGCGGTAGTTGGGTAATGTCTTCGCGGTAGAAAATTATTTCACACTAGATAAAATAGATTTCAACGGATGGAATATTAGTATTTGGGTGGATTTTCAGAGGATGTTAAAATCCGCGGAAAAGATTTTTTTTTAATTTTTTGTAGAGATCGTACGATTATGTCGAACACTTAAGGTGATATGAAAGGCTCTTTTTAAACATATAAAACTTTTCCGGGTGGACCGAATCATTTGAAAGTTCAACCCGTGATTGTGGAGGTCCTGAGGAAGAACGAGGCGCTCGTGAAATTTCATCCTTCAAAGTTTTATAAATATTCTGATGACCTTTTCGTATCACCTTAACGCGAGGGAGTAATATCGGATCGCTCCGTACGGCGAGGTTAGCAAATTTTTGTATGGGAATCCGCACGGAGGATAATATTCGCCGGAATAGCTGGAATTTCACCAAGCGCGGGTCTTATCGGTCGTCTAGTCGGGCTGATAGGGGCCACTCATTTCGGCACGCAAAATGCAGACACGCCGGCGAGGACACGCGAGAAATTAAGCCGTTCGTTAGTCATCTAAGGTGAACCACTTGCTTCGGGACGACTTTGCTGCCCACGTACTCCTTTTCTACCTGACATTGACATCTTGCTCGTTTCATGTTTCTTATCGGATCGCTGGTTCTTACAGCTCTACGTTCGTTTTGTCCTCAACAATGGCCCACCGTAACGTTAAATGGACGTGTGGTAAACCACCGGTGCAAACCCGACGCCAGTGGGTCGGGGCCGTTTATTCGTTAGCGGGATACGTTAATATCACGATATTATATATTAACCTCGATTTTCCCTGCGGTTTGCCAAATGCAAATGTCCAGGGGAAATATTTGAGTACCCGATGACTCCTTGTACCGAGGATGCTGGGCTTTGTTGCTTTAAATCTTGGCGAGCCGAGGGTCCGCGGGTGCCAGAATCACGGGGTTATAGCCCGTGGTGGGCGCGATAGTGCTATCGCGAGCTATAAAACGTGTCAGGACTCCGATTCCGCCTTTCGTTTCGTCGGCTCCTTCGATAACTCGGTGCACTCGTTTTATCGACTCAGGTGGCCGATCATTCGCTATCCGTCGATTGCGGCAACCGTTTGAATTCGATCACACGCGTGTACCGTGACGGATACGAACGCGACGTCGTATTTCCTAGGAGAGGACTCGTGTCCGCCATTTTGGATCTTTGCACCTCTTTAACCTTTTTAAATTACGCTGCCGAAGGGAATCGACATTTTTAGCCAAAATTTGTGACGGATATGAACGCGACGTCGTATTTCCTAGGAGAGGATTCGTGTCCGCCATTTTGGATCTTTACACCTCTTTAACCCTTTTAAATTACGCTGCCGAAGAGACTCGACATTTTTAGCCAAAATTCACGTTCGACCATCCTGGGGTTGAAAAAGTATTAAGATTTCCCACCCTCTCGGGGAATCCTTTGATCGAATGATTGCAGAATATTTTATCCCGGAGGTAATTCTCCCGAAACGTCCACGTTATATCCCGACGCGATAAAACGTGCTCTCGGGATCGGGGGAAGGGTTTATTCGATATAAATTTTCGCCTCGGTGATTTCAACGGGGACCCCGCTCGAGGAGGGTTTCTACGATAGAAATGCGCGTACACGTAACGGTGCACGCGTGTACACGTGATCGAGCATAATCGCGAGACATCGCCGACACCGATGAATTATTCAGGCGTGCAGCATCCGCGGAAATGTCGCCGTGTCGAGGACAGTCAGCGAGAGCGATCGATACTCGCGATCCTACCTTTTCGATATTCCTTTTTCCCCTCTCCCCGTGTATATCAGTACCTCACCCGAACGGATTGCCGCCGACGTGGAAGACGTATCCCGGGAAATTAGGGCACTTTTCCTCAGCCTCCCCGCTACCGAACCTTCAGCCGCGAAATTGGAGAAAACTTTTAACGAGCCGGAGGGCGAAATCGTCTCGTGTATTTCTTATTACGAGAAACGCTCCGTGAAATTCGAACTTTAATTCCTAAGCTCGATTTCGGGGTGGCGTTCATTCGGGGACCGAATCGAAGAATCCGGAGGAAATTGGGGCGCGGCTCGGCTTCATCCCCCTT